GGGGGGGGTGACGAGGAAACGATGGCAAAGGACGGAGCGACTTGGGTCTTAGGGGCTGGAGCGTCGTCTCCATTGCTCGGCATGAGGTGACCCCCATCGTAATTTTTTCTCTTATAGATAGATACCTGTATGTCGCTGACGCGCCTGGTCGGATATACCCGGCCGGGAGAAGTGGCGGATATTCTCCAATGTTTTGGTCTTGCTTTTCACTCCTTGCCTTTCTCTTCATTTTCTCATAACCTCGGCTAATTTCGAGGTATAATAAATGCATAATTCACAGTCTTGCCTTTGCTATTTACTGTATTGACCCTACAAGAGTGGTAGATGGCACAGACGGACAAGTTTGATGGCACCATATGATTGTGATTTTTTCATTGGCTAAGCGTACGTATCCAATATCGTCTTATATGAAACGGGACGTGAGCTTGACCCTGGTATGGTGGCAATAGCGCCGGTTCCTGGCAGCGCCTAATCCATCATACACATCTCTCTGCCCTGAGAATGGTGCCTGCACATGCAAAGGTATCAACCACCGTAGCCGCCCAAGCAAAGAAGAACATGAAGAAAGGACACAAGGAGTCATGACAAAGCAAGGAAGCAAAAAAAGGGGTAACAAGTGGAAAAAAAGTAAACGCCAGTCCCGATGCAAATGTATGATACTATGATGATTATTGACGCAATGATGATGCTAACCAAGAGAAGAAGAAAAAGACGACATGCAGAAACGTGACTGGCTAGGATGAGAGGCAGAGGGGAATATCCAAGATAAGAAAGGGGGGGCGAACTCGCGAGTTGCTTATGCATACCGAGCACTGTAGGAACCCGGTTGTTGCCATTGTTGGCGTGGATCGTTGCTTCTGCCGTATGATGGCGGCGGCCTGCTTGCCACGGGGGGTGGTGCCGGGACTTCAGATACGCTCACGTGAACTGCCGAGCCTCCCGACGGCGGCTTGCGTGAGCGCCGCGGCGGTGGCGGGCCGACCCAGCCGGCTGGCGGCTTGGTAGCGCGGGCGGCGATGGCTCGAGCGGCCCTTTCGCGCTTCGACTTTCTCTGGCGGCAGGCGCTGATGCAGCAGGCGATTAGGGCGATCAGGATCAGGGCGCCGACGCCCGACGACAAGCCGATGACGAGCCACCTGTTTTCAAAGATCCACGTGCCGACCTCGCTGGCGAACGAGGAGCCGTCGCAGCGGCCGTTGGAGCACTTGCCGCCGCCCTGGCAGGGGGTGCCGTCAAGGAAGTTCTGCATCATTGTGAAGCAGGTGCTGGGGCCGAACTCGGGGCTGGCGCAGCTGAGTTGGCAGCCGGCGTTGTTGCAGGCGTACGTGTCGTTGCCCGCCGTCAGCGAGCCCATGAGGGTCTTGCACTGCTGGTTGCGCGATGTGCACTGGCCAGAGGCGCAGGCCAGGTTGGCGCCCGAGTCGCCGCACGACTGGCCGTTGGGGGCGAAGATGTTGGTCGGGCAGATGCCCGAGTTACCGCTGCACGTCTCGGCCGGGTCGCACGAGCCCATGCTGGCGCGGCAGACGGTGCCGGCCGACGAGAACTTGCACTGGCGGGTGCAGCACTCCTCGTTGGCAAAGTCGCAGCTGGACCCGGTGGTGAACTTGCACGTCTTGGCGTCGCAGCACGGGTTGTCCTTGCAGCCGTCGGGCCCACCGCAGTCGCAGTCCTCGCCCTGCTCGACGATGCCGTTGCCGCACTGGCTGCCTGTGATGGTGGTCACGTCCTTGTTGCTGGTCAGGCAGCTCGACTTGACGCTGCTGCGGCCCATGGCTGAGCAGATGTTGCCCACGGTGCAGGGAGAGAAGCGCGTGATGCCGCTGCCTGTGGACGGGTTCATGATGAACTGCCCCTTGGCGTCGCACGAGTCGCCGCTGAGCGGACAGCACTGCTGCTTGGTTGACGTGCCGTCGCTGCACGTGTTGGACTGGCAGTCGTGCACCGCCCCAAACGTGTGCCCGACCTCGTGCGCAAACACCTGCCACTCCTGCGCCGTCTTGATCACCACGTTGGCTCCCGCGATCGTCTCGTTGCTGTTGCTGGCCGACGACTTCTGCGAGCCCTCGACGCAGAGCTGACCGAGCCAGGCCAGGCCCACGGCCGCGTCCGTGTTGCACGTCGACAGCAGCGTCCAGAACGCGTTACGGTCCTTGGACAGGCCGCGCCAGGCCGAGAAGAGGTTGAGACGGTCCGCGATGGTCACGCCGTTGCCGCACGCCACGTTCCAGGGCGCCTGGTCAGTAGCCTTGGACGGGCAGTTGGCGTCGCTGATGGTGAGGTTCTGGATGCCCAGCGAGATGTTGAACGTCGACTCGTACAGCTGCGACGCCGTGTTGACCATGGAGATGATGTGCTGCCGGATCGACTGGCTCGAGTTGAAGGTCGCGCTGTACGTGCAGTCGGTCGCAATTCCCACCAACGCCACCTTCCTCGCCATCGGGCAGCCGGCTGTCGAGCCGACCGACCCCGCGAGGTTGACGCCCGCACCGTTGCCCGTCATGGTCTGGTCCTGGCGTGCCAGCAGCTGGCGCGGCGACGACGGGTCCAGGCTCACGTCCGACTCCAGGTCCGCGACGCGCTCAGCCTCGGAGCGCGTGTCGAGCCCCTGGTAGATGGGGTGCGTTGCATCGGCGTTGAAGTCCAGCCCGTCCGAGGAGCACAGCGGCGACCGGGCGCGCAACTCCCGACGCTTCAGCTCGCCGTGGCTCGGGTCGTAGGCCTTGTCGTCGCTGCCGTCGTCGTCGTCGTCATCGTCATCGTACGAGTACGAACCCCGGCCAATATCCGAATCCCGCCACACGACCATGTAATCCTCGGGCGACCAGTCGATTTTCGGATCCCCCCTAATGTGCGTCTGGCGGTATGCCTCGTCGGTCTGGATGTGGTGGTTGTCGCCGTCGATCCTGAAAGAGCCGTCGAATATCGGGCGGACACCGTCCCTGCGCATGTTGATGCGAGCCCAGCCGACGTTGATCCAATCGTGGCGACCGTGCCTCTGGACAAAGGCGCTACCCTGGTAGATCTTATGGTCCATACGATCTATGGGCTCAACGGAGCGCACGACGCCGTCGTGGCCGACGTACTGGACGACGGCATCGCGAGAGAGGATGTCATGATTCGGTGCGAGGGCGAGCTTGACCTTGCGCCCGCTGTCGTGCAGGACGAAGGAGAGGTCGAAGGAGGAGAAGGCGTGTACTCTTCCTGCCGCCGACTCGCCGTCGATGGCTGCGTCGTCTATGCGGGTAACATGTCCCAGTGGTAGCCGGTCCGTCGAGTGGGCTGTTCGTCAGGAAAGGCGGCGTGTGTGTAAGCTACGAGCTGCAATCCCTTAACCAGGCTAGACGCCTACAACCATGTTTACTAAAATCCCAGGACAGCAACCAGACCTACCTGAGATGAACTGCGAGACGGCAAGAGTGGCCGCAAGGGCCCTCGAAAGGAACATAACTTAGATGCGAAGGGCCCGTGTAGTCGTCCAGTCCATCGGCAAACACAGTTGAGGTGAGGGGGGTAGAGAAAGGGGAGGGGAGAAAAAAAAAGCAGCACCGAGCGATATATACTGAAGCCGACTTTGATCCGGTGAAAGCCAAGAGCGGCCAAAAGGACGGAAGAGAAGGAAATGAGACGGGATCGGCGTCGGAGCTGGAAAGGTCAAGTCGAAAAGCGAGCGAGATGCCCAAAGGGAAGGGGAGGGGGGGGGGGGGGGGGACAAAAAACGAGGGACGTGGGCCACTAAACAATAGCGATTGTCTAAAGTGGGAGGTCTGGGTCAGGCTGCAGATTCCGGCTGCATGCTCTTCTCGCACTCCACCCACGCCAACGAAGGATTAAAAAAGAATGGGAAAATAGCACACCGATCAAGGTTGCAAGCGAACGTGGGTGTGGACTAGCCTCTGGGAGAATGAGAGAATGTGTGTGTGGGATCAAATGTTGGCGTGGGCGAACGAGAGACGAGACGAGCATGCGAGGCGGCGGCGTGCGACGGCGGCTCGGCTGGCCCATCCATGGCTGAGGTGGGCTGGCAGGGCAAGGGGCTGTGCCGTGCCTGCTTCTTTTTTCCCTGTTCGTCCCGCCAGACCAGATGCACCAGGCCAGGCAAGAAGACAAGGGTTCGCTCAATTCAAAGCGCGGCGGGGAGTTTGCTTGCTTGCTGGGCCAAGATGACGGGAGCCTCGATAGGGCGGGACCTGGCCCATGCACGACACAGGCTATTGCGACAAAAGTAGCGTCTTAGCGTTGTGGCGCCAGGCCCCCCCTTGTCAGCGAATGGCTCGCGCCCCCACACCTCGCCGTCCCTCAAGCCAATCGCCCGCGCCCGAACCGGCCTCCACTAGTCCAGGCTCCATTGGCCCGCGCAGCAAAGCACAGCAGCATGTGGCGTGGCGCCCCTCGTGGCCTCGCCGCCCTTCACAGTAAGCAGGAGCGGGCTGAGCGCCGTATACTTTCTGCCTTCCAAATGATTACTACAACATTGGGCATAGCCTCCCTTCATTCCATGTTTTTCTGTTATTATTGTTTATCCTCGTTGGGCATTGTCATGGCCAAGGAGAGAAAAGGGGAAACCCGTCCGGAAACGAAGGGCAGGAACATCAGACGAACCAAAGTCGGCGACCCGATTCGAGAGTCAAGCCTTCCAAAGCGAACTCCCTTGGAACGCGGTTTCAGGCGCTCGGTCGGGATCCGCCCCACGTCTCGGACCCCCACAGGGCCCTCGCTCGGCGCGGAATCTGAGATGGGAAAACTAAGTACGCTCGGGCATTTTTTCCTTGTGGGCGTGGACGCGGCATAAATCGGCTCGACGACTTTTGTTTGATTCTTAATTACTGATGCCGGTCGCTATAGATATGACCCTACCTCGTCTATCGAGTCTTGTTATTTCGCCTTGTCCGCTGTCTCCTGTGTTGCCTTGGACACGGGCGGTAGGTAGGTACCACCTAGGTAGGTAGATAATACCGCCAGTGGGACGCCACACCCCCGATCTGATGCCTGTCCCCGCGATACCCTCCCTGGGGAGCACCGCATCTCGGGCGCTAGCACGCAGGTCCCTAGGGCCAAGGTAAATTCCTACCTAGCGCCTAGCCTGCAGGTCGGGAAAGGACCCTGCAGACGCCCGGGCGAGTCCAGCACTTGCTTGTCCCAGCCCTGGCAGCTGGCTCGGACTACCACATCCTTTCGGACCTTGCTGCCGGCTCAATGCTGCGCTGCGCCGTTGGCCACCGACCATGCCTTTTTTTAACCATATGGTTTGACTCGCGGTGTCTGGTTGTGCTGCTACGACGGCGACTGCTATTTTTGTGAGCCCCAGCGTCCCAGTCCCGGCCCGAATGGGCACCATCCCGTCTATGTGTGTTTTCAAGACGAAAGACAAAAAAGAAACCCGCGAGGATTGCTTGAACTCGTGCCTCACCGCCTCACATCCCATATCGCTCCCGCCCCGCCCCTTGGCAGACCCTCGTGCATGCCGTCCTGTTGATGGTGGTCACACAGCGTGGCATTCTTGCTTTCTTGGCTGGGCTGGGCTCTGTAGAGAGCGAATAATTACCCAGAGCTTATCCCCATGACAGTATCTGATTGGTTGAGAGGAGGGGGATCGGCGGCCGGGCACCGAACGGCACTCGATAGGATATGTACCAAAAATGCTCACATGCACCTAGACCTGCTGGCTGCCGCAATGTCTTGACTTTCGTTTCGGCCGAGCTCGGGTCTGGGTGGTAGTTACTTGCCTGCCAGGTACCTAGGTGATATCCACAGGTTGCAAGCCGGCTCTCGTATCTCCGTTGACCTCTCGGGAAACTTGGCAAATATCAGTCAAGCACCAGGATGCGCACAAAGGCCGCATCCGGCTCTGGTGGTATCCATTGGTCGAGCCTCCCCGGCTGGGAACGGCCGCAAGAGGTAGAAACGCAGTCCATTGTGGTGGTATAACTCTACGTAAGCAACTCCGTGGTCCCCGCCAGCCACACAGCCAGCCAGCCAGCCAACTCAGTCTGTCCTCAAGCAACGATAGGTTCTGCCTCCTCACTTCTTTCGACTGTCATGCACAATCGTGAGGATCTTGGCGACAATACTCGGGTCCGACAGCTAGAGACGCACAGCGGTCGGGTCAGTAAAACGATCGTCGCTCTGGGTCAGGCAGCAGCAACGCCTCCGGCGCGGGCCATAAACTTACCGTGCTAACATCGCCCAGCTGGTCCTCTTCGCCCGCCAGGATCTTCCTCAGGATCCTCCGCATGATCTTGCCGGAGCGCGTCTTAGGCAGATCTGGCACGACATAGACGGCCTTTGGCGCCGCGAAGGGCCCGATGCTCTTTCGAACCTGCAATATCAAGTCCTTGCGGATCGCATCTACTGACTCGGTGCTGTCTTCTCGCAGCGACACGAAAGCGTTGACTGCCTGCCCCGTAAGTTCGTCCTGCACCCCAACCACTGCCGACTCGGCCACCGCGTGGTGCTCGATGAGCGCTGCCTCGATCTCCGACGTCGAAAGCCGGTGTCCGCTCACGTTCACAACGTCATCCACGCGACCCCTGATCCAGTAGAACCCTTCGTGGTCTCTACCAGCACCGTCGCCGGTGAACTAGTGAAGAACGATCCAGTCGGTCAGTCTCTGGGATCCTCATGAATTCTTCCTTCACCTTCTTTCTCGCCCAACCTGATGAAAGCAACGAGGGTCAACTCACATAATACCCCTTGTATACGTTCATGTATGTGTCCATATACCTCTTGTGGGCTCCCCAGACCGTTCGAGCCATGCTAGGCCATGCCTGCTTGAACGCCAGGACGCCCTCGACATCGTTCCCGTGGATCTCCTCCCCAGAAACGGGGTCGATTATGGCCGGCTCGATGCCGAAGAAGGGCAGCGACGCGGACCCCGGCTTGGTTGGCGTTACCCCCGCGAGCGGAGTGATAACGTTGGATCCGGTCTCGGTTTGCCAGTAGGTCTGTACGGGTGAAGTGAGAGGTCAGCAGGCGGCACCATATGAAAATACTTTCCTGCCATGGTCACAGGCCACAACGGCTCGAGGGGATTCCACACTTACATCTACGACCTGCGCCTTTTCCTTGCCCACAACTTCAAAGTACCACTTCCAGATCTCGGCCGCGATGGGCTCCCCTACGGATCCGAGAACCCTCAGGTACTTCATCTCATTCTTGACGTACTGGTCGCCGGCGCGCTTGAGCAGCCGGAGGGCGGTCGGGGCCACATAGAACTGCGTGATCTGGTGCCTTTCGACAATGTCCCAGTAGCGCGAGAAGTTGGGATAGGCCGGGGTGCCCTCGAACACGACGGTCGAGACGCCGAGGAGCAAGGGCGCATAGACGACATATGTGTGGCCCGTGATCCACCCGACATCGCCACCACAGAAGAAGCGATCGCCGTCGTGGATGTCGAAAACATACTTGCCCGTCATGGCGGCGCCCAGCAGGTAGCCGCCCGTGGTATGCATAACACCTTTGGGCTTGCCAGTCGAGCCAGAGGTGTAGAGCAGGAACAGGGGGTCCTCGGAGCTCATGGGCTCAGGAGGGATATAGTTGGGCCACCTCTCCACCTCCTCGTGCCACCACCAATCGCGGCCCGGCGTCATGGGAACGTCAGCGCCGGTGCGCTTGTAAACGAGGACATGTGTGACATCAGGGCACTGCTTGAGGGCATCGTCGACAATGCGCTTGGTGCCGATCAGCTTGCCGCCGCGCTTGCCCTCGTCGGTGGTTATGACGACTTTGGACTGGGCGTCGATGACGCGGTCGCGCAGTGAGTCGGCCGAGAAACCGGCGAAAACTACCGAGTGAATGGCGCCGATGCGGGTGACAGCCATGAAGGCAACAATGGCCTCGGGGATCATGGGCAGGTAGATGGCAACGGTGTCTCCCTTGCGCACGCCCATCTGCCTGAGCACGTGGGCGGTACGGCAGACCTCGCGCAGCAGTTCGCCGTATGTCAGGGTCCGGCCGTCGCTGGGTTCGTCGGCCTCATAGATGATGGCGACCCGCTCCGGATCCTTGAGAGCGTGCCGGTCCACGCAGTTGTACGAGGCGCTGAGCTGGCCCTCGAGGAACCAAGCTGTGTCGCCGTCAGACAGGCCACCTGACTGCACCGTCTCGAAATCCCTCTGCCATGTCAGGAGCTCGCGTGCCTTCTTTCCCCAGAATTTGTCTGGCTCCGAGATGGACTCCTTGTACAGCTGCTGGTATTCCTCCAAGCCTTGGCGTTGTTGGCACCATGCTGTTAGCGCTGCCGCGCGTACCGATATCAAGCTGGCCACCTGAGGGACGCGGCTGCATCACTTACTCTCCAAATGTGGCTTGCTGGGGTGGTCTACATCCAGTCGCAACACCAAGTTAGCCAAGGCGATGTCATCTAAATAGAGAGTGGGGTGAGGGATATGGCCGCCTCGCCACGACCACACACAAGGCGAGCGAGCGCATTCACAACGTACTGTCAAGCATTTTTTGTGGGGGGTCTGCATTCCACAGCCCTCATGGTCAGCCAATCTTGTCCAGAGAATCCTGCCTGCTTGCCGAAGCCCCTGCATTTCAGGGGCACCAGGCGCTCGGAAAGGCGCAAACAACTCACGGTAGGTGTCGACCTCGTGGGCCTCGGCCACAACGGGCGCTTTGCCAGCATCCTGCGCCATGTTATGCGGCAGGGAACAGCCGAAGCGAGTTTGTTGCTGCTTGAAACTATTCGCACGTGCGCTATGACAGGAGTGTGGGAGGAGAGAACAGAGGTGGGATACAAGCCGGGGGGCGTTCAGGAGCAAGCTCTCGCACGAACGGGGTAGTGTACCGCGGGCAGCGACAGTCCACAAGACGGCGATGACGTGTGTGGAATTTGCTGCGACTCGGGGCGGGCCGCGGGATGGAACCTGTTGTCAGAGAGGCTGGCGGCAGGATCAGAACAGCTTTGGACGGCCGGGCGATCGAATTGTTGGGAGGTGCCAGGCGGTGGAGGAGAGGACCGAGAAGGGCCGCGGAGCCTTTTGTACTTTGCCGAGGGGCTGTTGGAGGTCGGCAAGGGGCACCAAAGAGGTATTTGAGGAAGGACCAAAGAGGTTTAGGGAGGCCGCCGAAGCCGAACGAATAAAGCAAAAAAAAAGGGGCATGGGAAAAAGGTTGAGCATGAGCTCGGCCAAGACGAACAAAGTACTGTGGACATGAGCTCCGGCCCCTCTCGTCCCCAGGTTCTGGGGCTCGACGCGGGCGGGGCCCTGGGCACGCCCTGCAGCAGCTGGGCGGCCAAAAGAGCTGCGCGAGGACGGGGCAGGCGAGGGGAGCACTCCGCGCTGCTGGGATGTCGACGACCACGAGGTTGCGGGCAACCCCAAATTAGGGCGGGCCGGCTGGCGGATGCGCGTACCTGGTACTTGTCCCATTACCCCAACGTTTCTTCTCCGCCGCCGATTCCATCTGTCCGCCCGAGATTGGAGCGGGCTGGGTGGAATCCCGTGGCTGGCGCTTCCGGCCCTATACCGACCTTGCTATTGAAGCTGTGATTGAGCGCCCATCTGTCTGCTTATCTTCATGTTCTTGCATACAGACAAACTGTCACCGTGTCAAGCTCGCCCAGGCCACCTTCTTGTGGCCGACACAGGGAGTGACGCTTGCTCGGCCAAGTGGCCTGTCCAGCACGTCCGGCTAGATCAAGGTGAAAGGGCTGCGCACGACAAAGAGCTCCAAAGCTACCAGCCAGCCCAATCCCCCCGCATTCCCAGCTCGTCAGGACCAGGGGGCGGGCACGGGCCCTGTTCAATCGAGCGCCCTCCATACCGCCTGCCCCGCCATCGCCATCCAGCTTCCGTGCACTGAGATCAGATGCGGGGTCGCGCTTCCTTCCGAGCAGGTCATGTCAGCGGCCGCTGGCCAAGGCGCCTCTGCTGGCGCGCTGTGACTCGGGATGACGTTCGCCGGGACGAGCAGGCGTCGCATCTTCGTCAGTTGTATCTGCTACTTTGCCGTCGCTCTTGCCCATTGGCGGGATACCAAGAACGGCAGAACCAACAGATTGGCGCCTGGGCTTCGTCATCAGTTCTTCCTCTGGGCGCAAATCAAAGCGCCCAAATGTCCCTTGTTTTTTGTTGCCCGAGGGTGTGGGCGAGGGTCGCGTGGCCGTTGACAAGCACGACAAGCTCCTCCCCCACAAGCTATCTTATCAGGGACATCATATCGGCTTGTACCAGGTACTTGGACCGCACAGCCTGCTTGCAGATCGCTGGCTGTGGTCGGGTATGTCGACGCTAGATCTACATCCGGATAGCTCAGGGTGAACGGAAGTTTCGCTGCCGTCATCCTCGGGCCTTGCGCGGGCCCTGCGGTTGTGCGGCCGCTGCAAATGGGTAAGGTAGGCAAGGACACCCATGGTCGGCAAGACGGGTATGCGGTTGGGCTCGCTTCATTAACTGCCGTGATTATACATCTAGCTAAACACAACCTAACCGGACAGCTAACGGCAGGAGGTAGGTGTGACTAATAGAGTGCGTATACATGGGCGTAGACCGAACCGCCCCGAGAACGCCGTGAAACGCTGAACATGGCTCTCCCTCTACTGCGTGTTCTGTCGGGCCAAGAAAATAGGCCACAGCTTCACATATCCATACTCATCAGATACATTTCCAGTATCCTCATAAACTTGGCCACAAACGCCTCGAGATGGAAGATGACTTTGGTGCCCATCTTGATGCGGTGCTCGTAAAAGGCCGACCACTGTATGACTTCGACCTTAAGCGCATCGTCTATCAGCGGTATGAGCTTAAAGGTGAGCGTCTTGAGGATCGTGGTCGGCGGGATGCAGTGCGTCAGCAGATCGTAGAACTTTGCCCGAACCTGCAGGATCCGCGCCGGCGTGTGTTCGTCCATGATCTCCTTGGCTATCTGCCCGACCAGCGCCTCCCAGTCTGGCGGCGGGATCGACGTCGTGTCTTCGACTTTTTCACTGCGAGGTGGAGTTGACGTTAGCACTCTTTCTCTCCAGTCCTCTCGCGCATGATTCTCAGGGGGCAGCAGCCGACTTTTGAGCGTGCACCGTTTCGAGCATCAGCATGGCGCGGCGCAGATTCCGCCCGCTCTCCTTGGCTATCCTCTGGTGCAGTTTCTCCGACACTGCCCAGCCCTCCCGCTTGGCCGACGAGGCGAGCACCGTGCAGACCTCCTCCTCGGTGGGCGCGGCCACCCGGACAAGCAGCGTCCGGGACCGGATCGGGGCGATGATGTTGGCCGTCGAGTTGGCCAGCAGGATCAGCCTCAGGTTGGGCGAGTACTTCTCCATGGTGCGGCGGAGGGCGGCCTGGGCGTCGCGCGAGAGGTGGTCGGCCTCGTTGATGACGACGACCTTGAACCGCTGGCGCGCCGACTGGTCGACCTGTTGCGTCTGCGCCACCTCCTTGAGCAGGTCCTGGATCACCACCCTGTCGTAGTTGCCTACATCGGATGGCGTGATCTCGAGGTGGTACACCGAGGCGACAATGTTGAACTCGAGTTTTTTGTTGCTACTCGTCTGGAACACGCGCGCATCGATCTTGATCTTCTCCACGCCGGGGCCGTATAGCTCCTTGAGCGTCGCCACGATTCGCGTTTTCTTGCCCGCCCCGGAAGGCCCGTAGATTAGGAGGTGTGGGAAGTCGCCGCTCCGCGCCTGCAAAAAGAAACAGCAACAGGGTCAATAGGCCGGGCAAAGACTCGACAGCGATCCGGGGTGCATGAGGCGTACCAGAGACCGCAGCCGGTCCGACAGCGCCTCATGGTATGTGAGAGCATCCAGGGACCTCGGCCGGTGCTTGTCCACGATCAGTGCCATCTGGGCGTATTTCTTCTGGCTAGTCTTGGTTCTATGGCTGGGCTGGCGCGGGGTTGCGGGATAGCAGAATGGATTCGGAGGTAATCTGGTGTTTTTCTGCTTGCACGAAAGCGACAGGTTCGACTGCCCACGCCTAAAGCTTGAGGGATGGAAATTACTGTGACGATGATGCTGGTTCCGTGCAGGCTAGGAGACGCGACATTTGCACAGAAGCGCGGCTGGGCCATTAAACGCGATGGTCCGTGCACACAGTCTTTCGAACGACCCTCTTTCCCCGCAAAGAAGGTTGAGACTCATTACACTGCAGTTGCAAAAACCAATTGCAACATCGATCCGTTTTGTTTTTGACACAATTAACGTCTGAGGGCCGCACCGCGCATGCTAGGCTGACAGCCGATGATTTCTGCTCGCTGTGGCCTCGAGCATATGCCTCCCACCGTCTGTTACTGTACATGCTACCTATACAACGGAGAACAAGCTGTGAGTACTGGCAGATGTTCATGAGGGAGCACTGGCCGTAACTGTTGGAGACTGAGGTGGGACTTCCGGGATAGGCAAAACCTTCCGTGGATTCTTCAGGTCCTCGAGAGTCACCCCGTCCAGCTTCGTGATGCCCACGACTGCAACATCGTTCTTGGTCACAAACTCGTACTGGCCTGAGGGTCCGTTTTGTGTTAGCCATGGCAAGCCCATCTGATGGGGTTTCCTTGGACAGTGGGTATGGCGATGGAGATACCGACCTGGTAGCTTGTTCCCGGCCAACCTGAAGGCGTCCTTGATAACCTGCTCGTGGACAAGGCCCCTGATTTCAAAGATAACCTGGCTGACTGCGACCCTCGCTGCCCAATGATCAAACGAGCCTTTTCCTTTACCCATACGGTGCTGAGATGGGACAAGCAAGCAAAGTGTTAGCGTCATGCTCGTTCAGGCTCATCATGTGCCTTCGGGGGGACCGACTTCGTTTCCGCTCGTGAAGACGCCTATGTTGCAGCAGAGCCTCTTGTATAGCCGGTACTTCTGTCCACGCATGCGGTTCTTGATTGCGTCCTCGGCGCGCTTCAGCTGCTGGGCGCTTATTCTCCTGTCGTGGTCTTTCATGCGCAGGCCGTAATCTCCCCACATGACCGTCGTTCCCTTGACCGATCCTCCTGTGGGAACTCTGGGACGGCCTTTCATCATCTTCTTTTTGCGGTCAAGGCGCGGCTCGAGCCATGATTGATTTGCCGCCGTCGAGGAGAAGGGCCGGGCGCCGGCAGTCGGGGCGGGGAGTATCGGAACGGAGCGGGCTGGAAGCGCTAGAGACGCTCGTAGACGAGTGGCCGCCAGAGATATACGCAGGCTCTGGAAGGCACCCAGCAAGGCCGAGGAGCAGGTCCTGCCCATGTTCAAGCCTGTGATGTGGTTGCGCGTACGTTAGGCGATAGCCCAGCGATGGGACGGCAGCGGAGGCTTCGATCGATGCGTACTTGCGCCGGCGGCTCCCAGGAAGCTGTGCCCCACATGCAAAACCACAATGCCTGATGCATGAGCTCGGACCACCAATGGTTTGCGGGATTGAAGTGCTGTGGACCCAACTCCATTCCAAGTCACGGTTCGTCGCGTCATCTTCGCGTGCGGCTGCCTGCCCACCCGCTTTAGTTTCAGGCGTCTTTTAAACCTCACTCCATCGTAGCCTTTGCCAGGACGACCCAGAGCTAATTGCCATGGATTGAGTTGACGTCTCGTCCATCCCCTCCTCATAGCTGTACTGGCCACACGAGGTCTTTCTGCCACTCGCTGTGCTAGACTCGCATCAAATCTGGCCTCCCGCTCTTGCCGATCTCATTATCGCTTTTTATAGGCAGCGACACAATGCCGGCCGATATCCGCTCCTTTTTCGGGGCAAAGGGTGGTGCCGCCCCCGCCAAGCCAGCCCCGAAGAAGGACGATGCATCCGCAAAGAAGGGTGGCGCTGCTCGAGGGAAAAGCCGCAAGGTGCTGGACGATAGCGACGAGGAAGAGCCCGCACCGGCAAAACCCGCTACCAGGAGCACCCCGAGAAAGAAAGCTGGTGCTGCCGAGCCCGTGAAGGGCGTTGCTATCTCGGCGAGTGATTATTTTGCATCCTCGGCTTCTGGCGACAAGAAGGCCCAGCCAACGCCCAAGGCAGCCTCCAAGATTAAGTCCGAGATCGAAATCCGCATCAGCCCGCGAACCAAGGAGAAGACGACTGCAGACCCGACCCCCGATGTGGCCCCCAAGACAACCAAGAAAGCGCCGGCTTCCAAGAAGCCTGTGACCTCCTACAAGAAGCACGATTCTGATGACGCCTTTATGGACGATGACGACGGGGGCGGCGACGATGATATATTCGCTGCCGATGTCAGGGGCCGCAACAAACGGAAGAACGAAGAGTACGTCGAGGACGACAGCGAAGATGAGCACCTGCCACAACCAAAGAGGATTGCCTCTCGTGTCAGAGGCGCAAGGAAAGGTGCTGTGAAGGACGAGTCGGAAGAAGAAGTAGACGTCAAGCCCTCGCGGGCTACCACGAAGGGCAAGGCTTCGGCCGCGGGAAGGAAGCGGAAGTCTCCAGAATCCGACTCCGAGGACGAGGAAGAAGAGGACGTTAAACCCCGCAAGAAGCCGGCCGCCAAGCCTCGGGCCGCGCCAAAAGCCAAGGCTGCAGATGCCGAAGACCCTGGGATCAGGGCCATTTTGGACAATGTTCCCACGGTTCGGCCTCCCACACCCCCGCCTAAAGATCCAAACGCCAAGTTCGATTGGAGGAAGGCAGCAGCCGGCGGAGGGAACTCGGGTCCTCCTCCCGATGCCGGCGCAATTGATCTGCCCGAGGGCGAGGAGGATTGCCTCAGCGGGCTCACGTTTGTCTTCACCGGTCTCCTCAAGACCCTTAGCAGAGAGGAGGGACAGGCGCTGGTGAAGCGTTATGGCGGGAAAGTCACGGGCGCCCCCAGCGGCAAGACGAGCTTCGTCGTGCTCGGTGACGATGCCGGGCCCAGCAAGCTCGCCAAGATCAAGCATCATGGGATCAAAACGATTGACGAAGTTGGTCTTTTCCACCTGATCAAGACACTCCCCGCCCAGGGCGGCAGCGGCAAGGGGGCGGAGAAGGCACGCCAGAAGCGTGAGGAGCAAGAGGAGCAGGTGAAGAAGGCGGCTGCCGAGATGGAGGCCGAGGAGAAGGCGCGCAAGGCAGAGGCTGAAAAGGCCGCAAAAGCCCGACAGGCCGCGGGGTCTAGAGGTTCTGTCGTGCCGCCGCCACCGGCGCCAAACTCGCAGCTGTGGACTAGCAAGTACGCTCCGACGCAGATCAGCCACATCTGTGGAAACAAGGCGCAGGTCGACAGGATCAAGGCGTGGCTTGAGAACTGGCCCAAATCACGAAAGTACGACTTCAAGAAGCGCGGCGCCGATGGGATGGGTGGCGAACGGGCCATCATCATCTCGGGCCCTCCCGGCATCGGCAAGACAACGGCTGCGCACATGGCAGCGCGGCTCGCAGGCTATGACGTTATCGAGAGCAACGCCAGTGATACTCGAAGTAAAAAGCTTGTCGAGAACGGGGTTAGCGACGTGATCAACAATACGTCCCTGCTCGGCTTCTTTTCTGGCGAGGGCAAGAAGGTTGATGAGACCAAGAAAAACATTGTGCTGATCATGGACGAGGTGGACGGCATGTCTGCCGGCGACCGTGGAGGAGTCGGGGCGTTGGCCAAGTTCTGCAAGAAGTCCGAGGTGCCGCTGATTCTCATCTGCAATGAGCGTCGGCTGCCCAAGATGAAACCGTTTGACCACGCAGCCTTCGATATCCGATTCAACCGACCGACGGTCGAGCAGATCCGCTCGCGCATCATGACCATCTGCCACAGGGAGGGCCTGGGCAAGATGCCGGCGCAGGTCATCGATGCCCTCATCGAGGGCTGCAACAAGGACATCCGCCAGATCATCAACATGCTGCACTCGATCAAGCTCGACGGCGCCGCGCTCAACTACGACCAGACCAAGACCATGACCAAGGCCTGGGAGAAGCACGTCATCCTGAAGCCCTGGGACATTTGCCAGAAGATGCTCGGCGGCGGGCTGTTCTCCCCCGCCAGCAAGTCCACGCTGAATGACAAGATCGAGCTTTACTTCAACGACCACGAGTTCAGCTACCTGATGATCCAGGAGAACTACCTCGGCACCAGGCCACACCTGCTCAACGGAAAAAACTTCGGCAGCAAAAGGCAGGAGAACCTCAAGTACCTTGAGCTTGTGGAGCAGGCGTCGGAGAGCATCAGCGACGGCGACCTGGTCGACCGCATGATCCACGGCCCGCAGCAGCAGTGGTCGCTTATGCCCACGCACGCTGTCTTCAGCTCCGTCAGGCCGGCCAGTTATGTGTCGGGCCAGCTGATGGGTTCCAGCTTCACGGCATGGCTCGGCATGAACAGCAAGACGGGCAAGCTCGGGCGATTTGTGCGCGAGATCCACTCGCACATGAGACTCAAGTCGTCAGGCGACCACAACGAGATCCGGCAGCAATACCTCCCCGTCCTCTGGGATCAGCTTATCAAGCGCCTTGCTGACGAAGGCAAGGATGCGGTCGAGGACGTCATCGAGCTCATGGATAGTTACTACCTGACCCGCGATGACTTTGACGCGATCAAGGAGTTGGGTGTCGGCTACCAAGACGAGTCCAAGGCTAGCATCGAAACGCAGACGAAGGCAGCTTTCACTCGAACGTAAGTCTACTTGCTCCCCGTAAACAATTGCATAATCCTGCCTTGAAGACATATGAACTAACCATCTACTCGTCTCGTCGCAGGTATAACTCGATGTCTCATCCTATTCCGTTCATGAAGGCAAGCAACGTCACGGCGCCCAAGGCGGCAGCCAAGGATGTGCCAGACCTGGAGGAGGCCATCGAGGATGACGACGATGCTGCAGTTGTTGCGGAACCTGCGGAGGCTGAAGACGAGGACGATATCAAGAAGGACAAGTACATCAAGCAGCCGAAAGCAAAGGCGAAGAAGGCAGCAGCCGCGTCCAGCAAAAAGACTACCAAGAAGTCGGCGGCGGCAGCGGATGATTTCATCGATGACGACGATGACGATGAGGCAAAGTCTGCGCGGGGGAAGGGTAGGCCGAAGGGAACAGGGGCAGCGCCCAAGGGAAAGGGCAAAGGAAAGAAGTAAACGAGTAAGCCGATTTTATAATATCGACCCCGCTTGTCATGTTCTTGGTGTGCATCTGACCTTTTTTTTCCTCTTGCCAATCTTGCGTTTATGCTTTATTCCTCGGAGGAGAGATTCAATACTATGAAGTACGTAGACAGGAGGGGCCGAGCAATGTTGATACGGTGAAAATGGTGTTAAAGGAACTGAAGGTGGAGGCTGTTCTTTTTCCCACCATAGATTGGGCTGGAAAAGCCCCCAGGCGAGATGTCGCTTAACTCGCTTGTGATATTTCTAGCGCGCACAAAGAAAGAATCGGTTACAGGCCGGTATCAGGCCGGTGTTGATATCATCTGGCCCCAAAAAAGAATCGAGCTGTCCCCTGGGGCCCATAGCCTCACTACACTGTCTGATATCCCTCACTTGGCTCTCAACTGGTTTGGTCCTTCTCAAATCCGTCCAGCCCCGGGTGGAGCCTTTCACTGCCATATTCTCCTCCTCCACCTACCTCGAGCCGACGCGACCTGGCACACATCCAAATCCTACCGCAAGCCTCATTTCCTACCCAGCCTCTCGGCCGGCGCCCAGGTCTCCCCCTCTTCTCTATCTTGGTTTCAACCGTGGCTGCCTGGTTGTCCTATCTTCTCTTCCACCAGCGTACCCTGTTCCATACCTGTCTAATATCCAACCTGGGCGGTGGAATTCTTCCCCGCCCGGAATTCGATCCCGCCGCTCAGTACCACAACAAGTGTCTTCTTTATTGTGTTCTGTTTTGCTAGCATCAGCCAGCTTAGCGCCTTTCAGCATCATGATATCCTGGACCGCCAACCGTGAGTACAGGGACTATCCGATAGCAATGACTTCGTTTCTCCGCTGCCCGCTCGCTGGGGTCCCATGGGTAAAGCGCCTTCTGCTAACGCTCACCCGCCAGATCAAACCTCGCCGCGCCTCAAGCTACCTCGCCGCCCCAGCGTGCGTTTCGGAGGACGAGCCGCTACCACCAGAGATGTCAACGGCTGGACCACAAGCCCGGTCGGCGAGCAGGATGCGCCCATGATAGCGCCCAAGTCCTCCCCGCAGCGCTTCTCGGCCAGGCGCGAGCACGACAGGACCAGCGGGACGGCGGCGTCGACGGTTCCCAACTTCTCTCTCCGCGATATCGGCGCCTCGTCCACGTCGCCTGCCGCCGCCAGAGAGTTGCTACCCGGCCAGCGGCGCCCAGACGGAAGCGGCTTCCGTGCCTCAACCCGGGCCGAGGAGGGCGGCTGCTGTTCTGCCACTGGGGGCGGCCAGGACGATCTTCCGGTCCTGTGTGAGGACATGGTCTCTGCCTACACCACTATGCGCGGCCCCAGGCCCGTGGACCAGCCTGACCCTCTTCTCTCGCTGCTGCTGGCGCGCTCCAAGGCCCAGACGAACGGCACCACTAGCTCTGCCTCTGTTGCTGCCTCTGCCACTGCCACTTCCTCGGCCACCACATCTTCAGCCGTTCCCGGAACCTGCTTCTCTCTGAACAAACAGAGCTCTCCGTACGTGCCGTCGCTGCTGAGTCCAGATCACAGCCAACCTTTCCTGCTGACATCAAAGGCCCTTCATTCGACTCACGCAGATACCAAACCACCCTCATCACGCCCGTCGACGACGACTGCTCCGTACTGTCCTCCCAGCCCACAGTCATGTACAACATCCTGCGCTCGCCCCGGAAGAGCTCCCAGACGCGTGAGCCCTTGATCGGCATCCACGCTCCCGAGGTCCGCTTCAAGTTCGAGGGCGACCCGTGGAAGTGCAAGCCCTTCGAGGACACCCTGGCCCGCAAGATGCCTCGCGGAACAAAGCATGGCTCCCTGTCCGGTGGCCCGGCTCCGGCCTCGGGCTCGTCGATGCCCATCGAGGCGTCTCAGCCTCCCACATCCCGGGACCAGCCGCCGGACCTGGCGCAGCCTACTACGGATTCAAGCACGGATGCTCCCAAGCTGATGAGGGAGCCCATCATGTCCCCGAGCGACTTCCTCGTCCTGGCCAAGGGTGCCCAGGCCTGGCGTACCGACGAGCTCCACCGCGAGGCCATGGCGGGCATGCCGGAGCCGGCCCGCATGCGCCCTCTGGACCCGTCGCCCAAGACCCCGGAGCCGCGGCCGCGGTTCGGCGACCGCTGGAACCCGGCCGGGTTCCAGCCCCAGTTCGATCGCGACAGCGGGGAGCCCATGTCGCCGCACTACAAGGTCCCGTCGAGCCCCTCGATCCTCTGGAGCCCTCGCCGTGCGTATTTTTCCCCTCCCTCCCACCGTCTCTTGATGGAATGTAGGCCGGGACCCCGAGCTGACTGGACCTATGTGTGCCGCAGCCGTGACTCCCGAGATGATGTACCGCCATTTCCCCCACGGCGAGTTTGACCGCATGGACGCGGCGGCCGGCGAGGCGTGCCGCGAAGCCTGCCTGGGCCGCATCCCGTCTTTTGGTAGTGGCGGTGCATGTCCCGACCAGAGCCCCTATCCCGAGCTCTTTGCAGAAGTAAGTTTGGCAGATACGATATGCAGATATGCACACCCCCGGACAGACCCCCATAGCCTTGGTCCGAGCCACGTTCTGACGAGAGCCAACCCGCCTTGTTTGCCTCCAGGACGAGATCGACGAGGTCCTCGCGACGCACCGCGGCCCCATCTTCGACGACATCCACCCCTCTAGCTTCCGGGACGCCATCGACACCATGGAGGAGCACCTTGGGCTGTCGCGGCTAGAGCACGAGCGGCTCGAGCGCCAAAATGAGCGTCAGCGCCAGCGCCTGCGCGCCCTGGAGCGCCTGCCGAGCCCCCCTTCGCCTAGGCCCGGCGGTGCCGCCACCCAGGGCAGTCTCTCCCCGCGCCGCAGCCGCGATCGCCACGGCGGGCACGACGACGCCGTCGAGCAGCAGCCGGGCAGGAGGGCCCGCGTGCTCCGGCACATGGCCGGGCGGCTGCGCGACAACCTCTGGGCCCACCACTGCCTGCAGGAGGCGTTGGGCGCCGCCCGCCGCGAGCACGCCTCCCTGCGCCTGCACATCGACCGCCTCGAGCGCCACCTCCGCCCGGCCGCCGCGGGGTACCTAGGGAGCGCCGGCAAGTGCTACGATGACGATGACTTCTTCTAAAACAAAGAAAAAAAAAAGGCCACCTACCCTTTCTACCACTCCCATCATCTCTATTTTGTCCTCTGTCGTCATCGAGACTTGGTCTCGCTTACGTAAAAGAATGGTGTTTTGACTACAGCCGGGGGTGATTCCGCCCTCATGTACCGACAAATCAAGGCCATGTCACTCTCCCAGCTTCTGGGCCGGGCCGGCTTTTGCTTCGGCCTTGTTTTGTCTTCTTGTTTACGTGGTGTACATGTCAGGTAAGCTCGTCCAGCAAGACTTGCAGCCACCAGGCCAGCTGCTTATACAAGGAACGCTACCCTTGCTAACACTGCCCATCGCTTCAGAGCTGTTGTTCATTTGCGAGTGTTGAATCTACTGTATCGATCGGCTTTCCATACCATCTAACAAGGATTGGGGCCAAGCCGAGCCGCTGTTGACATTTTTCTTTTCCGTTCCCCCAGTTCAACTCAGTCTTGTACATTACCTTTGCCCTGTTTCGCCCCTGGAAGACACGCTTCTGTTTTGCACACTGTCAGTTGTATAGTGTTCACCTTTGTATCACATCATCATGTCTCATTCGTCGTCATTTTGCGTTGAGTTTTCATGGAGTTCCAAGATGGATACAAGAATTTGGGAGAAGCGCCTGGAGTTTCTGCAGACGCCATTTTGTCACTTTGCCATTAATAATAGCCTTGGCCAGGATTTCCTTGCTGACACCGCCCTAGGCGCTGGACGCGACCCGTTTGTGCGCCGAGACCATGGTTCACAGGATGCTAAACAAAGTGTGTGTATATGTACAAGCGGTCCGAACGGGAGCAGCCCGGTATCTCATGTCGGTTGCAGCCCCCTTCGACCTTTGTGTCTTTTTCTCCATAATCTAGATGAAGTGAGATGTCCAAAGTAGAGAGGAATCGAAGAAATTCAGACCCAACCAAACCCGTGCTTTTGTTTTGTCGTGGTTGTAAAGTAATTCGTAAGAGCATTATACAGGCTGGATAGAGCCAGGGCGCTGGCCGGAAGCACATATCCCAGTTGCAAGGTGGCTGAGGGTAATGTGAAAGTGGGGGAATATGGTGGTGTTACACGGTATATGCTTCGTCAAATATGCATAGCACGGCAATATGGAGCCGCCGCCGTGGCCTACGCGTTCTTTACGCGTTCTTGACAACGCCGACCTTGGCGGGTCTCAGGACGCGGCCGTTGAGCTTGAAGCCGGTCTGCTGGGTGAAGAAGACAGAGCCGTCCTCCTTGTCGGGCATGGGGTTCATGAGGGTGGCCTCGTGCTCGTTGGGGTTGAACTTGGCGCCCATGGGGTCGAAGCGCTCCACGCCGTGCTTGTCGAGCGTCTGGATAAGGATCCTCTTGGTCATCTCGATGCCCTCGTGCAGGGTTGTGAGGTCCTGGTCCGCCTCGGCCGCCGCCGCGAGCTTGTCGGCCGGCACAGTGGAGAGGGCCCGCTCCAGGTTGTCAACCGTCTCGATGAGGTCGCGGGCGAACTTCTGGATGGCGAACTCGCGCGCCGCCTTCATGTCGCGCTCCTTGCGGTCCTGGAACTGCAGGAAGTCATCCACGGCCCGGCGGTACTTGGTCTGCGAGGGGGCGATGGCGGGGTCGTGTTAGCTGTCTGTGACTGGCGGCTTTTTTGTCTGGTCTTTCCCAGCTTACCTTCCACTCCTCTATCTCCTTGGTCTTGGCCTCCAGCTCCTTGTTCGGTGCCGGCTCTGCCTTGACCGAGGCCGCTTCTGCCTCCTTGGCCGGCGCGGCCTCTCCCTCCTTGGCGGCCGGTTCAGGGTCCGGCTTGCCGGCCTCGGAGCTCGACCACCTGACGAACGACACGGTCCTGGTCGGTCGGCAGATGGCCGGCAGGGGAAGGGGTCGGAGCTGGGCAGCGGGGGCAGGCCATCTTTGACCGGCTGCGCGTGCCGAGCATCGGAGGATGCGAGAGGGGGCGGCAAGGCTTTGTCGTAACATTGTGTGAGGAATGTATGTGTGCGGTGCTGGTATGGTGCTTGTTGCTGGCGTGACAAGGACGGTCTCTCTTATTCCCTTTGTCTAGACTAGCAGAAGACCAAGAAATTGCTTTGCGACGGCTGGATGTGTGCCCTCATGCGATAGTTGATGGACGCTGACTTTTTTTCTCCCTCGTTTTTTTTTTTTACGTCCCAATCACCTAACATCCCCCCTTGGCCCAATCCTTGCCGGTACTTTTCGGTACCTGGTCGGTGAAAGCTCGGGCAGCGAGCATTGCCAAGCTACTATGGAGAGGAGGTACCTCCGTTGTACCTACACGAGTGTACTTTTTAGTGGAGATCTGACTGGATTTCGCTGGCGGGCTCTGCAACTAAACTCACCTGCACGTTGTGGCCTCCGCGTTATAACCTTTGGCTTTGATCAACCCTTGACACCCGTCTTGGCGCACCGCTGAGAGTGCACGCATCGACGACGAACCTCTCGCCAACCCTTCCCGAGGCATCAGCGGCCCGGCCACAGAGGCGCAAGCGCAAGCGTCAGGACCCTGGCTCTGGTCTTTGCAGCCCCACAGCCGCCCTTCAGGCTCGCTGCCCGCCTCTCACGGCCTCGAGGCTCCAGGACGCTGGTGGGCGAGGCTGCGGCGACGACGTGACGTGACGTGACACCGGTCCCTCTCTTGCTTCCTCGGGCGAACGACACCGACGCCGCGATCATGGACTACAACCCAGACTTCGACAACGCCGACGAGCTCGGGGCGACGGTCAAGATCTACCATGCCGACAGCGTGCGCGTCAACTTCGAGCTGAGCAACGTCGACCTGTCGCTGGCCAACGCGGTCCGGCGCGTGATGCTGGCCGAGATCCCGACGATTGCTATCGACAACTGCGAGATCAAGGAGAACACGAGCGTGCTGGCCGACGAGTTCATCGCGCACCGCCTGGGCCTGGTGCCGCTCGACGCGCGCGGCGTGGCCGACCTCAACTACTCGCGCGACTGCGACTGCGAGCAGTACTGCGACAACTGCTCCGTCACCATCGAGATCAACGCGCGCTGCGAGGTGGACGACCCGGGCCACGTCAGCAAGTTCTACGCAAAGGACTTGTGGGTGGTGGGCAACCCGCCCAACAAGTACGTCGGCAAGCCCGTCATCACGGACCCGGACGAGAACGGCATCATCCTGTTCAAGCTGCGCTACGGCCAGGAGATACGCATCCGCTGCATCGCCAAGAAGGGCATCGCCAAGGAGCACGCGAAATGGTGCCCCGCCACCGCCATCGGGTTCGAGTACGACCCGCACAACCGCCTCCGCCACCTGGACCTGTGGTACGAGAAGGACCCCGACGAGGAGTGGCCGCTCAGCAAGAACGCCGAGCGCGAGCCCGCCCCGCAGGAGGGCGAGCGCTTCGACTACGACGCCGTGCCGAACCGCTTCTACTTTGACGTCGAGACGGCCGGCAACCTGCCGCCCGACGCAATCGTGCAGGAGGGCATCAAGACGCTGCAGGAGAAGCTGGCGGGCGTCATCCTCGCCATCGAGAAGGGCGACGCCGCGGCCAAGGGCCTGGGCGGCGGCGAGGACTACGACATGGGCGGCTCGGGCGGCGGCGGTGGCGGCGGCGGCGGCGGCGGCGATGACTGGGCCGGCTACACCGTCTACGGCGGGAACAACGGCAACGTCACGAGCTACGGTAACGACGGGGGGTATGGCGGTGGCTCCACGTCGTACGGGCACTAACGAGGCATTGCTTCCTTCCTTTCCCTCTTCGCATCACTTTCGCCCTCCTCCTCCAACACCGTGTCCCACCTGGCACACACCTATTGCTTTGCTGTCGCTGTGATAGAATGGTGTGTAAGCTAGTGGTGTTCCATGCTTCCTTGGGGTCTTGGGGGGTGTGAGCAAGCCGCTCCGGCTGCGGTCATGGCGCCACGCGGGTGCCTCTTGCAAAGGAATGGCATAAATCCGGGTTCCTTGCTTCTTTTTCTCTTCTTTTTCCCTTGGGGGTGTCTGGCGTATGTGGCTAAAAATCAGAATGGCGATATCCTGACTAGAGACGACGACATTAGATCCTGGGGTGGTGGCTACGTCTGGTATGCTGCTGGTTGATTCGCTATTATAATCCATCTCTTTTTTTTTTCGTCTTGGAAACCGGCCCCGGTGTATTGGGAGTGTTTGTTTTTGTGTCGACTCTTGTTTTTCATTCCTTGCCCGGGCATAAGACACCTCGTGCCCGCTGCCCACCGTCGGAACGCAGTCTTTAGACGAAGCAGTTTCATGAGCAGTCATTTCTGTAAACACAGGTCTATCGGTCTTCGGAGTGGGCACGAGCAATCCAAGCGCCTGGGAATGAGAGAAAAATGACATATATATTTAAGTCCTATGCTAATCCAACGCCGATGGCATGCGTTATGCTGGCTGGTGCGTATGTCTATACTGATGTGAAAACGCCCGGCCCGAGTCTATTGTGTACCCACAAAATACGCCCGCAGGGAAACAGGAAGGAGAAGTCTGGTCATAGTGATGTGGTTGGCTGTAGGTGGTCGCACAAGCAGGAGCGCGAAGAGGGTGCGGTCTCATGCTGCCGCATCTGTGCTTGTACCTTTGAACTTTCTATACATGTTTCGATGCGCTTCTAAAAAGAGAAATGTACATATGGTTTGCCTGTGCATCGCCCGCGGCTTGCATGTCAGTGGCGGCGGCCACGTGGGTAGGAAGCATCAAAAGACTTGGGTTAAACTTACGGGCCGAGACGCAAAAAGCTAGGGACCCAGCCCTTGAACATCCAGCCGACGCCCTCGGCCGAGTAAATGTCGATGACGACCTTGGGGATGCTGGACGACTTGCCGCTCGCTGACATGATGCGCGTCTTGATGACGTCGATGGGACTGGTGACGGTCGCGGCGACGACGCCGGCGAGGAAGCTGGCGGTGAAGTGTGTGGGCAGGCCGTCGCCGAGCGCCGTGTTGGCGACGATGAGGCGCTTGAAGGTGTCGTACGAGGCCAGCTGGGACGAGGTCATGGCGGCGGCGCGGAGGCTGTTTGGCAGGACGCCACGGAACCAGCTCGCGGGCCCCTCCTCGCACAGCATGCGGACCATGCCGTCGGCAGCGTGCCTGTAGTTGCGGCGCTGGCGCGGGGGAAGGGCGGCGTCGTGCTGCATGCGCACGTTGAGCACGTCGGCGGCGTTGCCTGAGACGCCGCCCACGAACCCGGAGCCGGCCGAGATGGCGATGAGGGCGATGAGGGAGGGCTCGCGGCCGCCCGAGCGGGCGGCGTGGCGGGCCTTGAGTTCCTCGTAGATGCCGAAGCGGGTGGTGCTGTAGGTCAGCTGGCGCAGCAGCGAGGCCGACAGACCGGCGTAGAGGCCGCGCGCGCCGTCGTGGCGCACGATGTGCACAAAGGTGCCGCTCATGCTCTTGGGCATGTCACCCGTGCGCATTTGCAGTCGCACCTGCCAGGCCGGTTAGCGAGGGGATATTTATGTGGTCTTGGGGTTGCCAAGGGAATACATGAATACATGCCTTGACTTTAACACGACACCTCCCACTCCCACGTTAGCCGTCGGCCCGGGCATCAATGACAGACCAAAAAGGGGGCAGTGAACCGCAGAACTTACCGAGATCCAGAGGGTGGGTGACGCAAGCGGCCAGGCTGGACGCACTGCCTCCGAACCAGAAGGGGTAGCGCACCGCCGCGGGCTTTGGCCGCTCCCGCTCGCGCACGGCGACGGCCGCATGGGCGGGCGCCGAGCCGGCCGGGACCGCGGCCGCCAATGATGCAGCGGCGGCGGCGGCGGCGGCAGCGGGCGGGGTGGTCGACGTCGACTGCATCTTTGCAGCTCTCAGGGCTCGGCAACCACGCGCATTACGCGGGTGGAAAGGGTTGGAGAGAGGGCGATGGGAGACCAGGTCAAAGAAAGGGGCGATGACGTCGGGTCTTGGGGCTCGCTTAGTGGTCCTTGGGAAGCTAAAATCTGTGACGTTTTGGGTGGTGGAGGATTATTACAGTGGTCTGGAGGAGAATTGATGCAGCCTAGTCTGCCGTTATTCCCAATTGATCGGCAGTACGGCCCCGACAGAAAAAAAACCCACCCTTTTCCGGGGTTCCTTGCGCCTTCTCTAATGACGGGACCAGCACCAACCTCGGCCATGATGCATTTGCTCTGTCGTTTGTGGGCTCGCATGGCCGTCGCGCGTCATCCTGCGCACCACACCGCTGCCGTCTGCCCTGCAGCGAGCGAGCCCGTCCCAATCAGTTGATCCCTGCAGCAGCGTGAACTCGTGGAGCGGGGCTGCCATCGCTGGAGCGAGTCAGGGGTCCACCCATGCGCTCGTGGCTCGATTGGCCAGAGAGCAACCAGACGGACAAAATTTCACATCCAATGGCTCTCATCTGAGCTCTCACCACGAGCAGTACAGGCAAGCAACAAGCAAGCAGCTCGCGATGGTGGCCAAGTCTGAGAGACATTGACTGGCTAAGCCACAAAGAATAAAAAGACATAAAACAATCCGAATAAACGTTTCACCCGAGGCGACGTGACGGACAGTAAACCAACCAACTACGAGATAACCCCTGAACGAACGGGCTGACCTCCAGAATGGCCTCACTTCTCCGCTCAGGGGTTGGGGTTATCTCAAGGGTCCGGGTTTTGGTGCGAGCAAGACACTATCAAAGGACTCTCCCCATCATCCACATACATCACACAAGGGCGTTTTCCAAGTGTGAGTTTAACACATAGCTCGAGTCTGGCACAATCCCTCACTCACACCCACTCACCAGCGACAACGCCCTTTGCTGCAAGTACTCCAGCCCCTGATGCTACAAGTACTACAACCAGCCCAGGGCAGCCAGCCAAACCAACCTCGCCGCCGAACATCACACTCAATGGCCGCAGCTACAAGACAGACAAGTGGTTCAATGTCCCCCCAAACGTTGTGGCTGCGACGTCGCGGCGGCTCCATCTGCACAAGGACCACCCCATCTCCATCACTAGGCAGATAATAGAGTCCAAGTTCCCGGCACCGACCTTCAAGTACCACAATGCCTTTGACCCCGTGGTGTCGGTCGCGGAGAACTTCGACTCGCTCGGCTTCCCGCCCGACCATCCGGGCCGCGCCCGCTCCGACACGTACTACATCAACAAGAACACCCTGCTGCGCACCCACACGAGCGCCCACGAGCTCGAACTGTTTGGCCGCAGCGAGAGCGACGGCTATCTAGTCAGCGCCGATGTGTACAGGCGCGACGAGATCGACCGCACGCACTATCCCGCCTTCCACCAGATGGAGGGCGCCCGAGTGTGGGACCGCGCCAGCGTGCCTGGCGGCGACGTGGCTGCCGCCGTATGGGCAGACTTGGCGCGGCTCCCGACCCACGCCGTCGAGGTCCAAGACCCGAACCCGCCCTTCCACGCCGAGCGGAACCCACTCCAGGAATCTCACCACTCCCCGGCCGAGGTTGAGGCCACCGCCGCCCATCTCAAGCGTTCGCTAGAGCTCATGGTCGTCGAAATTTTTACACGTGCCAAGGGCGCGGCAGCGGCAGCGGCAGCCACAGGAGGGGCCGCAGTGCCCAATGACGAGCCGCTCCGGATGCGCTGGGTCGAGGCCTACTTCCCCTTTACGAGCCCATCGTGGGAGCTGGAGGTATACTATGGTGGAGACTGGCTCGAGGTTCTCGGCTGCGGCGTCTCGCAGCAGCGCATCCTGATAGATGCCGGCGTCCCCTCGCAGATGGGATGGGCCTTTGGTCTGGGACTTGACCGCATCGCCATGCTGTTGTTCCAGATCCCCGACATCCGGCTATTTTGGTCACACGACGAGCGCTTCCTCGGCCAGTTTTCGGGCGTGTCAGACGACCTCTCAAAGATCCGGCCCTTCGCGCCCTTCTCCAAATACCCAGCCTGCTGCAAGGACGTGTCTTTCTGGCTGCCATCCACAGCCTCGGCTGCGGGCGGCGGATCCCAGGTGGAAGGCCCGCAGGAGTTTCACCAGAACGACGTCATGGAGATTGTGCGCGACATCGCGGGCGATGTGGTCGAAGACGTGCGGTGTTCCGACCAGTTTGTGCACCCCAAGACGGGCAGGCGCAGCATGTGCTACCGCATCAACTACCGCAGCTGGGAGCGGACGCTGACAAACGTCGAGACCAACGACTTGCACGGCCGTGTGACGGATGCCCTTGTTGACCGCCTGGGGGTCGATATTAGGTAGTGTGTGGTCGACGGCATGTCTGCCCAGCTGTACTGCAAGGCTCCCTTGAGACCGAAACGGACATGAGAATAAAAAGAAGAAGGGAAGATGAAAGCCAAAAGAGTAGCAATCAAGGGGCTGAGCTGCCACTTGCTCAGCCGAAACATTGAATGGTCCGAATCAATCAGCCCACGGTCAGAGGCTGAAAACTAAATCGCATATGCCCCAGGCAGTGCCACATTTTCGACACAGGGGGCCATGACAAGTCGGAGGATAGCGTCGCGGCTTTGGAAGCCCTGTGCAAGGATTGCATCATCTGACGACCTATTGCGCTCGCCGCCGAAGTTGCAGAGGCCCGGCGGGCTCTGAGACCATTCCAGTCTCTCCAATGGCGAAGAAAAGGAGAAGCATAAAACCAAATCAGGCATATGGGTTCAGTCATATATTATCGCGCAACATTACATGTATGTACAACACGGCAGGAAGTGGATAGATCACAGGAACGGTCAAGATGCGCGGGTCTGGGCCCGGTCGAGGCACGGGGGCGACTGAGACGGAGTATTTGCCGGCGCCACTCGCCGAATCGCCGTCGCTCGACTTTCGGTCGGACTTGCGGTCGAGGCACCCGACGTGTCAAGACGTGGTGTGTGGCTGTGTAAAAAGGCAAGAAGCAACAACAGCAAACTTGGTTTGGCCTCGTGCTTGGAGGCTGTGCAGTTTGATTTCTCCCCCAGCTTACCATTCAGCGTCCCTCTCCCATCCCCACTGCCTTGGCTCTGTCCGTGCCATCGGTAGCTTCACGAATGGGCTCTTTGTTGAGGCGCACGCGACTGGCTCCATCTAACTTTTTTTTTCTTGCTTCTTCTTGTTTCTCTTCAGGCGATAAGCAGGGCCGGGCCCTGGACGCGCGCGTATGGGTAATCTGGACAGGACGAGCTTGCGTTTTACCCACGCAAACAACGGTCTTCACCACATATATTACATGTATGGCGAACGGGTCCGGGCCGGCCAGGTTGCAGGGTAACCAAGGAAAAACGGTTGCTTGACCTAGGGATCCCGTCGCAATTGCCCTGGAACTCAGGACGGTGGGTGGCCCGCCGTCGCCGTTGGGCTAAACGCGGCTGGAAGGTCTCGGGGATAAACAAATATACATGAAAAAGGCTGCCAGGGTGAAAATGGCTGGGCATAGCCCGGCGAGCTTGTCTTGGGTGCGTGGTGGAGGCGTGCCAAGCTGCAACGATAGTGGGAAAAAGCAAATTGCAGCCCGCGCCTCATTGGCTGCCTCGCGATCCGCCTGCCATGTCGGGTAACCCGCAGCAGCACATGCGAGACTATGTGTGCGGTAAGTACATCAATACGTGGATGTACCCAAAGGGCTCGAAAATGCCGGGTTCGATGGAGCGCAGGCACAGCCTCGACCTCAACGTAAGTTCTGGCCAATGGCAGCAGCCCGTGGGACTGGGGGACAGCCACCGATGGATCTTGTCTGGAACCTTCCGCTTGCCGATCCGGGGGGGCACTATCGCCATCGTATTGTTTTTGTCACGCACGCTCTCTCGCTCTCACGGTGCTCTGCGTGGCTCTGCAGGACTCCGGCTTGGCGAGGGTCGTGTGTGGCGAATTCCGTCACTCTTGCTCTGAGCTGGCTCTCTCGCCTGCGCTCTCTTTTGTTCTCGCCCACTACCGGCACCTGTCTGTCTTCTGTCCCTTGGTAATGTCGGTGATGTTACGCGTCGACTGGAAGCGCCCAGGCTGGGGGCTGGCGCGTATTTCGTTCGTAGGCGGTTGGCACCTCAAAGGCTTGCATGTTTCCCGGCTCAGCCTCCAGCCAGATTACCTTTTTCCGCCACTGAGTAGGTTTAATGGCACGCTGTGGCCCTTGCCCGGAGGCCTGGGTTCCCACAGGCTCAGGGCCCCTACCCGGGTACCTACCTGGCGCACGCGCCATACAGCAGCACGGTCAATGGACAGTGCCCCCGTCGCCTGGTTAGCGCTGAGCGCCGCAGCAGTGCCGCGCACCCTTCCATGAGGAAGCGGGTCGCGGCCTCCCGGATGGGGGATCAACGTTTCACGAAGCCGAAACTCAGAGCCAGCCAGCCAGCCAGCCAGCCAGGCCAGAGCCATGGGCATGGGGCGGGCTCCATCAAACGGGATCCCGTCTATCTGGCGGGCCACAAAAAAAGGTGCTGCGGCAACCTCGGACGAGGCATTTGCGGTTGCTGTTGATGGTGATTGCGCCACACTCGAGAGGGCCTGTGTTGTTTGCGAGCCTGAGTGTTGCGTGTGCAGTATATATGTATTCCATCGTGCCCTTTGTCCTCCCTGCTGTGCTGTCCAATCCCTCAGATCTCGATCCCAATCACAACTCACAACATAACCAAAGTACCCCGCCGCCCATTTCTACAGTAGCAACCTCCAGGACCAGCCTCACTGTATCGCATCTACACTCTTCCACCCTCTCGGCATAGATCGAACCTCCACAACCCACCACACCCACACACTTCCACAATGGCCCAGGACGAGTCAAGGCCATCGCCGCCCTCGCGGTCCTCCACCTCGAGCTCCAAGCGGTCGCTGACCCTGGACCTCTCAGGCCTGCCGCCGCTGACGCCGCCGGTGCAGCCGACCAACACGCTCCTCTTCACCAACCTGCTCGACCTCGACATCTTCCGCCCCGACAACCTGCAGACCATCCGCGACCTCGTCGCCCAAACGGCGCCCGTGCACTCGTGGGCCCCGCTCAAGTCGTTCCGCCGCATCGTCGCGTCCTTCTACTCGGCCGAGGCCGCCGTCGCCGTCCGCCGCGCCTGGGACGGCGAGGACATCATGGGCGCGCGCTGCAACGTCTACTTTGGCCGCCCCACGCCGCTCGACGCAAAGGACGAGCGCCTCGCCCTGCCCGACGCGGGCAAGCTCTTCTTCATCTCCCCGCCGCCCTCGCCGCCCCACGACTGGGAGATGCGCCTCGAGGGCGCCCCCAACAAGCTCGTCCACGCCGAGGACCTGGCCGACGCCCTGGCGAAACTGCACCACCACAAGCCCGCCGACGCCGACCTTGTTCTCGCCGAGTCGCCCCTGTCCCCCGCAGAGAGCTTAGCCGCCGGCCCCTCCCCGACCTCGGCCCGCGCCGGCGCCACGAGGAGCCGGAGCTCGACCCTCATCTACCAGCCCCAGCAGGTCGGCGCGTCCCCGGACCTGCCCGCCATCGCCGTCGAGGACATGACCGAGGACCCCGAGGAGATGAGCCCCATTGACTTCAACAGGCCCATACTGGCCCACACATCCCGTCCCCCCGTCGAGCTGATGCACCACGCCTGAGCCCGTTTGTTTGATTGGCTTTGCATGGCTATCAGGGAGGGGCCGTCTCGCACAACGCATACACGCAACAAACAAACAAACAAACAACAAAAGTACAATAATTCCTAACACGCGCACACAAAGTCCGTGGCGGAGAGAGTCACCGCTTGCTGCGCCTCGCTGACCCCCCCGCTCCCGGGCGTGAGCGGACGGACACCGAGCCTCGTAATCAAACACCTGCTACCACCACCGCCCCAAAAATGCTGCGGCGGGGCAATGCACGAGTTGTCAGGACCTGGTCCCCAGAGACCGCAACCTTCATCGCCCGATGGCGCCTCTCCCCTGGCCGGGAAGCCGGGCCGATTTTCTCCAACCCCACCCGTAGACGACGCCGCCCGAGAGGTCAAGGAGACGAGGCGAAATAACAAAGCGGTCTGACACAGGTACGCGTGTGGCGACTTCTGAATGGAGATGTGATGGAGTTTAGGGGGAGCAGGAGCCTTGAGCTGCCCGCGCCTCGGGAAAAAAAAACATACATCAAATCAAATGTACAGATATAAACCCAAGAGATGACGCATCTATGAAATGCGCCTCCATCAACAAATGGTCGAATGAAATATTGCTTACTGCTACCACCCAACCTCGGTTGCTGATTCACCTGCGCTTGCTTTGCATTTTGAGCCCACGGCATCTTTTCATGAGTGGCTGATGACGGCGCACCGCTGGCAACATGAAAGATACGTTGAAAGCCTGGTGGCTTGGGCCATCTCCGTCGCTTCAACCGCAGACGGTGGCGGTGGCGGTGGCGGTTGTTATGGGCGTCGCGGCTGGCATCTATCCCCTGTGATTCGTTCGTTTTTGTCCGTTCACGTAGATGCTCATCTTCTCCTATTCCTTGCGTCGGTAAATAAGTATTAGGGCCTGCGCAAGCACGCATATGCGGACCGAGACCGTCCGAGAGCCAGGTGTGCTCCGTCTCTCTAATGGGAATCCGTGCCTCACTTGGGCTCCCGACCATGCAAGAAGGACCTTTCGGTACACCGACTTGGGGAGAAAGGCGCGAGCTGCACCGCCCGGCCGGAGCGCTCGGCCGCTCTAGAGGGTCTTTGGTCCGTCCGTCCCATCCTGTCCTTTCCTGTTCCGAGCCCCAGGTCGCATGGGACTCCGTCTCGCTCCCCCCATCCCACAGAGTTTCTTGATCAACCTGTGCGGCTGCTGCCTCGTAGACATAAAGCCGTCCCCTTCCGCCTCGCCGCATGCCCCTCCCTTGCTGTCCCAGATAACGCCTCAACCGTTGATGCACACTCTATGAGAACCCGATCTCGCCTGTCCCAGCCATCGATCTTGCGAGCCCTTGCTCAACAGCCCTGCCTCTTTTTTTTTTTTTTGGCGTGCTTTTACTTTTGCTGTCCGCGCGGTTGGTGTAAAGAATGGCCGTCACCACTCCAAGCTTCCTCTCCTTCACCTCGCCGGGGGCGGAACTGGGGTGGCAGGCATGTTTCTGATCTGCTTGATGAGAAACTCGCGCTCGTCGATGAACTGCTCGTCGTCGGTTCGGTCCTCGAGGAAGTGCGACAGGAAATTGAGGAGCTTGTCGCGGTTCATGAGGAGGATGCGCTGCACGGGCACCGACTTGTTGGGGTTGGCAACAAACACCTTGAACACGTGGAAGCCCTCGTACTGCACCATCTTGCGGTCGTCGCGCAGTAGGTTCATGCAGATCTTGAGGTGCTCGCCCGAAGCCACGTACTCGGTCATGACCGAGTAATTGGACCGGTCCAGCAGGATCTCGCCCAGCAGTTTGATAGACTGCCGTTTTGTCACATAGCTACTCGACTGCACCAGTACAGTGTTGTACTTGCTGCAGAAGAGGCTGAAGTTGACCCGGAGGTAGTGAGGTACTATCTCCTTGTGTTTGGTGAGGATTTCCTGGAAAGGGGGGTTAGCGCGTCCAGGTACGAGGTCCGATCCCATCAGCCAGGCATTATGGGCTCACCCTGAAAGTTGTAAAGGCGTCTGCGGATACTTCAAAGGAGCTCTTATCAATCCAGTCGAAGAACCGCCAGAAAATGCCGTTGCCCGTCTGGGGCTTGTCCTTGTCAATACTGCCAACGGGCTTGGGGGTGCCGCCCTCCTCCCCTTCGTCATATAGAATAATTGTACAGGCGGCCTCGTGCTTCAGCACCTCGCGCAGAACCGAGCCGGCCGCCGTGGCGCATTCCTTGTGGTCGTATGCCTTGCACAGCTCCAGCAACACCTGGGGTCTTTGCGTGACGACGTAACTGAGGGCGACAGGGTCGCTCTTGGCCGAGGCCGAGGGCGGCCGGAAGCGCAAGGCCGACGAGAAGATGACCTGGGCGTCCTTGCGCGATTCGAAGGGCAGCTTGTGTAGGTTGACGGCCAGCAGGTACAGGAGGTCCTCTTCGATCATGCCCAGTACCACCTGGTACACATGCTCTGGGTTGACTTCGGCCTCTGCGTCATTAAAAAGGCACCGCCTCCGCATCAGCAGCTCGCCCAGACACGGGAGATGGAGTGGAGCAAAATGGGCTGGTTGGCAGCGTACCGGTTGTGCCTTGCATGACCTGCTTCATGTGGCTGAGGATTTTGGATAGCTCCTCGGCCTGTTGCGTGTGTGGTGTACGTTAGCTGCGATTTGTATGGTTAAACACATCGAGGCCGCATGAGGCTGGCCCCTGAGCCGACGGGGCTGAGGGTGGGTGACCGTACCTTGCCGGCACCGCTCTGGTTGTCAAGCCTGAGCACATGTTCGCGGGCCTGCTTGGCTAGGTCGAGTGTGTTTGTGCGAATCCTACCCCTCCCAAAGAAGAATGACATCTCGGTGGCCTGTATTGACGGCTTCGCCCAGGGCGAGCCTCAGTTCTTTATGCTTTTGTCTCACGGCTCCTCACGGGGGACCGATGCTAGCGAGGCCAACAGGGAGCGACCGGCCGATACAACGCTGTCGCCGGTTCGTGTACCGGATTCGTGTGCCGGGTTCGTGTGCTGGGTTGTCGGTTGTCGGTTGGTCGTTTGGATTATCGTCGCCCGAGGCTTGGCTGGATTGGCTGGGCAGCACAGCGTGGAAACCCAACCGGATGGCTTGGCGGTTGACACAGCGAGAGGGTTGGATGTAGCCCAAAGTACCCCCTGGGTCGTCTCTGGGTCAAGTCGAGTTACGGCCGTCAATTATGCTGGCACGTGAGAAAATGCTCGCTGGGATGATGGGCGGTGCAGCAGTAGTCCTGGGCCTGCGATGATGCTAGCCTCGATATTATTTACTCGTCGCCGTGTTTTGGTTTCCTGAGGCAACATATATCCTTGAGGCACATCAATCCCACTCCAGCACGGTCGCGCCCGTTAGCTCCCACGCTTGGGCACATCTCCCCAGCTGGGACATGCGCCGCTGTGTGCCAGGGCCCCACTGTCCAAGCCTGGCTGTTCGCTGGCGGGGCTTCAGGGGTTTTGTTGTCGACATGAGCAGCGCACCGCGGTCTCCAGAGTGACCTCGATACCTGGCGGATACACTACAAGCCTCATTGTGCCTGCCGCATGCTGGCTGCTGGGTCCCTGTCGTGCAATCCCAACCCGACCCACTGCGTTCCGCTGGCTTGCCCGCGCTCCTTGTCCCGTGCGCATCATTGCACTTACCCCACCATCAATCCCGCCCGCGCTGCGACGACTGTTTTTACCCCGCCACACACGCGGCGCACGAAGGTGCTCGACTACTGTGCTGTGCAAGCACCGGGAAACCACCGCGACGGGGCGTTGAATTATTTTCGCCCTTGAGTGACTCAACGGGGCTGCCAAGTACATAACCCACGACCACGACCGAGACGCATTATTTCGGGGAGAGTGTCTCCAGTCGACACAGAATCTCTCCCTTCTTTGCTCACCGGGATTTACCTGCCCTGAGTTCATTTGCCTCAATTCCTCCTCCTTGGTCCGCATCGAATAGCTTCGGTATTACCGAGGCGCACGCCACAATGTCGATCAACTTCGCCAAGGAAGAGGAGGCTGTTATCCAGAGATGGCGCGATATCAAGGCCTTTGAGCGGCAGGTATGCAAACCATGTCGACACCCCGTGCGCCGAGCAGGCGCATTCACAGGTCCGCCAGCTCACCACTTTGCGCTCTAGGTCGAGCTGTCCGAAGGTCGGCCGCTCTACACCTTTTATGATGGCCCCCCCTTCGCGACCGGCCTGCCACACTATGGCCACCTCCTCGCCTCCACCATCAAGGACATTATCCCGAGGTATTGGTCCATGAAGGGCTTCCATGTCGAGAGGCGCTTCGGCTGGGACACGCACGGCTTGCCCATTGAGCACGAGATCGACAAGAAGCATGGCATTTCAGGCAAGGCCGCTGTCGACAAGTTCGGGCTCGCGAACTATAACGAGGAGTGCCGGTCCATCGTCATGCGCTATCGCGAGGAGTGGAGGCATACCATCGAGCGGCTAGGAAGGTGGATCGATTTCGACAACGACTACAAGACCATGGATCCCAAGTTCATGGAGTCCGAGTGGTGGGTTTTCAAGCAGCTGTTCGACAAGGGACAGGTGTACCAGGGCTTCCGTGTTATGCCCTACTCGACAGTTCTCACCACCGCCCTCAGCAATTTCGAGGCCAACCAGAACTACCAGGACGTCACGGACCCTGCCGTTATCGTGTCCTTTCCGCTCAAGTCAGACCCCGAGACGTGTCTGCTTGCCTGGACCACGACCCCTTGGACCCTTCCGTCCAACCTTGCCTTGGCCGCCCATCCCAATTTCGAGTACATCAAGATCCAGGACGAGAAGTCGGGCAAGAAGTACATCCTGCTGGAGAAGCTCCTAGGCACCCTATACAAGGACCCCAAGAAGGCCAAGTTCTCCGTCGTCGAGAAGATTAAGGGCAAGGATATGCTTGGCTGGCAGTACGAGCCCCTGTTCAACTACTTCTACGACGAGTTCAAGGATTCTGCCTTCCGTGTCCTCAACGCAACCTACGTCACGGACGATGGTGGTGTGGGTATTGTCCATCAAGCGCCGACATTTGGTGAGGACGATTACAACGTCGCTGTTGCCGCGGGATACATCAACGAGAACCGACCACCGCCCGATCCAGTCAACGAGACAGGCCATTTCACCGCGCAGGTGAGCGACTTTGTTGGCATGCACGTCAAGGAAGCCGACAAGCACATCATCAAACACCTCAAAGGCACGGGTAGACTGGTGGCCGAATCGCAGCTCAAGCACTCATACCCTATGTGCCCTCGTTCGGATACGCCCCTCATCTACCGTGCCGTGCCCTCTTGGTTCGTGCGCATCCCTGAGATCGTCCCCAAGATGCTCGAGGGTATCGAGGGCCAGCACTGGGTCCCCAATTTCGTCAAGGAGAAGCGCTTTTCCAGCTGGATCGCCAACGCTCGCGACTGGAACGTCTCGCGCAATAGGTACTGGGGCACACCGATCCCTCTGTGGGTCAGTGACGACCTGGAAGAAAGGGTGTGCATCGGAAGCATAGAGGAGCTCAAAAAGCTGAGCGGCTACGAGGGCGAGATCACGGATCTGCATCGCCATCACATCGATCACATTACCATCCCCAGCAAACAGGGCAAGGGCGTTCTGAAGCGCATTGAGGAGGTGTTTGACTGCTGGTTTGAGTCGGGAAGCATGCCGTACGCCAGCCAGCACTACCCGTTTGAAAACACAGAGAAGTTCGAAAAGTCGTTCCCCGGCGACTTCATCGCCGAGGGCCTGGACCAGACTCGCGGTTGGTTCTACACCCTGCTTGTCCTGGGCACCCACCTGTTTGGCATTGCGCCCTTCAAGAATTGCGTCGTCAACGGTATCGTTCTCGCCGAGGACGGTAAAAAGATGTCGAAGCGTCTCAAGAACTACCCGGCGCCTGACATTGTCATGAACAAGTACGGCTCCGATGCCCTGCGGCTGTATCTCATCAACTCCCCCGTCGTGCGCGCCGAACCTCTCCGCTTCAAGGAGACCGGTGTCAAGGAGGTCGTTCAGAGGGTCCTTCTGCCCTTCTGGAACAGCTACAAGTTTTTCGAGGGACAGGTTGCTCTGCTGAAGAAGGTAGAAGACAAGGATTACTGCTGGGACCCGAACTCGGGGTCGTCCAACACAAATGTCATGGACCGCTGGATTCTGGCCAGCTGTCAGAGTCTTCTCGAGTTCGTGAACGAGGAGATGGAGCGTGAGTCAAAAGAAGTCTACAGCAGAGATGCTCCCCTCCGGCTCGCGGAGGCGCAAAGTCCTCCTTGGACGGGATTCTTCCATGTTGGGCTCGGCTAACCTTCCAACAGACTACCGTCTCTACACCGTCGTCCCGCAGCTGCTCGGACTGATCGATAATACAACAAATTGGTATATCCGCTTTAACCGGAAGCGTCTCAAGGGAGAGAATGGGGTGGATGACACGTTGCACGCCCTGCACACACTCTTCGAGGTTCTCTTCACTCTCTGCAGGGGTCTGGCGCCTTTCACGCCTTTCATCACGGAGACCATCTACCAGAAGCTCCTTCCATTCATCCCCGCAAACATGCAGGGCGAGGACGCGCGAAGTGTCCACTTCCTACCATTCCCGACCGTTCGCCGAGAGCTTTTTGATCCCGAGGTCGAGAGGAGAGTCGGGCGTATGCAGAAGGTCATTGAGCTCGCGCGAGTGTCTCGGGAGAGGAAGGCTATCGGACTCAAGACACCGCTCAAGACTCTGGTCGTCATTCATCACAGCTCAGAGTATCTGGAGGACGTTAAGTCTCTTCAGACGTATATTACCGAGGAGATGAACATCCGAGACCTGGTGCTGACTTCGGACGAGGCCAAGCACGGAGTGCAATACAGCGCCACGGCGGACTGGCCGGTTCTGGGCAAGAAGCTGAAGAAGGACATGGCGCGGGTCAAGAAGGCGCTCCCGGGGCTGACGAGCGAGCAGGTGCACAAATATGTGCTCGAAGGCGAGATCGTGGTGGACGGCATCAAGCTGGACGCGGGCGACTTGGTGGTCAGGCGTGGGTTGAGCGAGAGCCCGTCGTCGCAGAACCTCGAGACCAACACTGACAATGACGTGCTCATTATCCTCGACTGCGAGCTGCACGCGGAGCTGGCGCACGAGGGCATTGCGCGCGAGATCATAAACCGAGTTCAGCGGTTGCGCAAGAAGGCGGGTCTGCAAGCGACGGACGACGTCAAGATGGAGTACGAGGTACTTGGCGACCCCGAAACGATCGGTCTGGCCGATGTTTTCGGGACACAGTCGGCTATGCTGGAGAAGGCGCTACGAAGGCCAGTAGAGAAGAGTGCGGGGCCGAGTGGCGAGGGCCTCATTGCTGAGGAGCTTCAGGAAGTGCAGAAGGCGACCTTCAACTTGCGGTTGCTGAAGCTGTAGTTTGACACAATGTCGATCATCGGAGGAGAATCTACTTGAGAATAAAGTGCACCAAGTGGCCACTGGATCTTTTAGTCATTCATTGGAGGGCGTTGGTAAATCGTGGGCATGATTTTGAGCATAGAGACGGAAAGTCTTTTGAGGACAATGGTAGGTAAAAGGAAAGAAAAGAGTGTGAAAGTGAAGGAAGGGAAGGTGGCCGAGAAGGAATCGGGTGGATAGAGAAAAAAAACCCCCCAAAGAATAAACGCTACGACTAAATAAGGAAAGCTGCCCGTATTTCCTTTACAAATCCCTCTTCATCGTGGTTTCTTGGATGCTGTCTGTGTCCCGTTGTAAGTAAACGAAAGGCGAAGGAGAAATCTGGGGACAGCTTACCAAGTAGCAGTCTTTGAGCTTCAGGAACTCTTTTTTGCATTTATCCTTATGGACTGCGTTGTAGTCTTCAACGATGCATTTGCCATAGACGGCGGCCTACACATCAGTGTATATCTAGTTAGCGAGTATTGTCGACAAAGGAAAACTGATGGAGTTGCTGGGAGGGACTCGCCTCAGCCGAGCATTGCGACACGGCCTGTGCGAATTTTTGGACGGGGCGTGTCCTGGGTTGCATCATCGCAAGATTGACGGTCGCAGTGTTGATACTCCGGGCTGAGATCGATGTGATGGACTGAGATGACCTCTCACTATGCATTCCTGAAGCCTCCAACTTCCATGCACTCCACAAGCCCAGAGCTGAGGTGCAGGTGGGGTGCGGTGTTGGTATTATGTAATGGGGCTCGCGTTCGTCTCGACGCGGGTTGCTGCACGGTCTGTCATTTACGCGCCTTCCTCCCTGGCGCTGAGGTCGACGCGACAGCTGCAAAGCAACTGGACAATAGAAAAAAAAAGTTGGTTGGGATGCATGTGCCGCCCAAGCTCCCTGGTTGTTGACTTTATTCGTAAGGTCACCCTTGCTCGCCGCATCCGTTACACAGTACCTGTCTCGTCGCCCTCGCAGCTGTCGTGCGCCAGCACCAGGAGCGTCGCTCGACTGACTGATTGATCCTTGGTGCTTTCTCTTCCTCATCTTCTTGTGCTTGGGGTTTGTTTTGGTATTGTACACGCGCAAGCCTCGGCTACTACATTAATTTGTCCAGTAGCTTCCACCCTTCAATTCGCTATCCCATCAATCCTATCGATACTCTCGGCGACCTCGACCGTGCTGAAGCCTTGGCGGGCGCAAAACAACACACCACACGACCCGTTCACCACTTCGCGCCTTGTTGGCTCTTCTCGCTTTGTTGCCTTGACCGAATGCGGCCCCCAACAACCGGCTTCTGACCGACGACGACGACGACGACGGCGACGGACGCTTGCCACCCTCGGACCGATCCTGCGTGGTTGCGGCCTCGCGCTTGCGACGACTCGATAGCGCTTTTCTGGGCGTCGCGACAGCACCCGCCCTCCGGCACCCTCGCCGCCCACGAAACATCTTGCGCCCCGACGACGACCAGCGCTAACGGCCACCGCCAACGGGCGACAGCGCCGTCTGCGCTTGGGATCCCGGCCAATCCCACGATAATAATGACTTCGCCGGCGCGCTCGCCCCCATGCCACCTAAAAACTTGCTATCCGGACGCGATGGCAGAACAACACCATCTCCCGCCTCGCCTTCGCGACGGGACCAGATCTACTCCGAGGATGGTGCGTCGACTCCATGCCAATCTTGCCGCCCGTTGCGCGCTGCTGACCAGTTTCTCGTCTTGTTTCGTTCTCTCCAGATATCAAAGTCATGTTCCTTACCGTCAAGCGCGGCCAGCAAATCCAGCTCGAAGACACTAAGGGAAACCAGACTGGCGTCTCGGCCCTGTTCGTGGCCGCCGACGAAATCTTTCCAAAGCATAACCTCTCTCCCGATGACCCAAAGATGTCGTCCCTCCTCTTCAAGATCGGCTCGAAGCGAGGTGTTTCGGAGAACCTGCTTGAGAAGTTCCGATCCGTCCTAGATAGCATGGGAATCGAGGTGACCATCGATGGCGAGCTTTTCACTGGCGTCGAAGATGTGGCCCATCTTTCATCACCAGTTCGGGTTGCGCGCTCGATCGTGTCCGTCACCACGCCCTCCTCCGTCTCCACCAACATTGGGCGGCGCGCCGTGTTGCCCATCCCTACAAACTTTAATGGACGCCGACGCCGGAACTCTGATACTACCGCGACGGAAGCCCTCGAGAACGTGGCGCCGTACACCGTACCTCCTCGCAGACGTGCCGCATCGCTGCTATCCTCGCCAACCTCTACCGAGAGGCCACCTCTTACCGCCCTGCCGCCGAGTCTGGGTCAAAAGGAGCTCCCGATACTGTCTAAGTGGCTCTTAGAAGCAGGCGCTCAGCCTGGACCAGTGCTGCATGCCGATGGCCCTAACAGGCCTGGGAATCTCGGCGGAAGTAGGCTGCGACGCGCACTATCGATTGGCGACTCATCACTCGACGCCGATGAGGTCGTGCCCGACCTCTCAGGCGCAGAGGATGGCATGGATGGCAATTACGAGGGTTATCAGGCAAGCCCTAACCAGCTGCCACTGCGGCCTGGCAGCCCAGTGCCTCCCGAGGACGTGTCTCAAGAGGCCGACGTCTCACGAAACGGCGAGACAGCCGAAAGCGGAGCCTTCGGTGCGGATCGTGGTAATCCTCGGGGCCAACTCCAGCCGAGCCCCATGTCTCCGTCTCCGCCTCGTAGTGGTGGCGGCGTCAGCCGTGATGGAGGCTCCAGGCACAACCCTGACCTTCTCGGCTACCTCTATCGTAGCCATCCTGAGGGGCAAAGACAACCCCCATCCTACGCCGCCGTCTCTAATGCTCCGCAGGCCAACATGCCGAAACCATCTTGGCTGCAACCACATTTCGACCGTTTGACAACTCAAGGCGCTGCTGTATTACCACTTAGCGAGTCACGGCTAGAGGACCTGGAGTTGAAGGTCCGCATGGTTGAGGGCCGGCAGGTTCAAGCATCTTTGGCTGAGTGGCGGGAGAGTTACGAAAATCTCATGGCGTCTGTGCATGGCATGAACACATGGGCCTTCACACTTGAGCGCCGCTTTCTGCTGACCAGGACTTTCAAGCTCTGGCGCGGGCACACATGGAAAGCCATTGCCGAAGGCCTGGAGCAACGCCAGCGGGCTGCTGATGCGGCTAAGGAGGAGGCCGAGGCCATCAGGAGGGAGGCCGAGATAATAAGGCAAAATGCCGAGACTGCCAGACAAGAAGCGGAGGCTGCGATACGCAAGGCAGAGTCGGCAAGACGAGAGGCCGAGAACGCCCGGCTCCATGAGCGAATGATGAGGCGTGCGGCCCGGGCAGCTGATCTCTCGCTTCTGCACAAGGCCTTTACCCACTGGAGAGCTGCCGCGAGCCACGAGGCAGAGCGCACCGAGATCGCGCGGAGGCACCTGCTAAGGAAGAAGGTGTTCGTCGCGTGGTCGGAAAAGGTTTCTGCCGATCGCACCAAAGTGAAGGCCTTCGCTGCTACGGGGCTTCTCGGCGCGTGGAGCAACGCCCTGGAGCAGCACCGAGAAGTCAAACGGTTCTCGGCCCAGATGTACCCTGCCGACCTCGCGAAACGATGCTTTACAAAATGGCGCCGGGAGTACCAATCCTGCGCCGCTGAGCTCTGGTACTCGGTGCGCCTCGCTGAGGACTGTGTTCACAAATGGAAACACGAGACCAGTCTGTGCAGGGGTCTGCATGCAGCCGCCGAGGCAGATGCCGTCCACTCTCTACGCGCCAGCTCGATCGGCGCATGGAGAAGTATGAGCGCGGAAACGAAGGCGTCGACAGTGGAGGCCTCGGATCGCCTAGAGAAGCGCCAGCTGTCAGGCCTCCTCAGCACCTGGCATACACAAGCCATGCTCGAGTCCAGGCTGAGGAGAGCGCTGGTCTCCCGAGAGGAACGCATCAAGACGGAATCCTTGCACGTTTGGAAGTTGAACCTCCAGGCGGCCGGGACGCAGAAGCAAGCCGCCCAACGGCGGAGCATCCAGGGGTTTGCGCGGCACTGGGTCCTTGAGCTCGAGCTGAAGCTGTTTAGGGAGAATGTTGACAGTCTCACTCTACTTTCTTCGACCTATCAGTGGGTGCTCGAGTCGAGGTCGAAGCTCGTCCGGAGGTTTAACCGGAAATCAACGCAGAACTCGGCACTTCTGAACCTGCGGGCGGAATACGCCAAGGAGAAGCGCAGGAGAAAAGAACACCAGGCACTGGCCAAGCTATGCTACAAGGCCACAATCGCGGATGCATTTATTGGCGCCATGAGCAGGCAGCTCGGAGAGAGCCAGTGGATGGAGGAGGAAGCGCGAAGGGCGGACTCTGCGCAGGTGACGGCGCAGGCGGTGCAGGGATGGGCGGCGCAGACGGCGGAACACGAAGAGATGGAGGACGCGGCCCAACGCGGTGCCTTTTATGTCGGTGCCATCAACTGTCTCCACGCATGGCCACGGCTTGCCAAGGCGGCACGCCAGGAGAGGCTGAGGTTGACGTACCTGGCATTCCGGCGGAACATGAAGATCGAGCGCCGAGCCGGCTGTCTGGCCGTTTGGCGGGAGGCCACATACAATAGCGCTGTGACCGCCTGGGAGTTTGAGAGAAGGCGACAGGAGCAGCTGCTGGACGAGATGGTCGACTGGCTGAACGACTGGATCGGCGAGACAAATCGCATGATCGGCATGGGCCAGACCGCCGTCGAGGTCGGGACGGAGGCGGCAGTGGGCGCATGGCGTGGCGCAGCGTCCAGGCTTGAGGCCACGTGGTCTGACGCCGCCGCCTACGAAGCAGAGGCGGTTGCGACAGCCAGGCTCGAAGACTGGGAGCTCCGGCTCGTCACGATACGAGGGCGGGAGCACACGGCCTCTGGGCTGGCCGAGAAGAACCGCAAACGCCTCGCACGACAGGCTCTTGGCTTCTGGCTCGGCCAGCTCTCGCAGATGCGCGGGGGCAGCGGCGAACAGGAGGCGGCTCTCAGTGGCGGCAGGACGCCCCTGCGCTCGAGTCTACGCCGGAGCCAGGCTGCCACAGCCCCACCCGCCTTTGCTTCCTCTCCGTTCTTCCCCCCAAGGCGCGAAGGCGGGCCGAGACAAACAGACGAAGCACCACCCCCAACCGTCCGGCCTCGCGACCAACGCCCCCCGAGGCCGCATTCCCAGCCCGACCTCGGGTACTCTTCCACCGCTATGTCGTTGGATTCTCAGGCACATCAGAGACAGGCCTCGAACAACGCCTCACTGGGGGGCTCCTACCGCCAACCTAAGCCTCCTGTCCGACTCGGGGCTGGTCGTTTCTCTCAAAGCACCTCCGGGCCGTACACACCCCAACCGTCGCATCAACAACAACAGCAACAACAGCAACAGCAACAGCACGGCTACCCGTATACCACCCTCGCCGGAGCCCGAGACTCGATCCTAGCGCCAATATCGGAGCGGTCCGAGGGCTCAAGCCGCGCCCAGGCGTCGATGCGCCACTCCACAACCGACAGCAACATGGGCCCCAGCGCAGACCGGCTGCGGTCGTTCCGGGAGAAGCTCGCATCCGCATCGAGATTCGCAGACTCGTTGGCTGAGTTTGACGATAACGGCGATGACGATGATGACAACGATGGCCGGGCTCCCAGCAGCAACTCGCGGGCGTCCAGGGCGGCCGGCAAGGCGCCAATGACGGCAGCTACCCGTCCACCACCCGTAGTCATGGACACGCCCACCAGATGGACCGGCATGCCCACGTCGCTGGCGCCGAGCAGACGCGGAGACCCTGGGCCTACGACGACTCCAATGGCGCCCCTGCCGTCGCCAGTAGAGAGGCAGCTGCGCAGGGAGTACGCCCCGTCGGCAACGATGCCGCTACCAGCCTCGTCCTCGGCCCGCGGCGGCGGCATCGCGCGCCCCAACAAGCTGGGCAGGTCGTGGGCGGGCCGGCCGCCACGCGTCACCTTTAGCGGCGTCGACCAGGATAGCGACGGGGAGAGCTTGGATGACGGTATGTAAAGGACGCCATGAAAATATTTCGTGGCTGGCTGCCGAGATATGTGATATTGCAGGCGGTTAGTGGTGTTTTTGTAACATGGGGGATTCGGCATGACGATAATGGAATGGCCGGGGAGGACTCTTCGAGGTGGTCTATTCGTCTGTATTTTGCTTGGGTCGCACAGCAAGACGGAGCAAGGTGTTACGGAACATGGATGGTCACATTTGGTCCTTGTTTTTTCGGCTTCTTCTATCTATTTCTTTTCTTGTTCTCGCTCTGAATGCCCTGCCTGTTCTTGTTTTATGCCCGCAAAGTGGCTTAGTTTTCTTCTCTTCAGTTCTCTTTTCCCTTTTTTTTTTTGGCCTATAGGGGCGGGCATGGCGTCTTATGTGGATAGGCCGGCGGCACGAACTCGCGGATTTTGTTTGGTTCGTTCAATCTATACCCCCCTTCTCTGTTCACACCATCATAAGGCATAGTGAGCTTCTTCGATGATACTTGAATGCGTCCAACATCGCCCTCGGTCAGAGATACTGACGAAAGTGGTCTCTTGCCGGGGGATGAAAATGAAAGACATGCACACGCATGTAGGCAGGAGTGAATCAATGAGTGCGAGAACCAAAGTTATGATAGCATTGGGCTCGAAAGCGATCCCAATGAGAAGGGAATCGTCGTGACATCTCAGTACTTGATGCGAAATACAGCAAAGACAGACAAGAACAGGTGTAAACAAGAAAGAAAGAATCCAGACAAGCCGTGCAAGCAAACAACCCAGAGAAGAGCAAAACAAGACACCGGAAACAGAGCAGCGTGATAAACAAAAAAATCGAGGGTACAAAACGATGAAAGAACCTCCTCCACACCTTTCTGTTCCTACAAAAAAACGTCAACAGACTCCCTTTGCCTACTCTCCCCCCTCCCTCACTCTCACTGCTGCCAGCATCAACATAAACCAGCAGCAGCACCCAGAATAAGTATTAGAAACCGTCAAGGCTGTTACACCACCACCTCGCCCTCATCGGCCGCGTCGCCAATATCGCCGTCGTGCTCAGAGCAGTTGTCATACTCGTCACCTGTCTCGTCGTACGTCGTCTCCGTGTGCCTCGAGTGCCCGTTGTCGCCGTCCACCTCGGCGCCACCGCCGTTGACAGATAGAGAAGGTACGCGGTGTTGTAGAGTTGTAGTGTCCCCTGCGTCGTCGTAGTCGCTGTCGTCGTTCTCGCCACCGGCCGACTGCGGGACGCTGTTCTCCTTGTCCTCCCGGTCACCGTCGAGATCGCCGTAGCCCTTGGCGACCCCGGCGGGTACTGCTGGGACCGGAGGCACAGGCGTTGTGGCGCGGCTTCCCGCCCAGCTCGTCTTGCGCATGCCGGAACGCCCGCCGGGCTGACGCACGCTCTGGCTGCGCTTGAAGCCGCCGCCAGCGACGTTGTTGTTGATCTGGCTGAGAGAGACGATGCGACGGGCTACGCCACTGGCGCTGGACTGGCTGGGTGGCGCCATGCCGTTGGTGTTGGAGGGTGTAGCCATTGCCATGTTGATGGGCGCTGCGCGCTGCTTCTTGTGTTCTGACGAGCGCTTACTGCCTGCCCTGGGCGTGTCGTCCGCGGCAGTTGAGCCCAGCGAGTCCCTCCCACCCTGCCGCTGTGATGACACGCGCTTGCGGCTCATGGCATCACGGCCCTTGCCGGTGAAGCCACCGGACTTGGCCATCAGCAGCACGCGAGAGTGGTCCATAACGCCCTCAAGGATGCGCCGCTCGAGGCCCTGCGCGCGGTCCTCGACCTCGCGCAGCTCCTCACGGCGCAGTGAGGCAGCCGTCTCGAGCGAGGCCACATCGGCAGTGAGCCGCATCCTCCGGCGAGAGAGTTCGTCCTGCTCAGCGCGCATGGCCTCGACACTGCGCCTGAGCGACTCCTGCTCCTCGCGGAGGGCGGCAACGCTGGCCTCGAGGGCCTCCTTCTGCGCCGCGCCGCGCTCCACGGCCAGCAGAGTGTCCTGCAGCGTCTTCTCGCGTTCCTTGCGGTCGTCCTCGATACGCGCCGTCTGCGCCGCCACCAGCGCCGCCACCTCAGCGGCCGTCTGGATCACCTGCTGGTGAACCTTGTCGAGTGTGTCGAGCCGGGCGAAGGCCTTGTCCGCCTCCTGGGTGTGGTCTACGAGCCGGTCAAGCTTGCCATGTACTGCAGTCTTGTCTTGGTCGACCTTGTCTGACAGGCCATCAAGCTTGCCTAGAACCGTCGTCTGGCCGGAGCTGGTCTGCTCAGACAGCTTTTCGAGCTTATCGACCACGACAAGCTGGTCGCTGTCGCCCTGCTCAGCCAACTTCTCCAGCTTCTCTACCACCATCAGCTGGTCGCTATCGGCCTTTTCCGACAACTTGTCAAGCCGATCGACGACGATGAGCTGGTCCCCGTCGGTCTTGTCCGACAGTTTTTCGAGCTTGTCGTTGATCATGGTGCTGTCCTGCTCGGCCTTGTCGACCAGTTTGTCGAGCTTCTCGCCGTTGGAGAGGATGCCGGCCTCGAGCTTTTCGCCCATACTGTCCACCTTCTCGGGAACTGAGAGGAGAATACCGTCGCACTGTTCCGAGACGCCCTGGACTTTCTCGAGAAGGACGTCACCGTTGTAGCGTTGCGAGAGCGCCTCGACCTTCTCGAGAAGAACGTCGCCGTTGTAACGCTCCGACAAGCCCTCGATCTTTTCGAGAAGGACATCGCCGTTGTACCGCTCGGATAGGCTCTCGACCTTCTCAAGAACGACATCGCCGTTGCAGCGTTCCGACAGGCCCTCGAGCTTCTCCAGAACTACGTCACCATTGTAACGCTCCGAGAGACCCTCGAGCTTCTCGAGCACAACGTCGCCATTGTAGCGGTCCGTGAGGCCCTCGAGCTTCTCTAGCAGAACGGCGCCGTTGTACTTCTCCGAGAGGTGGTCGAGCCTCTGCACAACCTGGCTGTCGTCGTACTTCTCCGGCGGAGGGGGCAGCATGAGCGGCTCTGGCTTGGCTTCCTCGATCTTCTCCCGGATTGTGTCGGTGGACGCCTTGGAGTGTTCGTAGTGCTGTCCAACGATGAGCAGGACGTCCTTGAGGCTGTCCAGGATCTGCGGCTGGTACTCGGAAACCTGGCCCTGAAGACCCTCGACCGCGTCGACGGCACGCTTGACCTCGTCGCGCGTTTGCTGGTGCTCGGCCTTGTCGTCTGTGTGGTTCTCGTCGACGCGGCCAACGAGGTCCTCCACGCGTCCGAATACCGTCTTGGATGCCTCCTCCATCTTCTCGAGCGAGTCCGTCACGGCCGAGCCGAGCGTGTCGATCAGTGCCTTGAGCTCGTCCGCCACTGCCTTGCTGCCCACCACGGCTGCTTCCATCTGCTCGTCCCGGGCCTCGCCCGTCTTGGCCCGCTCCTCCAGCTGAGCTTGGAAGGCGTTGTACTTGTTCAGGAGCTCCCCGACCTTCTCGTCGATCTTGGCCGCGACCGCGTCCGCCGCCTGCTGAAGCTTCTCGTCCGTCTCGAGCTTAGCCCCAACGGCGCCGACGCGCGACTCTTCCACCTCGGTTTTGACGGCCTCGAGCATCTCCTTGAGTTCGTCACCGACGCTGACGCTCTTCCCGACCTTCTCACCCAGCGTCTCGAGGAGGTGGCCCACCTTGTTGACACCGCCCGCGCCATCCTCGAGTTGGCTCTTGACGGTTGATTGGAATTCTTCAAGGAAGGCTTTGACCTCGTTGACCGTCTCAGCCACGCCAACCGTCTCAGCTTGGCGGTCCTCAAAGGCCTTGGCCATCTTTTCCGACTCTGAGCCTGCCATTGAGCGAACCTCGGCCAGAAGCGTCTCGAGCCTTTGGAGGTCGTCGCGCGTGGGCAGAGCGGCCAAATCAGTCTGGACCATGTGGTTGACGGCTGTCTTAATGTCTTGGCACATGGCCTCGACGCCTGCGACGTCCGTCTTGGTGACACGCTCGGGATCGGCGAGCTGCTTCTCGTGGCGGTCCTTGAGTTCCTCGAATTCGTTGGCCACCTGCGCAATCAACGACTCCACCTCCTTGAGGTCTTCCTGTCGCGAGAGCCCGTCAAGGCACTCGAGCCTTGTCTTGAGCGCCCCGAGCGACTCTTTCGTCTCGAGCACCACCGTTTCTAGGGCGTCAATGTGGTCCTTGCGCACCGCCTGCTCGCCGTCCACCATGTCGTCGAGGCGCCCCTTGGTGTTCCGGAGGATAGTCTCGATGGCTACCACGTCCTCCCGCGTTGCCGGGTCGGGCGCCGCAGAGTCACTGGCAGCAGCTGCTTCAACCGTCTCCTGCAGCTTTTGCAGCTTCTCGATAATACCCCCGAGGTCGTCCTTTGATGCGAGAGTCCCTGTTGCTTCGGAAAGGTCCTCCTTGGACACCAGGATCTCGGCCACGCTCGAGAGATCCTCTTTGGATGCCAGGGTGTCGGTCACCCCCGAAAGATCATCCTTGGAGGCGAGGGTCTCGACAGCGCCCGAAAGATCGAGCTTGGACGCGACATCGGCCTTGGTAAGGGTTGGCACGGCAGCAGCGGCAGCCGTGGCGGCCGCAACGGCCACCGAGGCGGCACTGCTATCGCCCGGGGACTCCATGGTGTCTATCTTCATCTGGAGTTGGGCGATGAGCCTCTCGAGATTCTTAATGTCGTCATGTCGCAGCACGTCAATGGGCACCATGGCAGTGCTCATCGAGCCCGAGGTGTTATCAATGGCTACAACGGCCTTCTCGTTGGGGTTGGCGAGCTCGCGGATATCGTTAATATCCGACTTGATGTCTGACTTGACGCCATCCAGTCCCGCTTTGAGGGCATCGAGGATCTCATCGTTGGCAGTAAGGTCGATGGGTTTGTTGCCGACGCGCTCAATGCACTCCCGCAGGTCCTGCATGCTCTCCTGTAGCGCGTCGAGGACCTCGTTGGTGCCGGCGATGGGTCGGCTGGCAATCTCGTTGCGCAGGCTGCTGATTCCATCGTGCAGCGCCTCCATCACATCCTTGTTGCTCCCGCCGATGTTGGCGCTGGGTATGGCAGACATGGGAACGAGGGACGAGTTCACGGCATCGCGCAGGTTCTCGATTTCCGTCGTCAGCACCTTGCGAGAGCTGTCCGAGGCCTTGGACACGAGCTCCGCAATCTCCTCGCGGAAATCGTCGAGCGTGTGAACCAGTCCGTCCAGGAAGCCCTCCTGGCTGCTGCCGCCGCCCGCAGCCTTGTCGACATAAGACTCGATATCAGTTCGCAGCTTCGCGAACCCGTCTTTGGTTGCGTCGAGAACCTGCTCCATTTCTCGCTCGCTGGCGGCCTTGCTGTCTTTGGCCTCAGTTGATATAGTGCGGAACTCGTCGCGCATGAGCTCGACGATCTCGCCCAGTCGCGCCAAGACCTCGTCGTTGTTAACTGTCGACTGTGTAGGGGCGGCAGGTACTGGCAGGTCCAGGCCTTCGAGGCCCTCCTTGACTGCGTCCAGCATGTCCTGTTTGGTGACCTCTGCACCCACTGCCGATGCGGCAACCGGGAACTCGAACTCCTCAAGACACTCCCTGACTGCATCAAGTATCTCGTCTCGGGAGAGAGCCGCGGGTGTCTCGGCTTGCGGGGGCACAAAATGCTTGAGGCCTTCGACCACGGCCGTGAGCACTTCGTCTCGAGTGACACCGGGGGCGGCGTCGCCGGCTGGGGCGTACTCGCGCAGCCCTTCCTTCAGGCACTGTAGCACCTCGTCGCGCTCCAGTCCAATGGTTTGTACCTCGATCTCAGGCTTGTACGCTTCCCAGGCTTCCTTAACTGCGTCCATGACATCCTCGCGAGTGACGTCCTGAGTGCCCGGCCGCGAGTCCTTGAGCGCAGCGCGAACAGAGTTGTACACTTCGGCGTAGTCTACCACGGTGCCTCCTGACGCGACAGCCGTGGCCGACTGATTATGGTGCTCCTTCAGCAGTTGATCCATGTGTTGCCTCATCTCCTCGAGCCCCTCATCGATGACCCGGCTCATCTCGGCCTGCGTCACCGTCTCGGTTTGGTCGGACTTGTTGGCCTGCACATCTTCCAGTCGTCGCCCTATCTCGCGGCCCATTCCTAGCACCTCGCCTCGCAGCTCGCGGACGAGCGCCTTGACCTCAGCCGTAAGTCCGCCGCCCTGGGCGACACTGTCCTTGACAGTTCGGATGACGTTGAGGATGTCGCCTGTCACCGCGTCCGGTGCCCCTGAAGAGGGCGCCGATGCATGGTGAGTGTCGACCTCGCCAAGGTGTTCTCCCGTGCGCTGGAGAGCCCCTCCACCCGGGCCGCCGAATCCAATGCCGCCGGATCCAGGCGACGGTAGTTCTCCGTCGAAGCTTGCTTGTCTCGGGAACACTGATCCGCCACGACCACCACCACCGCTCGCATCGGTGGCAGCCACCATAGCAGACTGCTCGTGGCTACTCTTGACAAGGTTGAGCAGCTCCTCGACCTTCTTTGCAGTTGCCATGCCCGCAACCTTGTCGGCCACATCCGAGAGACGAGAGATGAGGTTGTCGTGGCCCTCCTTGGTGCCCATTTCACGCACAATCCTCTCCAGCAGGGATATGGTGGCAGGGCCGTCGGCCACAAGGCCGCAGAGCGACGGGGTGCTCATGCGATCCCCATCCACCGACGCGGAGAAGCTGTTGAGTGATGGAATGCGAGGAAGTGAGAAGGGCCTCCCAACCTTGGACATCGGGGAGCCTGCAGCGTGAGGCTTGCTGTCGATGAGAAGACTGGCGCCATAGGGGTCCCTCGTGGAGCCCCGTGACGAGATCTCATTGGTGCTAGAAAGGAGATCACGCAGGCTGCGGCGGATGTCTTCGTCACGCGTATTGGTAGCCTCCTTCAGGCTCAGCAGGTCGGTAGCGTTGTCCCTGCTGCGCCGGCTCAGCTGTGACATCTCCTTCTGCAGTGACGTGGCGATGTTTGTCAGGCTGAGGATTTGCTGCGACAATGCGTCCAAAGCAGCGTTGGGTGGCTGCCTGACAAGGGCTGTAGATGGCGCCGAGTTCGTCACATTAGAAAGGGGTACCGGCTCGGGCTGGGCTGGCGGCTTCTCCTTTGGAGGGTTTTGGCTGTCCCTGTGATCTCTGTAATCTCTGTGATCCCTGTAGTCTCTGTGATCCCTGTGGTCCCTGTGCTCCCTAGGGGCAGACGCGGCTGGCGCCTGGGGTAGCTCCCGTAGCTCCCTCGGAGGCTTGCTATGGCTGTTGCCCTGATTATTGTTGCCGTTCCCGTTCCCGTTGGCGTTGCCGTCCCTGGTCGGAGTAGACAGGTTCTGCAATGCCAACATCGTGGCCGACTGCGGCGGCGTGTTCTCGCCGAGTATGCTGTGGGTCGAGCGGCGAGCGATGGGTCTGATTATGGGTGTCAGGCTAGGGCCAGGAGAGAGCGAGAGCACCTTCACCTCCGGTGGTGGTTCCCGGTCATCCTGTGGCCTCGAGTCGAAAAAGGGGTCCCGGTGCCCAGGTGTGCCCGGGCGGGGATACTTCTCATGCGAGCGCGGGGTCGAGTTGACCGACTCTCGCCCACTTTCAATCATGAAGCCCAGATCACGGACGCTGCCGTGCTGCGACTGTTTGCGACGGTGGGTCGAGTTCTTGCCAAGAGGCGCCGGTACGAGCGAATTCTCGCGGGCCTTCTCGGCCAGCGCTGCGTGGGCCGACTGGATAGCGGCCGAAGTGCCTGGCTTGGACGGTGAACCGCCAACGCTGGGTGACTGGGGGTTCAGAGGCAGCGGCGGCGGCGCCCTGTCTGGGTCGGAGCTGTCCCACCTGTTGCGGATGAAGAGTTCTGCGGTCAGTCGCGTACTGCAGTCTGCTTCCCCAGCAGCGGGAGGATCGCCCTTTCGATTATACATACATTGGGATCAACGCCCGGCTGTGGTCCGAAGAGCCGGAATGCTGGTGTCTCAGGGTCCGGTCCAGCTGGCTGGGGACGTCCCGTTCTATCGGGGGCATCGTGACGCTAGTTGGGCAGTGATGGAATGTGGTGGTTCACATGAGGCACATGTGCCGGGGCGGGTGGGTGCAAGGAAAGAGACCCCAGTCGGTAGGAAGAGAGCGCGGCTGTCGGAATGCGATGTCGTTGTAGGTAGGTAAGTAGGTAGGAGGTAGGTATCTGTTGGTGATGATACTTGTAAAAAAGGAGCTGCTCCCTCTTCCGCCTCTGCCTTGTTGTGTCTCTTGGGCAGGGAAATGTGGGTTGAGAAGAATAAAAGGTCGAGGCCACCACCCCTGGAGCTATACCCCGGGATCTTGTATAATAAATGGGAGCCGAAATGGGCGGGTGGGATGTTGACCTCGAGCGTCGTCTCGGCCAATGCAGTGTCGTCGTCAATTCAAGCTAAGCCGGGCTCGTCGGAGCTGCCGACTGTGATTGTAAACAAAATGCCCTGGCAACCACGACCAAAACAACGCCAACGCACGCACTACCCCCACTGTTTTCCCAAACGTCCACAGGGACCCGTTGACGGCACTTTATCGATAGCTGCCAGGATGAGATGGGTGGGGCCGATCCGCGCTACCATCCACTCAGGTGCAGGAGCCAGCTGCGGGAGCTGAATCTTTGCTACGCGCTCCCTCCGTGACTGGCTGTCCGCGCAGCTGTGTCACACCGCCGTGGCACCCCAACCCTGGAAAATAGGCAACAAAACAGCCAAGGCCGCGAAAAAAAGGATATGGGAAAGAGCTGAGAATTGGCAGCACAAGATACCCGACCTACCACTCCAACAGATGCCAAATCTACCCTATATCTATACACATGATTGCTTCGGACAATGGGCCGATGGCGTCCGGTCCTGAGTTCTGGTTATATCGTAACGAATCGTAACGCCTCATTTTCAGATGCCTCCAACGTCAGTGATCAAACCCTCTAAAAAGAACAAGAATCGAAGAAGATGAGAAAAAAGACGAGATCACGAGTGAGATCTTGTATATAGTATTACAGACTCGTGCACCCCTCGCCCGCTTCAAACCAAGCTGCGAATGCCTAGCGGCCTGCAATGGCCTTGTCGAAAGCAGGGATAAGGGTCTGAGCGAGCCAGAAAGAGAAGACGAGCTTGGGACCCGTCATCAGGAGCTGCGAACAAGTCATTGGTCAGTTACTTTATATCCCTCCTATTTTTCCCTTGAAATAACGCACCTTGGGCACCAAGCCCTTGAAGAAGCTCGACATCCCCTCATTCCTGGCCATGTTGGACAGGATGCGGAAACCGCTCTCCGGGTTCTCGAAGTTCCTGTTCTGGATCCTAGTCTTGATGACGTCCAGCGGGGCTGACACCACGAGCGAGGCTGATGCTCCTGCGATCGAAGCCACGAAGTTCTGAAACCACGACGCCTTGTTGTAGTCCTCGAGCTTGAAGAGGAACTCCTTGGCGAAGGCAGATCCACCGAACAGCTAGTGTGCGCGCAGATGAGGGCGTCAGTGACCATGCAGCCTTGTCGTGGGGACGAATAATCGTATGGAGGTCCGAGAACGCCCACTTACTGCAAACGAACCCGGCGCATTCCTGGCCGCGGTCCAGCCCCACCCCCTGTACAGGCCGAAGCCCTCGTCCTGCACAATCTTGATCACGCCCCTACCACGGAAGGCCTCGGGGTTTGTTTGGCGCTTGATCTTGAGAACGTCCAGAGGCAGCAAGACAATCTCGCCGATGCCGATCAGGCTAAGACGCATCCGTCAGTCCCTGTGCCTAGACACAAATAACAGCAGAAAACGTGAGCCCGGCGCGGGCCGCAGGGGGGGACATCTGCCATACCTTCCGGCCGTCGAGTGGAGTATCGCCTTGCCCGACTTCTTTCCGAAAGCGTTCTCGAAGTCTTTGCCGTAGCCGGCCGTGAGCCAGTCGCGCGCGATGGGCTGCCCGCCGTACTTGTATATCCTCTGCAGCACCTTGTAACCGGCAGCGTAGCCCAAGCCAGGGAATAGAGAGAAGAACTTCCGGCCCGCCGTTGCGGATGCCTTATCCTTGAAGATGACTGCGTTAAGTTGGCTCATGCCCGAAACCTGGAGGGCACAGTAAAATGTGTCAGTGATAAGGTCATGTCCCGAAGCGCAGCCTCGCCCATCTGCCCGGTGTCAGATAGCGACAGTACCTTGCTCTCGTTGCTCATAAGCCTCTTGGCGATTGTGTCGACCTAAAAGAGACATCAGTATGCGCGCCCGGCTTTTTTCTCTCGAATCGAGACGATCAAGAACGCACGGGATGGAACACAGCGAGCTCAGAGATACCCGCAGAGCCTAGCATTCAGCCAACGATTCCAAAGTTAGCAAATACCCTGGACATGATTGTCGGCCACCGAATCGGAGCACGAATAGCAGAACTTTGGGAGATATTCACCTGATCCGAGCAACCGCGCCAGGTTGGACTCCTTCTCGCGACCGCCACCAACTGGAGGAGACATTGTGAGGGCGAGCTGGTTTAAGTGACCACGAAGAGGGGATAAAAGGTTGGCGATATTATTAGGAATGCGGCGCGACGAATTCACCAGTCCAGGATTGCCAAAAGGGAGGGAAATTTTAAGGTTGGAGACGCTGAGACGCTCGGGAACTTTGCGCTCTCAACGGCAAGAGGAAGGCACGGGCTAAAGCAAATATGCAAGTCCGTGTTCCGGAGCAATTCAGAAAAAAAATTATTTGGTGGCAGCCGATAAGTCGCATCGATCGATAGGAGCCGCTCCCGCACTACAGCTCGAACGGGGTAGGTACCGCTCTGACCACTCAGAGCTCACAATTCACCCCGCCGACATCCAGTTGGCTATACCCCGCCAAAAGGTTGAACATGCACTCGATTGCCAAGACAACCCTGTCTGCCCAGAGCGGGAGGACCTACATTGATCGGGAAGGAAGGGAGAGAGGGGACAGGAAAGCTGGAGACAAAACAACAAAATTGGGGGGAGTCAGTATTGTATGTACCTACCTGGGGACAACCAAAGATACCCCAAGCGACCTACTTGGGCGTAGGGCGCAACTTTGTTTGATGACAGGAGTCTGTGGATACAACGTCATTCCAAGGAATGCAAGCGCCTATTATATATTACGTCCCGACAACTTCCCCCAGGCTTCCAGGTTGTACCGAGTGCAAGGAGAAGTGGATGTTCAAGACAGCATGAGGCGTTGGGCTTTTGACTGTCCCACGATATCACGAATTAGTTAGTGCCAGATATGTACAGATCTCCCCACCCCTGCCAAGCCGATGCAGGTTCCCGCGGGCCGCGAGACCTTGCGAGGGGTAAAATGGCTAGAGAACAATATAATACAACGCGGCGCAGTGACCCAATCTTTGTCGTCTTGATACCATGCCTCATCCCCGTGGCCCTTTCCGGGTCTAATAGTCGTTGAGAACACCAACTAGATCGTCGAGCCGCATCACGTGGCCCAGCATCTTGTCTTCGATGCTCCGATACCGATCGTACCGGTCAAAATACTTCTTCTCCAGCGCCTCCTTCTCCCGGCCCTTGACGTCCGCCCTCCCAACGAACCTTAAAACCTCCCGCGCGTTTTGCCTGTGCACGTCTCGCACCTGGAGGCAGCGGAGCATCGTTTTGTACGTGTTGTCCAGCAGCTGGGTGAGCGAGAGGTCCGTGACGCAGAACCATAGGAAAATGGTAGACTTTGCATTGCGCGTGTTGTCCTTGGGCACCTCCTGTACGTCCACGAACCCATGCATCTGCATTTCTAGCATGATTTTGTGCACAGTCCCCTTGGCCATCATAGCCTGCATCGGTAGCGACTTTTCGTCCGCCTTGCCCCGCTTCCTGAGGATGCGGATGAGACGCAGCGAGTGTCGCCCAATTTTGCGTTCGATGACCGTGTCGAGCTCGCTTTCCTGGATCTTGCGGATCAAGGGCCGGAAATCCACCGTCCACTGCCCGTTCCCACAGTGGCGGAGAAAGCCATGTGAGCTCTCGCATAGGAGCAACAGATGCTGTCGCATCAGCGATAGCCGGCTCTCCGAAGTCTTGGCGTCCTTGAATTTGACCTTGCTCTCCTTCACCTCGTTCTGCGCTGGTGTTTCGCTTTGCTGTTTGAGAGCATGTCTCTCCAGTTCCTCATCGTACTCGATCGCAGCATCGTGTCCGTTCTGGCCGCCGTCGTCGTCATCGTCGTCGTCGTCGTCGTCGTCGTCGTCGTCGTCGTCGTCGTCGTCGATATATGGCTCCTTCGGGCGAGGGTGCCGCCTGCGAATCCTTTCCACGCCCTGGGGATCCACCTCGCTTGCGTCGACCTTGCCAATCCCAGATCCGACATCAAGAGAAGGGCTCAACTGATCGAACACTTCGTCGGTTGTCACGTAACGGGTGTTATCCGAATCTTCTTCGTCCTTGTTCGCATCAATAATGGGATGATTTCGACAACGGGAGAGCTTTGCCGTGAGTAGACCGAGTAGAACGGCGTAAATCTGACTGGTGGTTTCGCCGATGTCATCAGCCACCGTTTCTGTCAGTCTCCGGTTACGCAGCTCCACGAGACACTTTTCGTGGTTGACACGTAGAACCGCGTCAGGCTGTAGGTTAGGGTTAGCCGGTGTATGTGACCATACCAGTGAGGCGACCCAAGGGGTGACCCGGGGAGGGGGGAGATTAAATGAGGGGCAGATGGGGAATATGCGCTCTTACATCAAGCGGAGGAGCACTGTAGATATCGTGGCCACCGTTGGCTACATCTCCATTCCCAACTTTGCGACGCTTGGCCGCGATGGGCTGTGCCTCGAGCTTGCGCTTGAGTTTTTTGCCTTCGTCCCTGATCTCAGACAAGCGCTGCGCAACCAAATTTTGGTAGCGTTCCTTATCCTTTGTGCCCTTGATACCGCTGGCAAATTCCTTCCTCTGCACCTCAGCCTGCACGTCGCGGTAGATATCGTCGAAGCTTTGGAACATCTTTGCGCCCACAACGACAAGGAGCTCGTCCTCCACCAGGCGGCGCAGGATGGAATTGAGTTGGTCAACGGATTCGACAGGTGATGAGTCGGGCGTGGCAGAGTCGACAGGGTCGTCCTCGTGGGACGAATCGAAGGGATCGCTGTTTCCGTTCATCTTTGCGTCGTCGGTGGGGTGGACTGGCGCCTGGCGCCTTTCTATTCTAGCGGCGTAGGCGTCCCTGAGGTCTCCAACCTTGGTGTTTCCCAGCACCATCAGACTTTGGATGACATCCTTGGCAGCTTCGCCATGCATAGACCCAACCAGTTCCAAGACCCTTCCGGCACGGATCAGATTGTATGCAGCTGGGGTATTCGCTTCGTAGGTGGTAGGCACGCTTCCGGCCGAGTAGTAGAGCAAGTTGTGTTGTATCAGGACAGCCAGCCCGTGGCGCAATTGGCGAGGGGTCAATGAGGTGTACTGGACGAGCTGCTGTACAGTGGACCGGCCCCGAGTGAGAAGGATGGAGAAGATGCGCTGCGAGATCATTGGGCGGTATGCAGCTGGTCAGCACCACTGTGTCTCATCTTGTGCCTCTAAGCTGCCGTCGGCACGCGCGAGAAGCTAGGGATGACATACCGAGGGTAGCTCCCCATACACATCGTCGATGAACAGAGAGCAAAGCTCTGCAAGATGCTTCGTCTATGGCGCCGTGGGCTCTCGCAGTTAGCATGTGTTGACTCTGGTCGTCCGCGACCGTCCTCGGAAAGGGGAGCAAGCAAGCTCACTCACCACGAACATTGCGCGCGCAGCAGCCGGTTGCGGGGACTGGAGCGATGGGGGTTTGGTGACGTTCTGTTCTAGCTCCTAGAGATTCTCTCACTATCTCTAGAGCTGTCACTGTGGCTACCGTTGGGTCATTGAGGAAGACGTCTCAGGCTGGCGTTGCGCGATATGCGACGAGAAGCTGGTGACTTTGGGTGGGCTGTGACGCGATTGTTGGAGCAGGCCGCCAGTCTTTTTTTTTTTTTCCTTCCACCCCCAACTCGCTTCGAGTGACGATTCATCCAGAAAGGCGGGGGGCTGCCCCCACCGCTGCGAATTGGTGGAGTCACCGCCATGGGTTAAGCTCACCAGCAGGAGCTGCGAGTCATCGGGGCTCCAGCTAGCGTCATCAGTTACCAGCCTGGCTGGTATATTTCTGAATAGAAAAGGTACCCCTAGTTGTCTATGAAATTGAAGGCGTGTCTGGCGGACCAGAAATTTATGGTTTGCGGCTTGAGAGTACATGAGGGATCATGTTGTTCTAATTGGGGTAACTGGTTATGCCCTCTGTTCCATACTCTTGCATACCTACCTACTACCGATATATATTAAGTAGGCAGGTGGGTAGTATCGTTTCCCATTGTGCCATTCGCCTCTCCATGTAGGTATCTTTTCTTTTTGCTTGTTATTTTAATACGAGCAGATCTCGTGGCCCAATGCACCTCGGCGAAGAAGAAAACGTTGCCGCACCAAGCACAATCCCATTAAGTGTTGGATAGTTGCAGTGGCGCCAAAATGGGAAGGCTAGTCTACTCTAGTTTAGGGGCACGACTGACCTTCGCTCGGAAGACATACCTCTTGCTCGGTCTAGGTAACCCGTAGGCGGAGAAGTTGGCTTTGACCCGTTGCATTGTAATGTAAGTACCCAAGAAACATATGTCCCCAGGGGTCGATATTGAAGTCAGCTTGAGCCTTTATCCAACGATCAAGAAGCGCCATGCACTCTGTTTCCTTTTCTTATTTCCTACTGATCACCTCCTTCTCACACACTTTCTCCTTGTATGTTTCTCTTCAAACTTCCTTTTTTTCAACACATTATTCCTGTTTCATTCTCTACCCTTATTTCTTCCTGGCGTAGATGTGCTCAGGAGATACCAATCACAGTTGCGGCTGGAATTGAACCGATTCTACAGGGCACCGCCACAGCTCGGTGGGGCGATTGCTCGGGTGCACGGGATTTCGTGGCACTCGAAAATTGCTCGGAACAACCGATCGACGGCATCTTCGACATCAAGTGTCAATTGGACGGGGTGAAGGTCCCGACGCCCGCGATAAATCGCAACCAAGAATCATCCTCTGTCCCCAGCGCCCGAACATGATCTCAAGATCGGCCATTGCCAGGGGAGGTCGCCTGGCCTTCCACCGGCGCGTCTGCGCCCAAGTCGCCCAGCGCGGCTTTGCCTCGCCGGCGGCAGGTGCGCCGGGCACCACCTCCGCATCGTACGAGCCGGCAGATATCGCCGGAATCAAGGTCGCCTCCAAGGACGCCCACGGCCCGACTACCAAGCTTGCGCTCGTTGCCAAGGCCGGCACGAGGTACCAGCCGCTGCCTGGCCTGACTGTTGGCCTGGAGGAGTTCGCATTTAAGGCAAGGATCCTCTGATTTTCCTGCTGATTTCCCCTCACATTTGTCCCTCATGTCAGAGGAGGGTCACGAGCTAATGTTGCCGCTCGCCCACGCAGAACACGCAAAAACGGTCCGCCCTGCGCATCACACGGGAAGCCGAGCTTCTGGGCGGCCAATTGAAGGCTTACCACACGCGCGAGGCCGTTATCCTTGAGGCCGCATTCCTGAGGGACGATCTCCCCTACTTCGTCGAGCTGCTGGGCGAGGTTGCCAGCCAGACAAAGTACACGAGTATGCGATCCGCGTAGCCGCCTCTTTATTCGCCGTGGTCTATATGCTGACTGGCCGCGGCTTGGTGGTAGCTCACGAGTTCCACGAGCAGGTCGAGCCCATAATCCACCACTCCCAGGACAAGGTCTCGCACGACGCCCTTGCCCAAGCCGTTGATGGCGCACATGCCGTCGCTTTCCACACCGGGCTTGGTTCATCAATCTACCCCTCGAGCACGACACCCCTGTCCGGCTACCTGAACGAGAACTCGGTTGCGGCTTTTGCCGAGTCGGCCTACATCAAGCCCAACGTTGCTCTTGTCTCGGACGGCGCCTCGCAGGCAGGCCTGTCAAAATGGGTTGAGCGCTTCTTCAAGACTCTCCCGAGCTCGTCATCAAGCTCGCTGTCGCTCGCAGACGCGCCCTCCAAGTACCACGGCGGCGAGCAGCGCTCGGTTGCCGCGGGAAAGAGTGCCATCGTGATCGCCTTCCCCAGCACCAGCCTCTCTGCGCCCAAGTCGGAGATTGCCGTTCTCGAGGCCCTGCTCGGTGGCAAGTCTAGCATCTCCTGGTCGACCGGATTCACCCTCCTGTCCAAGGCCGCCACCGATGCCTCGGGCGTCCAAGCCCTTGCCAAGAACTACGTTTACTCGGACGCTGGCCTTCTGACCATCCAGATCTCGGGCCCCGCGGCTTCGGTCCGCAAGGTTGCCGAGGAGTCTGTCAAGGCGCTCAAGGCTGTCGCTCAGGGTGGTGTTAGCAAGGAGGATCTGACCAAGGCTATTGCCAAGGCCAAGTTCGATGCCCTCACTGTCCACGAGCTCACAGGCGCTGGCCTCGTTGCTGCTGGAAACAGTGTGCTTCACGGTGCTAAGCTTTTCCAGGCTGCTGGTGCCATCAAGAGCTTCGGGTCGGTAACTGCCGATAACGTCAAGGCTGTAAGTTTAGGCCGTCCCCCCTTTATAACCCCATGCCAGAATGTCGACCGCAAGGTTGTGCATCAGAGAATCCTAGCTCTGAGGCAACTTGGGCTCGAACATGTGCTGACAATCGGAATATAGGCTGCGAAGGCACTTGTTGATGGTAAGGCGTCGGTTTCTGCCATTGGGGACTTGCACGTACTCCCGTACGCTGCGGACCTGGGGCTGAACGTATAAGCGAGTGGAGGGGAAACTGATGTACCAACAACCTTGTCGCCGCTTTGGCGAGTCCGTCCTTCTGCACATAGTTAAAGTAAAGACACCTAGACAAAATCCTGCTTTAAAGGTTCAAAGGACAAAAAAGAACATCGTCAATGGAGCGAATGAAAGCCCACATCTAATGCGTCTGTAAATCTGTCTCCATTGATACCTACTATTTTCTTGTTCATTTGCACTCATGTATCTTTCCGATGCACGGTTTCAGAGCGAGGGTGCCAGATGGAGACCTGTTGGCACACATAGGCGAGGCCACGTGGTAGCTAATCTGACCCTCGAGTTGATCCCCAGCTAGCGAGGGGCCTTTCATTTCCTATCCGTTCATTTGTTTTTGGAGCCTATTTGTGTAGTTCATTGGCAGTCCAAGACTTAGGAATGTGAAAGGAAGCAACGTGGATGACGTGCTTCGGTTAGGTTGAGCTTCAGGGGGTAGCACGTGACTTTGCACATGGCCCAGATTGACGGATCAGCTTCGGAAGGCGGGTCTCGGGTGCTCCAGGAATCCAATTCTCTCAAGAGCAAGGCATTTCCGCACGGCCGACAACCTCATTCTCAAACCAACGACCCTCGCAAAATACGACAAGATGGTGTTCGCGTGGAAAGCCGCAGGCCTTACGTGAGTCCAACCCGGTCTCGAGTCCAATTGGCGAGGGAATCGCCTCCGGCGCAAGCAACGCCCGCAACGCCCGGCCGCGATAGACAGTCAAATAGCCCGCTAACCGAGCACCCGACACCGCGCGTAGCTACAACCGCTACCTGGCCATCGCCGGCCGCGTTGTCCGCCGCAGCCTGAAGGAGGACAAGAGGCTCATCGCTGAGCGCCGGGGCGAGATGGACCTGCGCTTCGCCAAGTGGACGGTGAGTTTTTTTCTTTTCCTTGTCACTCTGGGTCGGGATCATCGGACAAAGCCGCGGCAACGGAGCGCACAGGCACCGAGCCAAGGAGAACTATATCAAGGCTGGAGTGATGAGGCAGAGAAGAAGAAGGCGGGCTTTCGCTGACGAGATCTCTTCCGCCCCACGCATCACAGAACGGCAAGCAAGGCGATCCGCAGAACCTGGCCGAGGCCAACAAGGCCAGCTCCTCGAGCTCCTCGTCATAAGGCACGTTTGTCAGTGGATAGATGGACGGCGCGGGGTATCCTGCACCTGCAGGAGGAGGGCGCAACAGGATCTATGTGACTTGACGACACTGGACCCGAGCCTGTTTTCGGAGCTGTATCGTCACCGTACAAAGGGGTTGAATTTCTGAGCAATTCAAATAAGCAGCAATAGAGACGTTACGTCCGCCTGTGTTGACATATGGGCGAAGTGACCCAGATCAGACGATCGTGTGAAGTGATAGCTTGGGCCTGGCATAGGTCCTAAGCGCCCACAAGCAAGGCACAAGATATCTCACTTGCTTTACTGCTAGTGGATATCTGTATATTTTCCTCCATCCCCCCCTACCTTTGGGACCAGGGAGCAGGCTAGGTCATATCGAGCAGAGGCTTGAGAAAAAAGAACGGGTAAATATACAACCTATGGAGGGGATGGAAAGAAACCACGAAGATTGGCCGAAAAGCTTCTCAAGCCTCGAGCCCCTCCATTTTTCTTGCTGGTCTTTCTGAGGTGCATGTAAAGGATTCTTTCTGCCTGTCTACATAATGTTACGAATTATTGGCTCGATGACTCTAATGGCCTGCCAGTCTCGAAAACCTTCGCCTTGCTGGATTTTCGGGGGCTAGCCACTGAAGTGGGAGGGGTGGTGGTTCGTGGTGCAGTGTTTGTGCAGCACGGTTGAGCAAAAGCTGGAGAGCAGCCCACCATCCCCGCCTTATCGCCCGATTGCGCCGCGCCTCGGCCGCCTGGCGCCTGGAGCACCTTGGGGAGACTGCACGATCCATTGGACCACGCTATCCGTTCGCCCAAGCTGGGTCTCTGCCTCCTCTCGTCTGGGCAACGGGGACCGCAAGAGGTGCTACAACCGGGCACAAGTGGCTTGCTTATCCGTCTGTCTGCGCTTCTCTGCGGCTCCATATTTTGAAACCGTCAGTGCTCGTCAGTGAGGGGACACCAACCAACACCAGACCGGCCACCCACCATACTCTGTCCCTCGAGGTTTTGAGAGAAGCACGCCTGATCAGGGTGGGGGCCATGCTGCAGCCCGTCTTGTCCACAGCATCAGCCATCATCGGCAGATCAACATGTCGATGCTGAGTGGAATCTTCGGCTTGGGCGTGAGCGACCCGGGCGCTGCTTCCGTATCGCAAGGTGCGTGCGAGTCCACGAGCACCGGTAGTGACGCTGCCGCATGTGCATGAGGTGGTGTGGGTTCAGCCTCAATCTCTACCACGGAACCTGCCCGCCTCGCCCCATGCTCCCGCGGCTGAAAAGGGGCTCTGGGCAGGCTGGTCGTTGGTGATCGGGAGGCTTTTCTTCTGCACAATACAGAACAAACACTGAACAAAACCCCCCCAAAAAACTATAGAGCTCTCTGGGCTGTCTCTCGAACATGAACATGAGCGTGGGCAGCAGCCGGATGCGCCAAAGGTCACGAGCCACGGCGTCGTCACCTTCGATATTACTGATAAGTTCGTGACGGCAGCCAAGGGTTCGTTTGTCCGGCCCGATGTGGCCTCCTCCTGGTCGCCTGCAGATTTATCCCCTATCTTTCCTAATCCTGACTTCTCTCAGCCCTGAAACCTGGCCGTCTTGTCAAAGATGGGTACTTTACGTTGTTCGAGTCCGTGGGGGCCTTAGAGGTGAGTCGCTGCGCTGATGGACTCTCAAGTGACGGCTGCCCCCTGACTTAGCTGTACTTGAAAATAAAGATCATGGATCCGAAAATGGACAGCGGCTGTTTGGCCGATGGCGAGTTCCCCGATCCGGACTACGATGTCTGCAGACCTTTACTCCCCGAGGAGGTCATCGGCATTATCGACCAGCTGCTCTGCCACGAGGTAGGAAGTGCCGTTCCTGGTTGCCTACTTGTACTCGGTGGCAAACAGCGTCTCTGACAAACCATGATCTTGTAGATGGCCTGGCACCTCGGCTATCCTCTCTCCCAAACCCTGCTCACCAACCTATACATCGAGAATATGTTAACGCCGAAGCCAATGACTGTCGACGAGGCCGACTTTGTGCGCGACCCCATCTCTCAGGCATCAAGACCCCCGATGCACACGATCCTGCGTGCATACTGCCTCGGCCTCCTGAAGACTTGCTATTATGTCAATGAAGGAATAAAATGCGAGCATTACTATGAGGTAGGCTACACCTTCTTGCCTGGGCAGGTCGATATGTCACTCCGGCCAGCAGGCGGTTTCTGACTGTGGTTCGCTGACCCTCGAGCTCACTCGAAACTCGAAAACAACAAAAAAAGGAGGAAGACTTTGTGTCAAACCAATACAACAGAAGCCTCCTCGTCGATATCGACAGGGAGGAGATACGAGAGGCGATCCAGGAGGCCAGGGCGTTGCTGCACTCGATGCAGAGCATGTTCCCTCCAGAAATCGTCCAGGCTCTCGACTTCAGACTGGAGCTGCGGTACGCTCTCCTGAGGGCCATGGAGCTCACAGACCTCCGCAGCCACCCAGAGTCCATCAAGACCCCCTGGATCGAGCTCAAGGCGGTGCTGGAGCAAATAAAGGCTTCCCACTACTTGGGGACCCCGGTCCCTGACGCTTTCAGCTCCAAGCTGCAGCGGCGGCTGGCTAGTACCATGCCCCCTCGACCGATCGTCAACATCGACTTTGAGGACGCATATCCGCGCTTCCAGCGACTGTTCGAGGATGGCAAGGAGCTCAGCGACGTTCTCAAATACACTGATTCACAGTCGCTTCTGGTGAGTTGCTGACGGGCCTGGTCTGGGGTTATTTAATGACTTGCACTTGTGTGACATTGGCAGCTAACGTGGCCGTCGTCGCCAACCTCTAGAACTTTGTGCTCTGGTTCCAGGCCAAAAAGCCACAGCCCCTGATCTACATTCGCACGCTTCTACAGAGCTACGTATTCAAGGACAACATAATCCTCGGGTCGATGAGCATCCGCCAGATCATGGACGACGACCTGTCGCTCGTCGTCCTCCCCTGCAGCCAGCTTCTCGACCACGCCAACGACCTCGTCGAGGCGCCGCACGACCCGCGGTTTGCCATGGCGCGCCAGATGGAGGTCTTCCGGCAGCGGGCGGCGCAGCCGTACCTGGACATCTTCCGGGCGTTTTGCCAGAACCGGTGCCGGATCCGGCGCAACTTCTGCCACGCCATCCAGGAGTGGGAGCTGCTGCAGGTGGACGCCGAGGAGGTGGACCAGCTGCTGCAGGTGCAGCTGGACGAGAAGCCCATGGTGTCGCAGTCGTCGGAGCCGGCCTACTCGCTCCCGCTCTCGTCGTGGGCGTACCTGTACAAGCTGCGGCTGATGGAGTGGATCGTGCAGCTGGGCTTCGAGCTCGAGGTGTATCAGCCCGACGAGCTCGGCGGCATGTACTGGTACCTGGCCTACCTGGCGCAGAAGCGCATGCAGCACGTGGAGCGCATCAAGGCCTTCACGCTGCAGAGCATGAACGACCACCGGGCCCGACTCAAGGGGCGGGACCTGCCGGCGGCCAAGGAGGCACTCTTCACCCGCTCGCTGTCGTATCTGCGCGCCACCATGATCGACGCCGCGGCCACGACGGAGCTCTCCAAGGCGCTCTACTGCATCTACACGGCCCTGTACCGCACCGGGCTGGTGGCCCCGCCGCCCCGGCCCTATAGCACCGACGAGCTCCGGTACGAGATCCGAATGCGGCCCTTCGCCTCCATCGGCCTCCCCGAGCTGCCCGCCTTTGACCAGTTCGAGCGCCAGGTGAAGCAGCAGCACCTGCCGACCGACGACGTGCTCGAGGCGGCGGACCGGTCCGTCGCGGCGGCGCGCAAGGCGTACGAGCGCATCGCCAAGTTCACGGAGCGCGAGGCCTTTGCGACGGGGGCCACGCACGATCGCTGGACCGCAGGGACCACCAGCTGCGCCAAGTCGGCCATCACGGCGAGCATAGCCGTCATGACGCTCCGCAAGGCCCTCTCCGACACCGCCAAGGACGGACGGGGCGGCCAAGGGCTTTCCTCGGCGCTCAAGGCCGAGGTGCCGAAGCCAGACAAGGGATATCATGAGTGGTGGATTGTGCCTAGAATCACTCGGGCCTGATGGGCAACAGTCCGGCCACTGAGCGGAGGAGAAATCCGGGTTTGCTACTTGGCTTATATGCTTGCTTATTTGAGAAGGTGCATTTTCCAGGTCTACATATAGACACAAAATGGCTGATATGGGGGAGAGGGAAGAGGAAGACAAAAGCGGAAAGAAATGGGAAACGATGTTGGGACTTTGCATCGTCCTCACCTCACCTCGACTCGACCTGTGTCGGTGGGACGAGGCCGCGGTGCTCGCACATTGACCTTCCAAGTCGATGATGTCGACGCAGGCATGTCAATCACGCCCACAGAAGCCCATCTGGTGACATTTCCTCCCCAACCCTGGGTGTGACATGATGCCTCCAGTGGAGAGGCATCTGTGATGCGGATCCGTGAGGGGCCAGCCGTTTTTCAGCCGGACAGAGCCTTCTTCGCCATGGTCCCGCGGAGGCGGACCGTCTGTTCATAGAGCACATCCTTGAAGGCAAACAACAATGCGGCGGTCAGGACGCTCTGGCTAACCTTGGGGCCGATGCCTACAAGAAAGAAGGAAGGAATTGTTAGCTGTGGGTGCGAGCAGCAGCAACGGCGCGAGCGACGCGACCTGTCGGGATCACCACTCACCCTTGTAAAGACCGGCATAGCCTTCCTCCCTGATGACCCTGCTGATGGTCTCGGACATGCCCTCCTTCTTGGCGCCGTTGTCGGCGACGTGCATCTGGCTCTTGACGGTGATGTAGGGGTACGTGATGGTAGTGGCAAAGAGCTTGCCCAGGGCGCCGAGGAGGAAGGCGATCATCGGGGTGACGCGGCGGCGCCTCTCGACGGTGTTCTTCAGCTGCTCGAACAGCGTGTACTGCAGGATGGGGTTGATGACGAGCACCAGGGCCGGGACGACGCCGCGGAACAGCGCCTGGGGGCCCTCGTGGCGGAGCAGCGCCAGCAGCGTGGCCAGGGTGCCCGGCACGGCCTCCCTCTTCTGCTGAACCGCCTTCTCCCGGGCTGCTCCCTCGTCGTCCTTCTTGGGGGCATCGGTCTCGGCGGCGGCTGTGGCCTCCCCTTCGGCCGGCTTCTCTGCCGACCCGGGGGCGGCGGCGGTAGTGACGGCGGCCTCCTCGTCGGCGGGGGCCTTGGCGGCGGCGGTAACCTGCTGCTTGCGGGTGGTTATGCGGGTGTTGACGACCCAGATGGGGTTCGTGATGAGGACGGTGGCGGAGCCGGCCAGGGCGCCGGCGAGCATGGACTCGACCGTGGTGAGCTTGCGCGAGCGGCCGGCGCGGGCGGCGGCTGACTCGAAGAAGGCGCGGGTCCACTCGTACCAGTAATAGTAGACAAAGTTGGTGACGCTGATGCCGAAGAGGGCCGACGACAGGCCGGCGTACAGGCCCGAGGCGCCCTCGCGCGCGACGATGCGGCGGGCGGCCTCGAGGAAGGCCGACTCGGCGCGCTTGGACTCGACCTGGGCGCGGGTGGAGAGGGTGATGAGCGGGTATCTGCGACAAGAGGAGAGGGGTCAGGAGGTCAGTACGGAAACGATGGCTGGCCGGCATGCTTGCGGATCGGGGCGCGCGGCTGGACGGCGGCGACGTACGTCAACACCATGGATAGGATCCCCCCTCCGGCGCCGGCGAGGGCGTGGGCGACATTGTCGTTCTGGGGGATCACGGGCTTCGACGCGGCGACCATGGTAGGAAGAAGGGGATAAAGAAGGGGATAAAGAAGGGGATAAAGAAGGGGATAAAGAAAGGAGGGTGGCGTTTGCGGCAAGAAGTCGCGTCGGTGGCGCTTAACGTCGAGTCGAGGGAACAAAGTTACAATGTTGTACGGTCGAGCAAGCTTTGATGCATCGAAGGTACGGTCATAAACGAGCAGAGGAAGAAGAAGGAGAAGAAGTAGAAGAAGGAAGAATGTGAAACCAGAAACCCTAGAAAAAAACACAGTGATTCAAAAGGGCGGAAGCAGGAACATGACATGCAGCGATGGCAGTGAGCCTGGTCGGTTCATGGATGGCACATCGGCTCCTCCACCCAGCTCGGGCAGGGGCAGTTGCATGTGCCGGCGACCTGTGACGTGCGGCGGCCAAGCCCAGCAAGTCGGGCGCGGGTATTGCATGACCAGGCTCAGGCCGAGGTCCGATGGGCTGGGGGGTGAGGCAGCTCCAAGTCGGGGCGAGCTTCCCCAGTGCGGGTGCCCCGCCACGGCTCATTTCCTACCAGGGGCTAGGTCACATGACGGCAGGGACAGGACAGAGACTGACTGCTGTGAGGCACCTGCCCTTAGTGATGCGGTGTCGCGATCCCACTGCCATACAGACACTGCTGCTCTCGAGCATGTGAAGGATGACTCGCGCCGACGCGTCTTTCCAGCCCCAATGACGGTGCGGTGCCTGCCGAACGGGACCTGCAATGGAGTGGACGCTCAAATAAAAGAAAAGCCAATTGATCAAGCTGAAAGAAAGTCTGTCTGCCACCAAACTGATCTTGGTGTTTTCCGTCGTCGCTATTTTTGGTTAGCCCAAGCTCACCCCCGGTCGCCGCCTGCGCTGTGCTGGACGAGGATTGGCCTGAGTGTCTACTGATCGCCAGCCGGCGCAGGAGGCGAATGCAGCCATGCAGAGGCCATGGAGGAGTTGATGTAACCGTTCCCAGGTAGGGTAGTAGTGTGGTAAGTACGTGTGCGTGTTGAGGAGGCGGACAGCGTTGGTGTCTTGGAGTCTTGGATGTCGTGCTGCCTTCTGGTCTCTTTTTGTTTTCAATCTGCCGCGGCCAGATTCGACAAAGAGCACAGCACAGCGCACACTCACTCATACTCTCTCTGCCAGGCCCGTTCATTTCCCACTCTGCGTTCTGCGGCCCGCCCTTGTCGACGCTGCTTACGTTCAACCTCGCGCCTCGCCCTCGACAGCACCCGACTGGCTGGCTTCCCGCCTTGGTCGACTGGGTTCCTCGGCCAGGGCTGCCGGCCCCATCTCCACCCGCCGTCGCTTCTGGCTTCTTTTTCGTGACGCTGTGACATCAAAGAGGGTCCAATCTCGTCAGCCGCCACAGTTTGGAACGGTCCCTGCCGCCGTGCCAGTCCCTGGGGCCCGCCGACTACCTACTGAATAAGAAGTAGTAGCGCCCGCTGGGACCTGGGACCTCCCTCCAATCCACCGGCCTGTTTACCGAGTATACACAGCAGGGCTTTGTTTGTTTGATGGATAAGGCTGGGTCCGCATAAGCTGGGTCCGCAAAAGTACCCCCGGCTTGGGAGCTGTCAACGCCAGCCTGTGCTGGGTGGTATCTAGCCTGGTGATACCGGTCTGACCGACTTCTGGACGCTTGGAGGGAGAGAGGCGCTTGACTGTTGGCTCTGCGTCTTTGGCGCGCCTCATGGTGATACAGACCATCCATACCAGGCCTCTTCGGGCCCTCATCATTTGAAGCCTGCCCTTTTCCCGCCCGCGCCCAGCATCCGGGTTCTCTCCCCCCTTGCCTAGTCCCTCCTGCCCGTCATCCCCGCAAAACAAGCACGTCCAAACGCCAACACACGCTCACATACCTACCCACGCACCTGCCTACCTCCTACATCACATACGTGCCCACAGACACACATGCCGCATACAAAGCGACATACCAAATCCCATCCACAAAAATAGTCCCAAAACCACTCGAGACACCGCCAGCACAGGCCCTTGCTCCTTGCTTGGGCTTCATTCCTGTCGCCGGCCAGCTGGCACTCCCCCAAGGCCCAGACCATCGTGTCCCTCTTTGCCATTCCTCCGCCACGGTCCTAGCCCTGAGCCTTCGGGATGGCTTGCGCCCCCCACACGGCACCCCATCAGCTACGCACGAGTGGAATGCCCTTGGGGCCGACCCTCTGCACTACGGACCGATAAAGGCTACGGGGCCGCCGAGGCGAGCGCCGCTCTCTTGGTCTCGTGGTGGAGCCCATCCGTGGTGCCGCCTCCCTAGCTCCCGCGCTGTACGGCCGTACCAGCGACCTAGTCAGTCACCCGCCAGCCTTCCATGTCGTGCGCTTCCGTGCGCTTAGCCACCCCTTCGTGGCCCCTATCATGACCATGCAGTTGTCCTCCGCCCTCGCTCCGCCCTCGTCGGCCCCGGCTGCCGCGCCACAGCCGGTGCAGGTGCAGGCACAAGCTCATACCCATGCCCACGCCCACGCCTACGCCCACGCCCCCTCTTATGCGAGGTCGGTGCTGCCACCCAGGAATGTCCGTGAGGACACCATCGAGGACGCCTACGTGCAATTCATACTATGCTGCAATCCCGCCGTGCCTCACGATACCGACACCACTGGCCTGAAGGATGCCTTCCGTGTCCCACCCAAGAGCGAGGGCAAGACCTTTAGCACCTTTCATCTCTACCAGCTCATTGGCCAGCTCACACAAAAGGAGGAGATCAAGACCTGGGGAGACCTGGCCCTCCGCCTCGGCGTCGAGCCGCCCAACCACGAAAAGAACCAGAGCACACAGAAGATCCAGCAGTATGCCGTCCGCCTGAAGCGCTGGATGAAGTCGATGCATATCGATGCCTTTTTTGACTACCTTTACAACAACCCCCACCCCTACTGGACCCAAATCCCCCACGAGCACATTCCGATCGAGGAGATCGTCAGGGATGGCGTTGCGCCCGAGGACGATATGGCCTTGCGCGCCCTGCTCCCCCACATCCGGCCCCGGAGAGGGCGTCGGACGAGGGAGGATGACGAGGCGGCTAGGCCGTCCTCATCCAAGGTGGCGAGGCTCGACTCGCCTCCGGCGCCCGAGTGCGCCGCTGGCGGTCGGACCGATCTGTTGGAACCCTGGGCCGCCGGCTCCGAAGGCAGAAACTCGGCGCACCAGGGCCTCGGCGCCCCGTCGACAAGTCACCCATGGGCTCCCGACGCGTCTCAGACGCCGTTTACGGCACACCCACAGTCCGCAATCACACCGTCCACAAGAGCTGACTTCTGGGCGGACGAGCCGAGGTCGGCCATGACGCCAAATAAATCAAGCAGGGGCCACAAACGCCACGGCCCCAAGGTGGTCTCCTCAGCATGGAGAAGTGGCCAGGCCAGCAGCGGCAAGACTCGCGGCCGGCCACCGATAAACCGCGCCTCTAACGAAGGTCCATTTTCGGCCTACCCTGCTGACGGGTCGACAATGTCTGCCTTCCGCCCAAGTCCCCCCGACACAGCCGTCATGCCCGTGACACCAACCACAGCACCAAGCTGGGCTGCCAGCAGTAGTTCCGGCGGCAACTCCACCATGGCTGTCGCGGATGTCATGACAACACTCCAGCAGCAGCCTCAACAACAGCTTAGACAACACCCCCAACTCCAACACGAGATCCAGGCCCAGCCCCAGGCCCAGGCTCAGCCCCAACTCCAACAACAACACCAATATAACCCCCACAGCCAGCAACAGCGGCAGCAGCGTTACCCGACGCCACCCGCTCTGCCTTCGTTGAACGCGGCGCTATCATTGCAAGAGCAACAGCCTCAGTCATTCCAAGGAGAGCGGCCGTCAAAACCGAAGGGTCTGTCGTTGCAGGTGCCCGAGAGGGTCGGCGGCGAGATCCGGCTGGCGACTCCGCCCCCAGTCGTCATGGTCAACGGGCTGGCGATGCCCATGGCAAGCGCCCCGGCATCAACCCCGCCACTGTCAGCGGATCGCCGACTAGACGGTGGGGTGCCGAGCGGAGATGTGCCCCAGACTGTGGTGCAAGACAGAGCTCCCGAACCTTTTGATTATGGAAATCCCAGGTCGAATCCGAACGGACAACTTACCGACTTACCACCACCTATTCAGATGCCCGAGGAGCCGGGCCCAAAGCAAAAGGTGAACTACCTAGATTCTTCGGACCGGACGAATGTTGAGGCGTTGCAGGGGTTTTTTATGCATGAGATCATGACGGGCAACTGGGTCGACAAGAACGGCAACAAGCTGCCGGCCGGGGGTGCCGACGAGGCGGCCGCCATCGTGGCGACTGTCATCGAGACCCTGCAGAAGGAGGCGCCGAACGAAAAGACGTTCCTGCTCAACGCGTCGGCCCTCGCCGGCGGTAAGCTGCTGATGACGACAACGTCACTCAAGATCACCGTCATCGAGGTGCTCGAAGACCGGACCGAATACTCCTGCGAATGGCAGTTGCAGCTGGGCTCCTGCAAGGGCCTATATAAGATGACCGAGGTCGTCTATCACGCAAAGTGGAAGCTGCCACCACCAGGCAGCCTCGGGCTCATCAACCGCCACGACGCCAATGTCGCCGCGGCCGCGAAGCCCTCCCCGCCGGCGCCGGCCAAGGCTCCGAGCGAGGGGGCCAGCAGCATCGCCACCGCCAGCACCGACACCGTCGTCAACAAGAGCAGCATAGCTAGGCCCGCTGGTGTCGGTGTCGGCGATGAGTCCCTGTCCGGTCAACCTGGTGTCCCCATCGGATCCGGCACCGCGGCCCAGACCGACGGGGGCTCGGTCGAGCACTGGAAGGAGAAGTGCCGCAAGCTCACTGAGCTGCTGGACAGTCGCAAGACTGAGCATCCGGCGGACCACTGGAGGAACATGTACCTCGAGCTCGCCGAGATGTACAAGAGCAAGGACCTGGAGCTGGCGCGCTTCCAGTCCCGCATCATGGAGGCCATGAGAGATCCCCGCCTCGACCGTGAATGATGCATTCTCTTTCCATCCACTTTTTCTTGCCACACCAAGTCCTGTATCTGGCGAGGTCAAACCATCTTCTCCTTGTCCGGATCCGTCTCGCCATCCCGTTGCTGATACACCTATCTAAGCTTCTTGCTAATGGTCTGGTTAATGACTATGACTACGAGGGGAACTAGATAGAATTCTTTTGGTATTGTTTTACCGACTTTGCCTCCAACCGGTTTTCCCTGTTTGTGTCGTTAATGTTGGCTGTACAACAGCCAGTAGACCAATGAAGGGTTGCGACAAAAGACAGGGCCCAAAAGCATGAAAGATACCACCGCTCCGGAACCCAGAACGGCAGAGAAGGCTGGGTTGTTCTGCAGTTTCTTGTTTATCGCCTCTCTACTTAACCACCACTGTATTTTTCCTCCCTTATAACTCAACGAATAATGAACATGCATGAACGCGTGATAAACGAAGCGATTAAAAAAAGAGAAAAGGCAACGAAAAAAAAAGAATGTCAAGGAAGCCCGGGATCCAAGCCTGGGGCAGGGTCCCGCGGACCCTCCTGGTTCGAGCCCGGGGCACCCCCCGGGATTAGGAGCAGACAGGTCAGACCAACCTTATAAGGGGCCAACCCCCTCGAGGGGGAAAAGCACTTTTTGTGGCTGGGCAGTGCGGGAACAGGCCACAGACATCATGCACGGCCAGGTATAATTGATCTGCTTCCGTATGTAATTACTCTAGGGGGATATCATATCTACACCGCATAAAACACTCGCTCCTCTTGCCATTACACACACACACACACACACACACACACACACATGGGAATAACACCCACGGGGGCAGGACTCGATGTCTCGCCCTTTGGTTGTGCCCATCTTTGAGGCCCATCCGACCGCAGCGGCAGCCGCAACGGCACGCAACAAAGTCCGAGCGGGCCAGTGAAAGGGACGCCACCCAAGAATGCGCCTCGCCTGCAAACTGTCGCAGACGGGCTTTTTTTTTTTAATTGTTCTGGCCGTCCGTCTCCTGGTGGGCCGTTGTCGGGTCTCAGAGATGAGCGAGAGGAGCAATGTCTTGTCCCAGCTCTGCGGGCCAGCCGACCTCGTGCTTGACCGACTGAGAAACCGTTGGCCCCTTCATGCCGGTCCATAGTATACGAATGCGCCACAAAAATGAGGGGAATTAGCCTCCTAGACTGGGATTTTCCCGGCGGGTGGCTGGCATGCAACGAGATATCTCATTGTTTGCTATCCAAGTCTTGCCGCCATTTACCACTCTCGAACAGAGGGCAGCTCTTGGGCACGCCATATACACTTGCATACCCAAGAAGGCGCGCAGATGTGATACACGATGGTCCTTTAGTATATATGCAACATTCTAAACACGTATCAGAGGCATGTCCAACCCAGAGACGGCCAAGAGAGAGAGAGGCTGAGGACTGCCAAAGTCGTCACGATTAGAATTAGAAAGAAAGCAATACCAGAGCCAAACGACCGCACTAGTCAGAGTGTACAGCGGCAACAACAGTACTCGACGTGCACAGCCAAAGCCCGCTCAGGCGTTGAGCTCGCGGCGCACGCGCGCCGTCTCGGAGCGATTCGCGACGGGGGCGACGGCGAAGCCCACGGCGGCGGCCTGGCGCCTGCGCTTGGCCTGGCCGTCGCCGTAGCGCTCGTCGAACTTGCGGATGGCCTTGAGGGAGCCGGCGTCGGGGCTGACGCTGGCGCTGACCTCGTGCATGGCGCGGGCGAAGTGGTCGCCCGTCAGGAGGCGGCGGTCCGGGAAGACGTGGGCGGCTGGGTCCGGGCTGGCGTCGCGGGCCCTGACGCCGTCGCGCACGGCGTGGAAGGCGGCGGCGACGCACAAGTGCTTGAGGTCCGAGCCCGAGTACAGCTCCGTGTCGGCGGCGAGGCGGGCGAGGTCGACCGACTGCGGGTCGAGGCGTTCGTCGCGCAGCAGCACCCGCAGTATCTCGAGCCGGTGCGGCGCCAGGGGCAGGTCGACGAGGATCTTGCGCGGCAGGCGGCGCAGCACCGCCTCGTCCAGGTCGTAGGGCCGGTTCGTCGCCACCATGATGAAGGCGTCCGTCTCGGCCAGGCCGTCCCACTCGCGCAGGAACTGGTTCACCACCTCGCGGTGCCCGCCGCGGTTGCGGCTCTCGCGCGAGCCCAGGAGCGAGTCGGCCTCGTCGAGGAACACGACGACGGGCGCGAGCTTGCGCGCCAGCGAGAAGATGGCGCGCACGTTGCGCTCGCTGGCGCCCACCCACCGGTCGTTGACGGCGGCCGCGCTGACCTCGAGCATCGTGGCCCCGCTCTCCTTGGCGATGGCCCTGGCCATCAGCGTCTTGCCCGTGCCGGGCGGCCCGTACAGCAGGCACCCCGCGATGCGCTCCGTGGCCAGGACGCCGTACGAGAACTCCGACGGCCGCGTCAGCACCAGCGACGTCAGGGACTGCAGCGAGTCCTTGGTTTCCGGCGAGCACACCACGCTGTCCCACGTGGTTTTGATCGTTTCCGGCTTGACGATGCACGGCAGAAGCTGCTGCTCGTTCTCGTCGTATTTGGTATTTTTGTTTTTGGGTTTCATGCCGCTACCGCTGCCCCTGTCCCCGGCGGTATTGCCGTTCTTGGATGAGGCCCCCTGCACGCCGTCACCCTCCGGCGACGTTGTGTGGGAACCGCCACCGGTGGATGAGCTCGCCTTGTTGGCCAGCACTGAGGGCCATGGGTAAGGAGCTGCCTTTATATAGCCAGGTTTTCCCTTCCACATAACGTGTTCGTGTTTTGACCACTGCAGCACGCGCAGTAGCCCATCAAAGACGCTCAACTTGACAGGGCCAGAGGTGGGAAGGGGCTTTGGTAGCTCGACCAACATTCTAGAGGCAATATCATGGGTCCATTGCAAGCTGATGGAATATAGGAAGATGCCCGAGTCAGAAATGATAGTGTAGAGGATCAACAAGCAGGGCCTGATAAAACTTACTCAAAACGGTTCCGCTCCAAGAAAAAGCCCATAACGTACGAGGTTGCGGTCCCCAAGTGTATGGTTACTTCGTGGCCCAGCATGGCCTCTAGCATGCACATGAGATTGGTCAGATTTCTGTGTGCAACTTCATGCTTATCGAGGTTTTTGAACGCATCGCTGTGGTTATAGGGGGGGCAGTCAAAGGGATGGATATGGCAGTTGGCGTGGCTGGCCAGGTTCGAGAGCTGCCTGTGCCACGTCGTGTCAGCCACGTGTGCGGTAGAACCGACCAGGACGATAGGCTTTCCACCATCGGCCAACTTGTCCATGGCGGCGCGCAGCTTGGAGAGAATCAGGCTGCCCTCCCCGAGCTCCGCAAGCTCGACAATATCCTGTACGTGGACGATGAGCCGACGCGGCTCGCCATCTTTGGGTTCCGGGCACTCCGACTCGGGCAGCGCAGCCCGCTTCAGGTCCGCCGCGTTCAGTATCTGCTCCAGCGCGTTGCCCAGCTTCAGATCGTCCCAGTCGGCGACCCTGGCGGGGGACGACGCGGGCTCGGGCCCCAGGAGCATGGTTCGCAGCTGGTTCGAGCTGACCGAGAAGACGCCACCGCCAGCTTCGACATCAGATCCCGATTCCGGGCCGTCTGCGTTCGGGATCGTCTCAGACTGGCGTGTGAATCTTGGGGCAAGTCGGCCGCTGAGCTCGTCAACACGATATCCCATCGTGGAGAAGGGGCCCCTGTATGCATAGAGGTCTTGTCCCAGCACGCGACCGGCAATGTGAGCCAGCGTGTGCGTATCCAGGTGGATCACATCGGCGTTGGACACAATTGCCGCCCTCTCCACCAGAGCCCTGGGGATAGCCTGGGCCGCATGGTTCATTACGGCGAGCACAGGGATAGGCCGCCCTGCCCGCCCTTCCGCGGTCCCGGGTTGATGTCTTGACCTTGGCCTTGACCTAGACTTGGGGGTCATGGCAGAAAGCAGCTGGCCATTTATGCCGTTGGCGAAACTCACACACTCCGTGTTGAAGGCTTTGACCATGTTGGCCTCGCCGGCCAGGAACAGCACAGAGTCAGACAGCAAGCTACGAGAGGACGCGCGAGCTTTCTGCTCGGCGAAACGCAAACGCTCGCTTGTCAGAGGATAGGGCCTCATAAACGGCAAAGGCGGCGGGACGTAGCTCTCCCGCGGCTGGAGAGCACCGTCACGAGTGTAGTAAGCAACGGCAGAGACAGCATCGGCAGCGCTCATAACGACGTGATCATGGAATTGGTCCACGGTTGAGGTGACGTCATGCATATCATCCGTCCGTATGCCCTTGGCGGCGAACTCAAGGGCTTTCATCGCGCTGGCCATATCGTCCTGGGACCACCCACCACTGCCTAGCCCATTTATGAGACCGTCCAGACAACATAGCCTTGCGCTATCCTCGTCCGTGTACAGGTGGAAGTGTCCTTTTTTGCGGTAGTGGCGGCCTTCGTGCAACAGAGTGACATCCCGCTCCAGGAACCATTGGGGTATGCCCACCGGAGGGTACCCAGAGCCTGTGGTGCGGGCGGATCGGGCCGAGCGGGAGCGAGTCGAGGTAACGGTGCTGGCGGTGGTTCCCGTGCTCGAGGGCGAGCTGCTAGAGTCGGGCAGGGATTGTGCGGACCCCGGGACGGCAGGGCGGGTGTCGTGCGGCTCATGGCTTGGCTGGGGGGACGGGGCAGCCCCTGAGGAGCTGTAGAGGCGTTGGCATGACCAGGGACGGCTCAGCCGAGGAAGCAAGGGGCGACATCCTGGAAGGTGCAGTTGGGGTTCATAGTTGGGGTTCATGTCAGTCGGCCAGCTCGTCCGTTCGTCTGTTCACGTGTGGCCCAGCTACACAGCGAAGCATGTACTCACTGGCGGGGCTCGCTGCGACGCGGCGTCGGGCAAGAAGCATCCCTGGCAAACGAAGCAGCCAGCACAGGCTGGGGCCCTTTCGGGGTGCTGCTGCCGGCAGGAGGGGGAAGAACCCCGACGCGAGAGTCGACAAGGGGCAGGGGCAGTGGACGGAAGGGTGGTGAAAGCACGGCGTCCTGGCTTTTGGTGCTTCGTCGGCGCCAGTAGGATGCATGCAGCGACGTCGGCGGATGCGTCAGTGACTGGCAGGCGCATGCAGCCGCCGAGAGGAATTGCCTTTCGCGGTTTTTCCGACGTGGGTTGCTGGATGACGCCATCAACCAATGGCGCCTGGCGATCCCCACATTTATATGGGGCTCAACTAGTCTCGATGGCTTCAGAGGCACGCCTCCAAGATACAGATGGTCTGGGACGCGGGTACGTTGTGTATAAATAGTAGCCAGTGGCTAGGTAGGGAGATGTGAATCCAGCGAGGTGGGTGTCTCCTAGCTGAGTAGACATCTACGACTCCCAGGATCCAACCATACCACAAAGAACGGAAACACATTCTATTCGGAATCGAAGGTCTATCATCGAAGGTCTATCATCCACCATATTGCAACCTGCTTGTACCTCTATCCAAATCCTCACTCTGTCGACGCCTTGAGGCCCTCGGCCGCCAATGCCTCCTGATAGCGGTCCTGGGCGGCTTTGAGCGAGTCGAGAGTCGGTCTCAGCAGTGTCATGACTGCATTCTTGCCCCCTTTGATTTCATTGTCGCTGAACCGGGTCTTTTCCCTGGTCCTTCGGTAATGCCCCATGATCTCTTGCTTCCTCGCTGCGATGATGCTCTGGCGCATCTCCTCGGCCTCCTCCGCCACGGCCTCGATCCGCGATACCGAATTCCTCAGCGCCTCGACATGGTACGCCAGCTCCTGTGCCCGATCGGGGTCACCTGATAGGAATGCGCCCCAAAACTGCTTGAGAAACTCGGTTGTCGTCGCGTTGGTGATGAATGTCTTTTGCGCCAGCTCCACGGGAAGGCCCATGGGTGAGGCCTCGTCCTCGACCTGCCCCTGAGTGTCTCCCCTACTCCTGGCTAGCGCGCGCCAGATCTGCGCCTGTGCTGCCGAGCGCGCCTCACGCGACCCCACGCGCGGCGCCTTCCGCCTCCGTCCCTCGCCGTCGTCGCTGTCGCTTTCGTCGTTGACCCCAATGGCAGCGTGGAGATCGATGCCCCTGCTGGGGCCCGACTCGCCGCCCTGTCCCAACTCCGACAAGTCCGCACCAAGATCACCAAGCACCACCGTCGGTATCTGCGCCGCGTACTCTCGCGTATCCCTCGAGGGGCCCGACGTCTGATCAAAAAAGTGCGCCTGGTCCCTGACGTTGAGCACAATCCGGTCCGAAGCCGCAGTCTCATGAAGATCCCGCAGCGCAAGCTCTCGGTACCCCTTCTCGGGCATACTCAAAGCTTCGGCCTTGGACCGGTCTCCATCCACCGGGCTGACATGCGCCAGCATCATCTCGCTCAGGCTGTTCAGGACCTTGGCGGGGCCACCACGTTCACGATCTGGCCGGTTCGGGTCGTGAGCCGACAGATTGCCACCCTTAATGCCCCCCTGGTTCACGTCGTTTCCGGAAATGTCGATGATATGAGGCAGCTGCTGTGACTCAAACTGGCTGAAAATGGCCTTGTCGTTGTCACTGGCCGTGTACTTGTCGAAAACGTTATCGTGGTGATTCGGGTCTAGCTTCTCGCCCCTGAGCTCCCGAGCAAGATTGCTGACAAAGAACTTGGACCAGAACTTGACCTCGGAGAGTTCCTTGGGCACCTTTTCGTTGTAGAGACGGCGCAGCAGCGGGTACTGCGTCAGCACCATGAGAATCTGTTCTGGCGTGAAGTTCAACTTGTACTTGGCTGATCCTTCACTTTCGGGAGTCATCTTGATGGATGCCAGCACGTTGTACTGGCCCCGCTTCTGGTTGGTCTCGATGGCGTGCGCACGTAGAAGGCTTGTGCGAGAGGACCAGAACTGGGTGTTGAATGTGGCGTCTGAGATGGACTCGGGTTTGGTAGCTCGCGCCTCCATGTACATCTGGTGAAGTCCCCTGTCCTTTTTCATGAGCGATTGCTGCAGGACAATGTCGAGCCTCAACTGCGCGTCGTCGAGAGGGCGTGGTTTCCCGGTGTTCACGGTGCCGGCAAATGACATGGCGGCAGAGCTACTCAACCCACCCCCGTTGGCTGCAGCTGCAGCTGGAGCTGGCGAGGGAGCCGCCGAGCCCTTAGGGGCGACACCAGCATCGGCAGTACGGGCCTCTGCCAGCAGCTTGGAGAGTAGGTCCTTGATGGCATTAGCCTCGGATCTAGCATCGTCGGGAGAGGTGAAGTTGAACAGGTAAGTGACCGGCTCCCCCGCCTCGCCGGGAGGCTTGGCAAAAATCTTGAGCATGACCTTTGCCACATGGTCTGGAGTCTGCTGAAGATCTGGTGTTCCCCGGGTTGTTTTGGTTGTCACGTAAGCCACATGTGTTTCCCAGAATGGCACGACACCCCATGCCATGCCATGCCTTACCAGGATGGCCTGCGGCCGCCCATAGGTGAGATAATGTTTGGCTTACTTGTAATGGTCTCAATGGGCAGAGAAACGGATGGAGGTCCAGACCCCGGCGTTGGGGTCCAGATCACTGCGGCTCTATCATCCGAGACTCTGATGATGCCCTCCTTCTTTTTGTACACGGCTCTGCCTCGTGGCGTTGCCATCACGCCGGGCCCTTGGGGTTGGCCGCCCTCACTTGCCGCTTGCAAGGGCCCAAAACACGCCCCGGCACCCTGGTCTGTTCAAGGCTTGTTTCCCGATGGTGGGCGCTCAGCTGGAGATCATCAATACAATGTGCGAGTAGGTTGGAACTCGACATATGTCGCGTGCCCGCGCAACAACCTCAGATGGGAGAGACAGATGGTTGTTGTCGGCTGCTGACAAACGCCCTCTGCCCGATTTTCAAGTAACAATTTTCGATAGAGATAGAGGCAGTGTTTATCGAGTGGCAATCCAAGGCTTGATCGACTTATCCTGAATGGCTTCTTCTCATTGAATAGATGCAGGTGGGTGGAAGTCTAAGGCAAATCTGAACATTGAGTTGTTTGGGGCAGTGTCACCTTGATGGCCGCCTGCCTGGAGCCTGCCTGGAGTCGCCCCAGCATTCCTCGCTGGGAGCTTGTGTGGAACCAAAAGATGGGACCAAAAATCATTGCCGGTTACTAGCCACAGTGCGCATGCACGGTTACATCACGCGAACGGCACACAATTGCAAGCATATTCGGAGTAACCGAACCTCTCCCGACAAGCCTAACAAGCAGTGCTTCCGCTGCAGACAGCGCCCTTAGGGAGGTCACTCGTGGGTACTTACAACTTTGCATAGAGGTACTGAGGGAGCACAATGGAGTGCCGAACCATTACAGCGCCAATAAAAACCCCCCAATTGGCCAGACACGCCGCCCTCGCCGAGATGGAGCGAGGCAGGCAGCTTCAGACAACGACAGTGACAGGACCGACATCCCAAGTCCCGACAGTAAAATGTGTCAGCAGCCACACTGTGCCCCACCCGGCCGTGCGGCTGGCAGGCTGCACCAGTCAGGAGCCGGTTTGAGGTTCCCATGGGCCAGGCCACGGCAAGATTCGGGCGCTGCAGTGGCTGCCAATGCCAAACTGGACCCGGCTTTCTCGAACCCCGTCAACGTTTTCCATGTCTCCAGTCCATGCGGCTTTTGCAGCCATCGCCATCCGTAATTCTGCCCTCCTGCCTTCTTCTCCTCTTTTCTTTTTTTTTTTTGCTTTTGCTCGCTGTCCCTCTCCGTCTCCTGTTCTCCTTTTAATTCCCGCATTGCGTTGGGGCCTCCTCCAACACGCACATCGAACTTAGAGACTTACTCCGCCAACTCTTTAGCTCGTCCCTGCTGAACCGTGGGCGGCGATATATTTTTTTCTTTTCCCCTCTGGAAGTGCCACGCGACAAACCCTGTCGCCCTAGTGGACGACTGCGTCGTCTGCTTGCTTGTTTGCGCAAGTGATTTTTTGTCAACCTTATTTTCCTCCCTCGTCCAAGGTAAATATCATATACCATCTTCTGCTTTGCCGCCGGGTAGCTCTCTGCACCCCTACTCACACGTCCGACCAGAACGATGCTCCGTAGTTCTCTGTTTAAGGCGGGCAGCCGCGCGGCGCGATGTGCCTCCTCTCCCTCGGCCGCGATTCCCTCAAGATGCCTCTCCGCCGGCCTCGCCCGACCTTCGACTGCGCCCGCCGGCGCGCTCTCGCCGGGCCGTCGCCCACTAGCCGTCGCCTCCTCGAGGCGCTTCGCGAGCGCCCTCTCGAGCCCTCCCGATGCCAACGACAACTTCCTATCGGGCAACACGGCAAACTACATCGATGAGATGTACATGGAGTGGAAGCGCGACCCCCAGAGCGTTCACGTCTCGTGGCAGGTCTACTTCAAGAACATGGAGTCGGGCGATATGCCCATCTCACAAGCCTTCACCCCTCCGCCATCGTTGGTCCCCGGCGCTACCGGTGGTGTCCCTGGATTTGCCGGAAACCCGGGCATGGGCTTCGACCAAGGCTCTGACGTAGCCAACCACCTCAAGGTGCAGCTGCTCGTTCGCGCATACCAGGCCCGTGGCCACCACAAGGCCAACATCGACCCCCTTGGCATTCGCAATGACTCCAAGGGCTTTGGAAACATCAAGCCGAAGGAGCTCGCACTTGAACACTACCAGTTTACCGAGAAGGACCTCGACACCGAGTACACTCTCGGCCCCGGTATCCTGCCCCGCTTCAAGAAGGACGGCCGTGAGAAGATGACGCTCCGCGAGATTGTGGCCGCATGCGAAAAGATCTACTGCGGCTCCTACGGCGTCGAGTTCATTCACATTCCCGATCGCGAAAAGTGCGACTGGCTCCGCGAGCGCATCGAGACCCCGCAACCCTTCAAATACTCGATAGACGAGAAGCGCCGCATCCTCGACCGCCTTATCTGGAGTTCAAGTTTCGAGGCCTTCCTGGCCACAAAGTACCCCAACGATAAGCGTTTCGGTCTGGAGGGATGCGAAACCCTTGTTCCTGGCATGAAGGCTCTGATCGACCGCAGCGTCGACTACGGGGTGAAGGATATCGTCATTGGCATGCCCCACCGCGGTCGTCTCAACGTGCTCAGCAACGTTGTCCGCAAGCCCAACGAGTCTATCTTCAGCGAGTTTGCCGGCACCGCGGGCGCCGAGGATGAGGGTTCGGGAGACGTCAAGTACCATCTGGGTATGAACTTTGAGCGCCCCACCCCCTCGGGCAAGCGCGTGCAACTATCCCTTGTGGCCAACCCCTCGCATCTCGAGGCCGAGGATCCTGTCGTGCTCGGAAAGACGCGTGCCATCCAGCACTACAACAATGACGAGACCACTCACCGCACCGCCATGGGTGTCCTCCTCCATGGTGACGCGGCCATCGCCGGCCAGGGTGTCGTGTATGAGTGCCTGGGCTTCCACTCGCTGCCTGGCTACTCCACGGGTGGCACCGTTCACCTCGTTGTCAACAACCAGATCGGCTTCACCACCGACCCCCGCTTCTCTCGCTCGACAGCCTACTGCACCGACATTGCCAAGGCCATCGACGCCCCCGTGTTCCATGTCAACGCCGACGACGTCGAGGCGGTCAACTACGTGTGCCAACTCGCGGCCGACTGGCGCGCTGAATTCCAGCAGGACGTCATTATCGATCTGATCTGCTACCGCAAGCACGGGCACAACGAGACCGACCAGCCGTCCTTCACGCAGCCGCTCATGTACAAGCGCATCCAGTCGCACGAGCCGCAGATCGACATCTACGTCAACCAGCTGCTCAAGGACGGCACTTTCACCAAGGGGGACATTGAGGAGCACAAGCAATGGGTCTGGGGCATGCTCGAGGACAGCTTCTCCAAGTCCAAGGACTACCAACCCACGTCCAAGGAATGGACCACGTCTGCCTGGAACGGCTTCAAGTCGCCCAAGGAGCTTGCCAGCGAGGTCCTCCCGCATAGCCCGACGGGCGTCGACAAGCAGACGCTCGAGCACATCGGCGAGGTCATTGGCACTGCGCCCGAGGGCTTCAACCTGCACCGAAACCTGAAGCGCATTCTGACGGCCCGCACCAAGTCGGTGCATGAGGGCAAGAACATCGACTGGTCGACGGCTGAAGCGCTGGCCTTTGGATCTCTGGTGACCGAGGGCCACCACGTGCGCGTGTCGGGTCAGGACGTTGAGCGCGGCACCTTCTCGCAGCGCCATGCCGTGTTCCACGACCAGGAGAGCGAGGAGACCTACACGCCCCTTCAAAAGATCAGCAAGGACCAGGGCAAGTTTGTGGTTTCAAACTCGTCGCTCAGCGAGTTTGGCGTCCTCGGGTTCGAGTACGGCTACTCGCTGACGTCGCCCAATGCGCTGGTCATGTGGGAGGCTCAGTTTGGCGACTTTGCCAACAACGCACAGTGCATCATCGATCAGTTCGTCGCGTCGGGTGAGGTGAAGTGGATGCAGCGCACAGGACTGGTCATGTCCCTGCCCCATGGTTACGATGGTCAGGGCCCTGAGCACTCCTCGGGCCGCCTCGAGAGGTATCTGCAGCTTTGCAACGAGGACCCGCGCGTGTTCCCTGCCGAGGAGAAGCTGCAGCGCCAGCACCAGGACAGCAACATGCAAATCGCCTACATGACCACTCCGGCCAACCTGTTCCACATTCTGCGCCGCCAGATGAACAGGCAGTTCAGGAAACGTAAGAATATTGCACCCCCAATCATGGACCTCGTTTGTGATTGCATGGAGAGCCAATCCATACTAACAAACGACAAAAAAAACACACAGCTCTCATCATCTTCTTCTCCAAGTCGCTGCTGAGGCACCCGCTGGCGCGCTCCGACATTGAGGAGTTCACGGGCGACTCGCAGTTCCACTGGATCATCCCCGACCCTGCGCATGAGGCTGGAGCCATCAAGCCCCACGACGAGATCGAGCGCGTGATCCTCTGCTCGGGCCAGGTTTACGCAGCGCTGCACAAGTACCGCGCCGACAACCAGCTCGATAACGTCGCCATTACGCGTATCGAGCAGCTGCACCCTTTCCCGTGGAAGCTGCTGCGCGACAACCTTGACCGGTACCCCAATGCCAAGACCATCGTCTGGGCCCAGGAGGAGCCCCTGAACGCCGGCGCCTGGAGCTACACGCAGCCGCGTATCGAGACCCTGCTGAACCAGACTCAGCACCACGACCGCAAGCACGTCATGTATGCTGGCCGCAACCCGAGCGCCTCGGTCGCAACGGGCATGAAGTCGTCGCACACCAAGGAGGAGCAGGAGCTGCTTGAGATGGCCTTCAGCGTGAGGCAAGACAAGCTAAAGGGGGAGTAAGAGAGATGAGGAAAAAGTGGCAGGTGACGCCGCTGGGCGTACCAGTTTGCCACGGTGGCGGAGATGGCTGAGCGTGTTGTTTGCCAAGGTGTCATGGTGCCATCTTAGATATTTTCTTGAGTGATATAGGGGCGCTGCGTCTTTTTCTGTGTTGCTTGCTTGGCTGGATTGGCAGGCAGGCAAGTGACTCGCCTTTGTACCCTAATAGCCGAAACAAAATATCAAACACGAGTGATGACTAGGCATTGCCTGGGGCCTTTGGCGGGGAATTGGGTCGGTTGCACCGCACATCCCAGGGTAGCTTGGCGGAACCATCGGTCAAGGCGGTCACCAGATGCGTATAATAGAATATGTAGTTGTTGTTTATTCTTGCTTGTATTCCTATGAATAGAGTATTCATCGGCCATCGGCTGCCCGTCTGTTTTAGGTACCCAAACATGCAACGCCCTTTGGCCCAGTATCTGCTATTATGCCGACCCTCCACTCCGAGCTATTTCTGCAGCATCGAGCCCGTTCAGCTGCCAGGGCTGGACGACGCCGTTGTCCCCAGTCGTCACTAGCATCTCCTCGACGCCCCGCCTCTTGGCCCCAGGGTCGAACCAGGGGCACCAGGTGACGTGGTTGATCTCGTAAGGCCCGTGGCCGTCGGCGACGGTTCCCAGGACGCGCCACCCCTGGCCCGACGCCTGCTGCGGCGTCAGCTGTTTTGTTGCTGCGGGGACGACGCCGTCGGGCAGGGAGAGCGAGGAGGGGTCGGGGACCGCGGCAGCGGCAGCGGTAGTGGCGCCATCCACGGACTCGGGCGACTCGCCGTCGTCGTCGTCGTCGCACTCGTCGTAGACGGCGACGATGCCGTCGCTGCCGGTGCTGGCGACGAGGCCGGACCGGCTCCAAGCGGCCGAGTAGATGTCGCGCGTGTGCACCTTTGGCAGCACGGCGGTGCAGCGCCACTCCTCCTTGGGCGCCTGGCGCATCGTGTTGGGGATGTTGCCGAGACCGGAGGCGAAGGCGGAGGGCGTGGAATCCCCGCCGGCGCCACCATTCTCTTCATCCTGGTCGTCCTCGACGAGCGTCCACACGCGCACGGTGGCGTCGGCGGACCAGGTCAGCAGGCGCGGGTAGCGGCCCTCGCGTGCGCCCGACGGGTTGGGCTCCCACTGGACGCCCCAGACGGTAGAGACGTGGCCGTCGAGGACGGCGGCGCAGGCCCACTCGGCATCGGGGTCCTCGCGCCAGACGCGGACCGTATCGTCGTAGCTGGCCGAGGCGAGGGCGTCGGGCCCGTGGTGGCGGCGGCGGCCGGCGAGGGCGGCGCGGCCGGGGACGTCGGGGCACCAGGCCACGCACTTGACGTCGCCGTCGTGCTCGGTCAGCACCGAGACCGTCTCCCACTCGTCGTCGCCCTCGGACGCGCCCACGTCCTCCCAGATCCAGATGGACTTGTCGCGGCTGCACGTGGCCAGCAGGTGGCCCGACGGCGCAAAGGCCACGCTCTTGACCTCGTTCTCGTGGCCCTCGAGCACCAGCGTGAACTCCCACTCGTCGTCGTCGTCGTCGTCGCCGTCGCCCCGACGCTGCCCGCTGGCGTGGACCTCGGTCGGGCCCCCCGCCTCCTTCTCCCAGCGCCACAGGCCGGCGGTAGAGTCGAAGCTGCCGGTCACGAGGCAGAGCTTGCCGGGGGCCATGCCGGGCCTCCAGACGGCGGACCGCACGGAGCGGGTGTGGCCGCCCGTGAGGCTGCTGTGGGCCGACAGGTCCGAGAGGGAGAAGACGGTGACGGACTTGTCGTGTGCCGTGGCCAGCAGCGGCAGGGTCGGGTGCGGCGTCGACGACCAGGCGCGGTGGTATAAGTCGGGCTTGAAGGCGGGAAGCCGTTCCAGCTCCACCCGCGCCGGTGGCGGCATTGTTTTGCCCTTGTCGTCTTGTCTCGCTTCTACCATCTCCCTTCGTCCCCTCCCTTCTTGGGGCTAATACCCAGGCCTGGCGCCCGCTTAGAAAAGTACCCAAGTGCCTGAGAGGTACCAGCTAGGTAGGTGAGTGGCTGGCTAAAGTTCCTCGCTTCGGTCTTTCCAGGTCCTGTGGCTTTCAAGTTCTCTCTTTTTTTCTTCTTTTTTTTTACTCACTCGCTTATTCCACCCTATTCTACTCTTGGGTGAGCCGCTGACGTCTAGCTGTGAAGTTTGGGGCCTCGCCTGTGTGATGAGCACTACATAGGCGTTCAGCCTTAGACTGAGCTAGCTAGGTAGGTACCACGCAGTGGGTAATGACAAATCCTTGCTTGAGCTACAGCCGATATGCAGGGTGACAAGCCGAGGGAAGCGCAGGCCAGAATGTGAATCTACATGTGAGTGCATCAAGCATAAATCAATCGACGACCCCTCCATTGGTGTCTCTGTGGCCCACTATGCGCGCTGTGTTTTGCTGTGCGGGGCATGGGTGGGCCAGACGTCATCCCACACAGGCTCCAGGCTCTCGCCGGCGGCAGAAGGTGCTTCTTTGGTCTTTCCCTTGTTGGGAAGTGAAACCATGCAATCACTTTCTTTTTGAATTTGGCTTCTCAACACTCGGACAGGCTCACAGACATTGGAACTTCTCCATCTCGACACTCCACCCCAGCCCGATCGATCTTTCTCTAGTGCTGATGATGCGCCTCACTGACCTGCGCCGAGAGAAGCCTGAGAGGACCCAATCCTAAACACATACCTGCTGTACTTACAATACCTCAATTTTCTTCAACGCGTCTGCGTGACATCGGCTGGTGCACATCCGCCGCTAGGCCCAAGTCTTCTTGACTCCACGGTGCCTCCGACACCGTCGCTTCGACTTTGCTTCTTTTCCCCGACCCAAGCCGCTAGTTGCGGCCATGGGAGCCGGTGCAATCTGCGCCGCTAGCTAGGGGGATGCGCTAGGAACGCTCCTGTCGATTCTCTCTGGTTAATGAGCCTACTCGAGTCTGCCGGCGCCGACTTTCTTTTGGTCGCACTGGCCATGCCAAGCCCCGACGCGTTTAGCGGGACTCCCCAGAAACAAAGAAGCCGGGCCTGGCCCAGGCTCACTTCAAGATCGACGGCCGCCTGCCGGAGCGTGGGGAGCGTGGGTAGCGTAGGGAGCGTAGGGAGCGTAGGGAGCGTAGGGAACTTGGACTGGCCGCCGCCGCACCCCAAGCCCATCTAGCGCGACTGCTGCACGCCCGTACTACCCGGGCGCGGCCAAATCCTATTGGCCGCTTTACCGTGAAATCATGCTTAGTCGAGGCCTTTTTGCGCCTGCTTGACCCGCTAGCCAAGACTCGACTTTAGTCTCATCCCCTTGGCTTTGCCAGGCTCTCGCCAATGTGCCTGCCATGGAGGCACGCGCCCCCCGATGTGGCCGAGGCGCCGGATAGCGGAAAGGGAGACTGGGGAATGGGGAAGCGGGCGGAAAGAAGGGAAAAAAAGGGAAAATGACAAAAGAAAAGAGGGGGGAACACTTCGGAGGCGAGGCGTCCAAAAAGATGGTATTTCCCCCCGCTGGACGCGAATACCCTGTCGTCGTTGTGCCCTCCAACTTCCATTCATTACTTTTCTTGGTGTTGTTCGCATTTGCGGGTTGCCGGTCGTCAATCCCTGGTTTTGTTCATCTGGCTTTGTTCATCTGGTCTGGTTCTTCGCCATTTGGGCCGACGACCTTGCAGGGCGCGAGAGATATCGACCAGACCGGACCATGGCGGACGCCAACAAGACCTCCCCGACGTCCGACCAGCTCTTCCGGCAGTGGCATGGGCAGCTGGTCCCATGGTCCTACCAACCCGGCTTCGTTGTTCTCAGCTATGTGGTCAGCTTTATCGGCGCCGCGACGACGCTGGAGCTCATCCAGCGCCGGACCGCGCAGATGGGGAGGCTCAACAATGTGCTGCTTGTCGGGGCGGCCATATCGATGGGCGGCGTGGCCATCTGGTCAATGGTGGGTATCTGCCTTAGCTGGTTTGCGCTTCAGGGTTGTACTAACAGGGCCGCAACCTCGGCGACAACGACAGCACTACGTTGGAAACCGCGCCATCGTAATGGCCGGTGGGGAGCCGCAGCTGCAGATTGCGTACAGCGGCGGCTTCACAACACTGTCGCTGTTTGTACCCATCATCGTTCTGCTCGTGGCCTTTGTGGCCACGGAAACCAAAGACCGAGTCTCGTGGTGGCGTATCGGTGTCGGCGGCACGCTTGCCGGGCTCGCCATCTGCGGCATGCACTACTTGGGCAATGCGTCGATAAGCAACTACGTGTGCGAGTATGAGCAGGCCAACATCGTTGCCTCTGGCATTATCGCCATCGCGGCTAGCAGCGTCTCCCTCGCCCTCTTCTTCGTCCTCCGCGTAGGCTGGACGAGCTCGTGGTGGAAAAGGACCATATCCGAGGTCATCCTGGCCGGCGCCGTTTCGGGCATGCACTGGTGCGCCTCTGGCGGGACTCAGTACCGTCTCACTGCCCTCAAATCCAACACGGCTAGCGAGTTGTCACGCAACACCACGGTCATAATAGTAATGTGCCTGGTAGGTTATGGCCATCGCCCCCTTACCCCGTTGCTCATTATGGCGGAGCTCAATGTGCAGGCGCCGGGCTGACACCTCGCGTCACCACCAGGCTCTCGGGGCTAGCTTTTTGATGGGTGGTCTCGCCATCTACCTGGCTTACGTCACCAAAAGATTCGCCAACAGGGCACGCAAAGTGCAGCTGGCCGCCGCCATGTTCGACAGGCAGGGTCGCGTAATGGTCAGTCCGGATGGGTTCCTGCCCTGCGAGAAGATTACCGACTCGTTCGTGGAGATGAGCCCACAGGACGCGTTCGGGACCGCACACCCACTCTTCCACTGGATCTTTAGGGTCTCGCGGAACTGGTCATGCGTCAACCCCCTGCTGGAAGACATGTCGAGCCACCTGACCAAGCTGTCGGGCGGCTCCAAGCGAGGACTCCGTCTGAGCAACAACAGGCATGAGCCCATTGAGAACTACGACACCACGGTGCGACAGCTTTTCTGCACGGCGGCCGGGGCTCTTGCGGCCAGCCTCAAGCTCAACCTCGAGCAGGTGGGCATCTTGTGGGATGACGTTCTAGTTACGGGCGGGTTAGAACAAAGCAAGAAAAACGCGTTTCGCTGGAACTCTTCACATCAGCTGGATGTCGACGACATTTTTGGCCACGGTGCAGGCAGTGCACCAGACCCCGGACTCGCCGAGAAGGGATCCCGATCCTGGGTCGAGACTGGCAACGACGGCCGCGGATCCCTGCTGTTCCTGGTGCGCAAGGCCAATACGAGCGCCGACGAAGAGGCGCTCGAGGCAGCCGGGTACCGATTTGCGGAGCTCCACCAGGTGAGCAGCTTGATCGGCACGCGGATGCGGATCCGAACGCCCGACCTGGAGGGAAAACTGCGCGACATGGCGGCCAACGCGCAGCAGAAGGCCCTGCTGGAGCCAGGGCTACATCTTGGGCTCTTTGGGGTGCGGGCACAGCCGGGGGTGTTCGCGTTCGACGTACTCGCGAGGAAAGGGGCGCGGAACCTGCTGCCGTCGGTGGCTATGGAGCTTGACAAGCTGGAAAAGTGGCACATGGACTATATAGAGCAGCTGGACCGCATGAGCATCAACGCCATGCTTCACGTTTTGGAGAGTGGTGACCGGGGCAAAGGGGCCGAAACAGGCGAGGACACGGAGACGGCCGTGTTCGCGCGCAAGCTTAGCGACACACTCAGGGCACTCCGGACGTGGCTTGACGACTCGACGCTGGCCGAAGCCATGGCGACGTCCAAGGTGGTGCAGGTGCCCTGCAGTGGAAGCAGCCCCGAGGGCGGTGTGGGTCAGACAGCAACCATGATCGCGCTCCGCGTCGTCATCCCCGTGAGCCACCAGTTGGCCGAAAACAGCAGGTGCGAGCTGGTACCGCTCGGGCTGTTCAGGGCGCACCAGATGGCGTACCAGGGCTCGCCACATAACGCAGCCTTCGCCGAGCGCGCCGCGCGGGAGCTGGGCCCGAACACACCGAGAGGCGAGGTGGACCGGGAAAGCAAAACAGGCGGGCCAAGCAGGACGACGGAGACGGCGGTAGCGGAAGGGCAGGCCGAGGGCCTGGCTGAGGAGGGCGCGGGGCGGTGGAGCAGATGGCAAGTGGCCAGCCGGACAGGGCTTGGAAAACGCCAAGTATCTCGGCCAAGGAGCACAAGCGGCGCGGCGGCGGGCGATGGCAGCCCGCTCCCTAGCACTGACGAGGGCTCTCCAAGGGAGTCGACGGGCTCATCGACGCTCAAGCTATGGTGGGGGGAAGACCACGGCAGCCCCGTGGGGTTCCAGGGGGGCTGGTCCGCAACGGTGGGGGGATCCGGGCTGGCGGTACGGGAGGAACACGGAAGCGAATGTGCCAAGCTATCGGCGGGTCGGCGACTCAGCGCACTGGAGCTGTTCGTGCGCAAGGCCGGCGGACATAGCCCGCTGGGGCCGGCTAATGAACGAGACTCGGAGGTCGAGGGCAGCATAGAGATGAAAAGGCTGCCCAGGAGCAAGAGCGGCAAAGGAGGACCGGAGGCGAGGCGGCCGTCAAAGGAGGGCAGCGAGTTGCCGAATTTTGTGGACGAGCTGTTTACGGCTGGCCGGTATTGAACTTTCTTTTTACTTGTTTCTTTCGTTGGGAAACGGCGGTTGATAGGTATTTTGTTTGCGTATTCATTCTATTCAGGCCCGTAAATCTCGAGTCGAGGCATCTACCGCGTCATGTCATCGTCACGTACTCGCTGAACGAGGCGGCTGTCGGCAAGGCGGAGAGAAAGAATGGAGGTCGCTGATGGCCGCTTTCGGTGCTCCAATCGAGAGGGCGAGACGAGCACGCTGGGCCGACAAGGCGGTTTGATTGGTGGAAAATCCTGTTTTACCCGAGCAGACTGGGCATTGGCGCTTTCGGTGTATAAAAAGGCGCATGGGGAAGCTCTCTCTGGAGCATCGCCATGCTCCAAGCTTTCGCGCTAGCTCGCGCCCTATGGTCCCTATGGTAGTGTGGCGTGTCCTGGAGATTAGGGGCCGAGGGCCTAAGAGTGGTGCGTCAGTATTTCAATCGCATCGAGTGCAGCTAGACTAAAATTAGATAGCGACTTGGTTCGTGTTCAATAAAATCGCCAGCGGATGGGTTCGTTCATCTGTTCGGATCGCTCCTTCTCACCGTGGAGGCTCGCCCCCATTGCCTCCAGCTTATTTCCCCACAGGGCTCCCCACTTGAACGACTCGATCAACGTCCATGTCATGGATGGTCTGAGCGGGCAGCGCCTCTTTTGCTAGCCCATCGTCGTTTTATTGCCGACGGACCAGCCGACCATTGAACCTGCAACTGCGCGGCTAGAGCATCTGCTTCCCCTCTTTTGTCTGTTGTCTTGCTTTTATCTCGGCCTCCCTTTTGCCATTCTTTTTTTATTCTTTCTTTTTCTTTTTCCTCTTCTCTTTGGCCGCCTTGTATACTTGGCCCCCAGCCTTCCCTACAAGGCCGCAGCTGGCTCCTTTATATACGCCGACCCAGAGACATCCATCCACGTACCTTGTCGACTGTCGTCGTCGTCGTCGGCTAGGCCGCCTGCCATCATGTCTAGGCTCGCCTTCCTGCGGCGGCTGGCCGTGCCCGTCGGGGCGTCGGCCGTCGGCGGCGGGCTGCTCTTTTACGCGTACCGGCCGCGCAACATCCCCGGACTCGAGGACCCGGCGGTGCCGCCGCCCATCTACGGCGCCGACGGCACGTTCCAGCTACCGCGGTTCCCGCGCATCCCCGCGCGCGAGGAGCAGCTGGCGGCGCTCCGGCGCAGCAGCAGTAACAGCAGCAGCGCCCAGCAGGGCGGCGGCGACGAGGAGGCCGCCGTCTACGACATGCTCGTCATCGGCGGCGGCGCCACGGGGGCGGGCGTGGCGCTGGACGCGGCCACGCGCGGGCTACGCGTCGCCCTGGTGGAGCGCGACGACTTTGCGTGCGGCACCAGCAGCAAGAGCACCAAGCTCGTGCACGGCGGCGTGCGCTACCTCGAGAAGGCCGTGTGGAACCTTGACTACAGCCAGTACGAGCTCGTGCGCGAGGCCCTCAAGGAGCGCAAGTACTTCCTGCAGACGGCCCCTCACCTCAGCTCGTGGCTGCCCATCATGCTACCGCTCGACCGCTGGTGGAAGGCCCCGTACTACTGGGCCGGCACCAAGTTCTACGACTTTCTAGCCGGGTCCGAAGGCATCGAGAGCTCCTACTTCCTGACGCGCTCCAAGGCGCTCGACGCCTTCCCCATGCTCAAGAAGCAGGGGCTCGTCGGCGCCCTGGTCTACTACGACGGCGCCCACAACGACTCGCGCATGAACGTGTCCATCGCCGCCACGGCCGCCCTCTACGGCGCCACGGTGCTCAACCACGCCGAGGTCACGGCCCTGCACAAGGACCCGGCCACGGGCCGGCTCTGCGGCGCCACGGCCCGCGACCTGTTGCCCGCGCGCGACGGCCGCCCGGCCCAGGACGTGCACATACGCGCGCGCTGCGTCGTCAACTGCACCGGCCCCTTCACCGACGGCATCCGCAAGCTCGACGACCCGACCTGCAAGGACATCGTGGCGCCCTCGTCGGGCGTGCACGTGGTGCTGCCCGGCTTCTACAGCCCCGCCAACATGGGCCTGATCGACCCGCAGACATCGGACGGGCGCGTCATCTTCTTTTTACCGTGGCAGGGCAACACCATCGCCGGCACCACCGACGACCCCTCGACCGTGACGCGCGACCCCGTGCCGGACGAGAAGTCGATCCAGTGGATCCTCAACGAGGTCCGCCACTACCTCTCGCCCGACATCACGGTCCGCCGCGGCGACGTCCTGGCCGCCTGGTCCGGCCTGCGGCCCCTGGTCAAGGACCCCAAGGCCAAGAACACCGAGTCCCTCGTCCGCAACCACCTCATCGATGTCTCCCCCTCGGGCCTCCTCACGTGCGCCGGCGGCAAGTGGACCACGTACCGCCAGATGGCCGAGGAGTGCGTCGACGCCGCCGTGACCGAGTTTGGCCTCGTGACGGGCCCCGTCGCCAGCGCCCCGCGCGTCAGCGGCACCGACGCGGTCGACGACGGCGCCCACCTCGACGGCTCGTGCCAGACCCACAAGGTCCGCCTCGTCGGCGCCCACGGCTACGGCAAGAACCTCTTCATCCACCTGATCCAGCACTTTGGCGTCGAGACCGACGTGGCCAAGCACCTGACCGAGAGCTACGGCGACCGCGCCTGGACCGTGGCGGCCCTGAGCAGCCCGACCAACAAGCGCTTCCCCGCCCGCGGCGAGCGCATCTCGGACCTCTACCCCTTTGTCGACGGCGAGGTCCGCTACGCCGTCCGCCACGAGTATGCCCAGACGGCCGTGGATGTGCTGGCCCGCCGCACCAGGCTCGCCTTCCTGAACGCCCAGGCCGCCCTCGAGGCCCTGCCGCGCGTCATCGACATCATGGCCGAGGAGCTCAAGTGGAGCCGGCACCGCAAGGATCTGGAGTGGACCGAGAGTGAGTTTTTCTTTCCTTTTTTTTTTTTTTGGTTTGTTTCTTATCATCACCCGTAGCACCATCACGCATCTGACTGACCCATTCCAGCCGTCGCCTACCTCGAGTCCATGGGCCTCCCCAAGCCCCTCCTCACCGCAACCCGCAAGCAGATCGAGCAGGGCAAGATCGACCTCTCGGCCTCGCTCGAGTACAAGATGTACCTGAGGCACGACAAGCCCGCCGGCGACGACAAGTAGCTTTCTTTTTTTTTTTTTTTTTTTGACTAGGACATTTGGGTCTTGTTTCCCACCCCCCCGGGGGGGAATATCGGTTGGTGTTCTTGTATACTGTTGGATCATGGTTTCTCAATGTATTTTTTTTTCCCCTCGCAATCACACAACTCTTTGCATCTCACGTCTTTGCACCCCCTCTCAGACTCTTCTCAATTTTTAGACTCAAACGGGGACGTCGTGGTCCTGGAGGCGGCGTCATGGGCAGGAAAGAAGAAAAAAGAACCAAATCTCATTCAGCTTGTAGTCATAGTTGGCATAATATCGAGCAAGGCATTCGACAAGGGGTACACCAATCTCGACAGATATTCGGTTTTTGTTCATCGTCTCGGTCTTCTTTCTGTTTGTTTAGGATTTAGTCTCGTTTGGATGCCATGCCGTCGTGTGTGTGTAACAAATCCATAGCCCAAAAAAAAGCAAGCTATGAAAACAAGAGTCGATAACACCGCATACATGCTGATATATGGAAGTCGAAGTCGCTATGTCATCCCCCCAACGCCGTGCCTGAATGAGCATGTCCGTCCCCCGCCGTTCATCAATGAAAGGATCCGTGGGTCCGTTATATGCATGGGTCGTCAGAGCATCCCCCCAAACGCCAGCCCATTATCCCAAGTTTCCCAACCTTTGAAGCTGCACAGGCCCCAGAGGGTGGGGAAAATAGAAGAAAGTGGTCTATGGTGATGATGATGATGATGATGATGTTGTTGTTGTTGTTGATAATGGTAATGGTAGCAAAATCGGGACAAAGTAAATTGGTATATGCAAGAAAAGTAAAGAGTGCAATGCCACGTGCTCAATCGCACCCTAAATTGGAAAGCAAGAGAAAGTTGTGTAAAGTGACCCAAAGATCAAGTGGTAAATGTGATCAAGGGGCCGTCGTGTGGTCGGCACTTGGCCGATGAGGGGGGATGCTGCTCAAGACGCGGTGGAGAAGGCTGCGTTTGGCGACACATGGTTGCCGAGCGTGGCCTTCGGTCGAGCTGCCCGGGTTGCTCGTCGGCGAGATGATGCAACACTGACGTCGATCCAGCTCGGCTTCCCAGCCGTAGGCGTCACCCTCCGCCTCGACAGGCGTTGTGTTGGCGCTTGGGTTGACCACGGTCGTGCACGATCCGTTGGGACTGTCCAGATGGATGCCCAGGTGGTTTGAAAAGTCGGTAAAGTCGAGCATAGGTGAATTTATAGGCGGGGAGGTCTCCTTGATGGTGACGGCGTCCTCCGTCTCGCAAGAGCTGCACGTCGTTCCGACCTCGGTCTTGACGTCCGGGTCCGTGAGGATCATGGACAGGGACTCGGCGCCTTCTTCGAGCTCCAAGCCTTGTGCGGAGCTGGCTCCAGACACCACGCCGAGAACAATGCTTTGGCCGTGAGGGCACGATGGCGGCGCCGACATGATGGGCTTGCCCTTGACACCCCATGCCTCGTGGCTTTTCCGGGTATCAAGCCGGAGCACTGGTTGGCCGGGCTGGGTGTTCCTAACCCTCGCCCGCGCGCTTCGGCGAGTCAGCCACATCCTGCCCGCATGTCGCGTCTGTTGTGGCGACGGGCGATATTTTGCGGCCATATCATCACTGCACACACCGCCATCGCTGGCCAAGCTGCTGTCGGCTCTCATGAAGTCCAGGGCGGGAGACGCCCTGGGGCATGACAGCGACAACCTCTGGCCCGGATGGGGCCCCTCCCACTCGTCTGCAGATGCGTCGTCGTGATCCGAGTCGGCCTCAATGGGGAGAAGCTGATTGGCGCGATCGACGGCACCGGCACCGGCACTGCCGGCCTCTGGGTCATGAAGCCCAGAAGCCGACTGTGCCGGCGAGACGGTGGTGGAGGCGAGTTGTGCGGGTGGTGATACGACCTGTGACCCTCATAAGGGGTAGTCGTGGCCCTTGGTGGCATGCGCCGCCGTCGGCAAGTTGGAGTCAGACATGTGCACGTCGACATCGGAGCCGGTGGATCCTGACGAAGAAGCGGCAGCCGCGTCCGAGGTGTTGGCACGTCGCGCGGTCCGGCTCTTCTTTCCGAGGCCAAGTTTGGCACTCATGCGCTTCCAACCGTTGCTGTGCGCGCTGATGGCCCTCTGTAGACTGCCAGGCGAGGTTCCAAAGCCCCAGTCCGACGTGGGCGGTGTGGTGGGAGGAGTCAAGGGTTCGCCCGGGGGCGGGGTGCTGCCGCTGCTCTCGTCGGTGCTGGTGCCTTCTCGGTCGACGGCGTCTGCGGAGGAAGAGGAAGAAGAACGCGCGGCACCCTCAGACCTGCGTCCGATGTGGAGGTTAGGAAGCAGAGACAGCTTGGGCGACCGGCTGGGCTCTTCTTGTGAAGACATTTCCCTGGACATTCGTAGCCTGGCGCGTCCTTGCCGTGAGTCGGGCTCCCCCTCGAGGAGGTCAAGCGAGTGCTGCGAGGCGTTGGTGGAGGCGATGAAAGGCAGCAGAACCGAATCATTCATCAGCTCATGTACGATCCTGACGGCCTCCTCCAGCTCCGAAGGATTGGGAGGAGTCGGGGTGCTGGCGAAGGACAGCAGCTGATCGCGGACGGGACCGGGCAGGTTGACCTCGCGAGGGCCACATGGGAGGATGTAGGCATTCATCAGCCGCTGCCACAGGATGCAAACGTGATCGTTGGCGTCTCTGGTCCAGTTGGACTGGTCTTGGGCGAGCTGCTCGTAGGCGAGACGGTATCGCTCGGCCTCGAGTGTGAATTCTAGTGTTTCTAGACAGTGGTTCTGTGACAGATAGGCCATGAAGGCGCTCAGGTTCCAAGGAGGAGGCGCCGTGTTGGCCAGAATCTCCTGAAGCGACGGGTGCATCGCGGCCAAGGAGCTTGGCCGCGAGGAGGCCGGCATGGCGCCGTCACGACCCCCGCGCGTCGGTGAGCGGACCGGGGAGAGGGCCCTCGGGGTGGGCGAGGGGCTGAGGTAGGTTGGTGAGTATGTCCGTCTTCTAGATCTTTTCATGCTTGCGTTGCCGCGTTGCAGAGCTAGTAAGGATGGAGTGATGGTTCAGACTGAGGACGATCCGCTGCGGGAGCTCGTGGAGTCTGTTCTCAGCAACACAGTGCCATTCGGGGCGTGTATGCGACCGGGTCTGAAGGGTGGCTCCGAGTCCGTCCCGTGGGATAGTCGTCGCTATCGTCCAACGCCGACGTGTTCGTCGCGGCCGCGGTCGTCGTGGTAATCGTCGTCGTGGTAATCGTCGGCCAAGAGAGGGCTCTGGGTCTTGGAAACCCAAGTCGAAGCGGCGCTGGACGAGCTAGGCAGGCAGCAAGGCCAATGGTGGGCAGCGCAGGGCAGCGCAATGCAGGTAGCCTCCGTGTGATGCTGCCGACGCAGATACCGGTGAGGGCGCGGCCAATGGGGCGCCTGCGGTATGGTAGGGCAGGGCTGGGAAGATGGACGGTGGTGTCGATCAGGCCAAGGACGGCGGTTGCACGGGGGGTGGGCAAGCCGTAGCAAGAAAGGGGGCCCGTCGTGCGCGGGCGACTGCGGGTTCCCGTCGTTGTGGTGGTGGGAAAAAGGCAGAGACGGGGGTACGGGCGAGCGAGGGTAGAGAATTTAGAAAGCTGTCGGGTCGGGATGGCAAAGGGCGACAGCCACTGCGTCGCCGTTTCGAGCAAAGACAAACAAGAGCGAGGGCGTCGGTTGGTGAAACAGAGGAGGCGTCGTGGAAGGAGTGGTGCGCTGGGGGGGCGGACAAGCGAAGGGGCGAGACGGCGTGGAAAAGCAAATAAAAAAAAGGAAGAAAAAGAAAAGAAGAAAAAGAAGCTGGCGGCCTGTTTTTTTGTTTTGTTTTTTGCCTTGCTTTGTTACTTCTTTACTGTGTTGATTCCGTAGAGGACCGAATTGATGGGCGAGAACAGTCTGGACGGGTGGTGCCAGCGAGGGGGGCGAGTAGGGGGATATTCAAAGAGGGAGGGACCAGACGGCAGTTTTGTCGAGGGTGTTGGGAGGTGATGGCCTGGGGGCGCTGGCATGCTGGTGTGGTGGTGGCCCAGAGATTAGACGGGTGCGAGCCAGATCTGGGGCGGCTCGGTCTTTAGGTTCTGGAAGGGCGGGAGAAGTCGTAGGCGCGGGCCAGTGGGAGGGCGTCGCTGGCCTGACACCCCCCTGCGTGGGCTTGGAGCAGAGCCAAGCACTGTCGATCCCGTGGCGCCAAAACCCGCCAGAGGGTGGCCTTTGATGGCTGGCGAACCAGCGTGCGCCGGGCTGGCACACTGCTTCGATTGCCCGAGACAAGTCAAATGAGTGAAAGGAGCCTTCATTCCCTCGCCGCGTTCCTTTGCTCACCGTCGCCTGGCACTTGGCACTCAGACACGCACACATACACACATACAGCAGACGGACGGGCGGACAGCACTCCAGCCCCAATCCCTGGCCCCCCCCCCCCCGTCGCAGTCCCCAAGTCAGTCAGTCAATCGGGGAGCGCCGAACAGCACCACTGTCCAAAAAATGTCCCCAAGAATGCCTGCTGGTGCCGTCGCGGGTGGGCCGCGCCTCCACCAGAGTACATGTTACAGTACACAGTACATTCCATTCCATGGTACAGTAATCCACCCCTATTTATTTCCAAGACGTCTGAATGGAGCTCACCCCGCAGCGCCGTGCTGCGCGCGCAGGGGTGGCTCCACCACTGCCAGTCCCTCCAAAGGCCGAACCGAACGGCGATGAACAGCGCAGAGCCGAGCCCAAGCGGAAGGGCACCCTGCCTGCCTGCCTGCCAGGTCCGGCCAGGTTGGGCGCGCGACAGGACAGGCGGCGAAGTGACGTGATGCTGGGCCACTACTGGGTGGACACGGGAATGAAAACGGCATCAACAAACATAGATTAACTCACCATTATGCGCCTGCGAACCCCTCACTTTGTCACTCCCTGGCGCTCGGGAGGACAGCAGAAGGCAGGTCAAAAGTCTATGTGCATGTATTTTTACTAGCATCTGGCTCAAGACCAATTCCTGGATTGATTGACCCCTCCGTTCGATTACCAAACCACCTCGGTTCCTTATGGGCACCCTGTTTCTTCGGCTCTGCAGAGTGTGCACGAGTGTGGGGCGACCAAAACCCATTAGCACTACCACTTCACTAATCCGGCTGGCGCCTCCCAGACTTGCAGACGCGATCCCCATCCGTTCCAACAGGGCTCAGCCGGGGGTGGGTGATTGGGCGTTCCGATTCACTTGTGCGTGTGTGTGTGTGTGTGTGTGTGTGTGTGTCCCAAGGTCGTGGCCGTGGTGCTGGCAGTGTGCCGCCACCCTGAATCTCCCTCCCCCATCATGCATGCCAGTGGTTACTTTTTTTCTCCCTTTTTTTCCCTTCTCCGAGCACTCATTTTGCGGCTTTCCATCCTTCCTTTGCTTCTTTTGTTCGCTGACAGCTTCCCTTTCCAGGGGGGGGACGTCTACACACACACATGACCGGTCTAATTTGGGTGGCGTGAAGTCCCATGGCTGCATAACACCTGCAGCCAGGGACCCGGCTCGCGCACGCCATTGGCCCGAGCCCGTCACACTGTAATCTCCCGACGGCGGACAGGGAGAGCCGGGCCAGGCTTTGGCACTGGATGCCGGGCTCGCAGATGCAGTCACGCGCGGTTATGTCATGGCAATTCGATCCGACTGCCCCCTTCTGCCCCCCGTGCGAGCGTTCCGGCAGGAAGGCTCTGCCAGCAGTGCCAGCCCAAAACACCAAACACGGCCGCATCATCCGTACGAGTTTGACATGCGCCGATCCGGCCATCTTTCCCCACAAGACGTCCAGGGGGGCGACATTAATCCGAATATGGTACCAGTTCATGATACCGGGGGGAATTCACTAGTCTCACAGCAGTATACTGTACCCATAGCAAGCATACCAACAGAACATCTGCCGTGATGCTGCTTTCGATGTCGACAGGGGGGGCGGGGATTGGTGCACTGGCGAGGCCAGAGAAATCACCGGCGCCGGGGCCAGGCAGAGTGTGGTCAGTGAGCCGCAAAGGAAGGGGCCGCCAGGTCAGCTCGGTCCTTGATTCGAACTTGTTTCGCTTGCTGACCGCCCACCCGCCGGTCCCGAAAATGAAAAAAAGAAAAGAAAAAAGGAGGACGACGGCCACGACGCTAGAAGGGCGCTAGAATTGTTCCAAAGGCCGCAACTGCATGCGTCCGACTAGGTGGGCCTCGTCATTCCTCGCGCAGGGATGACTGAGTCTGAGACCCGGGAATGGAGGGACAAAGAGCGATAGAGAGAAGAAAAGAAAGAAAGAAAGAAAATGCTGACAATGATGACGTGTCCGCGCCATGCGTGCTCCCGCAACACTGCCAGTAACAAACGAAGGACCACAAACAAGCCCGCTGCAAATCAGATTCAGAATATCGCCACCCGGCACAGCTTGAGGGGGCGGTGTTTTCTTGTTGAGTTTGCGCTTGCTAAAAAACAATGGCGGGTACCGATTTGCCAGGGGGGCAGGACATCCTTGATCCCAGCCCGTGGATGACTTGTCTGTAGCCGCGAACTCAAGGGGATCCAGGCTGGTCGAAAGAAATAATAAGAAGAAAAACGGGCAACCCCGATTTTGGCGTCGGCGGGCACCGGCAGCGGGAGAGCCAAGAAAAGGAAGAAAAAAAAGGCAAGCATGCCCAATTGCCGTGGTTTTCCGAGTCAAAGCCAATCGGCTCCATTCTCCCCACAGCCAAAAGAGATTCGCCAGCTGCGGGAGTAGGGGATGGAAAGAAAAGCGGACGGGGGACGTGGCAGACAGAGACAAGGCTTCGCGTCCGGAAAATTCGACGGCACGAAGCAAAAAGAGGGAAACGAGAAAAAAAAAAAACAAGGGTGCCGTCGTTTGCAGGCAATATCCGGGCGTCTGTCCTGCAAGCATGGGTGTGGGCCAACCGCGGCGCGCGAAGGGGAAGGGGAAGGGGAAGGGAAGGGAAGCGGCAGCACAAGTAGCCAAGCGGCACATGCAGCCCAAAACCGCAGTGTGGTGGTGTGTGTCAACATACGTGTGTGGCGTGGTGGTGTGGTGGTCGGCAATGGATGGGCAATCAAATTCCCCCAAAGCCGCCGCCGACTGCATCCCCATCCATCCGGCCGTCTCTTGTCAGCAACAACCGCGAGAGGGGGGTGTGTGTCCCAAAGAGGATATTGGAGAGAACAATTCCGTGGCTTGTTCCATTCATCGAGGGAACTCGCGCTGCTGGCATGGGAGCTTATTCGATACCCGATAACACACGAGATGCGCGCATTCAGCCCGACGAGTCCACCCCGTGGCAGCCGGGCGTAGGCCGGGCTTAGTCGACGCTGTCCGGCATGTAATCACAAACTCAATATAGGTTACACAACCTGTTTACGCACCAAACATCTAGATAAGACATTCCACCATGGAAAGGTAAGGGAGGCGTGCCTCATCCAGCAAAATTAGCCAATCGACTAGCACCAAGCCCAAAAACAAAGGATCCAACACGAGCTCCCCAGTCTGGCTCTGGCTCGCCTTGCGACCTTTTGGCAACTGGGCCTGAGTGCTCCTAGCACCCACCGCCGTTTGGTCCACAGTCCTAATCTTCCCTTTCCTCGATCGATCCGGATGAGGCGTCGACAGGGGGGTGGCGCAAGGACCAAGAAAAAATCCCCGCCGACTTGCTCCATCTTCATCAAGTCGGGGGCTCCCCTGCCTGGATGGACAATTTGGGCCGCCAAAATACCGTAGTAACTCGATCGAGTGAGAAATAAGGATATCCACCTTACAGGGTTATTTATTTATTTATTTTATATATATATATATATATTTTAGCTCATTCTTTCCCCCTCATCACAGATCCGCCACATGCTCTACATGAGCCCAAACGCACTGATTTTTCGCTGCGCACTGTTTCCTCCCGCCTTGACCGAAACGGAATAGTCTGGAACATCGCTTCTGCACCAAACCCTATCAAAAGCTCTTGCAAGGTGGATATCCTTATTTCTCACTTGATCGAGTTACTAAGCGTGTCGGGGCCTTGAAGAAAAAGAAAAAAAAAGACAAAAAGAAGGGCATTTTCCAATTTTCCACCATCCCGCCGCACAGGGATTCACCCAGGGGCCTGGGTGGATGCCGCCGGTCCTAGGAGGGGGGTTGGGCTGTGCGCCCTCCAATGGTATCGTAGTTCGTCGAACCCAAGGCGATGGTCAGCCAGTCAGTCAGTCAGACAGGAATGGACAAGACAGCACAGCACAGCATAGCACAGCACAGCGCTTCCCACCCTTCTAGCGCCTTCGAGAACATTTCCCCGCCTGGCCTAGCACCCTTTTTTTTTTTTTTCTTTCCTTTGGTTCAATGTTGTCGCCCGTCCCCTGGCCTCGGATCTCTCCCAGTCGGAATTGTCTTTTGGGAGGGATCGTACGCACACACCACACACAGGCACACCACTCACAACGCCACAACACACACATTGTACCTACGTGCTGCATCTCGAATGGGTGGTGTGAATGCAGACAGAAACCCCACCGCAGTGACGACCAAGACGGGCACGCGGGAACGCCGGTGTCGCCACCCACCTCTGCCGACTCACACCCAACATCCACGCCAATGTTTTTTTCTTCTCCCCTTCTCCCCCTTTCTTATGTGGCGCCGGCGTCTGTTCGCCCGCTCGGCCGGTTGCGTCTTGCGTCCTTGCCACACACACACCCCCCATCGTGTCATCGTCGTGTTCGTCCGTCGGACTACCGTCAGACGGAAATGCCTGAGCCCATCACCTTATTTTTTTTTACGCGCGTTTCGAGAGACTGGTAGCCCAGGGTTATTGTGTAACGTGCAGCTAAGCTGAGCCTGTCCTTGCTGTCCAGCTGACCCGGCAAATTAATTTGAGTTGACATGCCGCACCCTGCAGAAACGTTCTAGAAGGTCACTCCAAAAGGACGCCAAAGGACGCCAACGTTCCTCGGCAGGCACCGCAGGGGGTGAACAAAACAAACAAGCACGCACAAGCACACAAAAACAGGCTGGCTTCGTAAAAGTGGTCGAGGCTCTCCCAAACTGGTTGGTGTGCCACCCAACGAAAACAAGTGGGAATCCACCTGTCAAAGAAACCCCTGCGACCAGTAACCAAACATCCATGGCTCAAGCGCCAGCAGAATGCGACCTCAAAGAAGGAGGTAAAGGCGGCCGGAAACGCCGAAAGCCAACAAACAAAAGATGCGAAACGAGTAACTGAGCAGGGAGAAAAAACCATCGAAATACCCATAACGCCTTTCATGGTTCTCTTGTCTGGAGCCTGGCGATGAATGACAAGTCCGACTCGACCGCTTGGCGGTGCAATGAGAAGGTCGCAGAAATCAAAGGTCTTGACCGCTCCTCCTCGTCTTGACCAACGTCTTTCATGTGAAAACTGTGATGCCTGCCGTCGCTTCAATCTAGTGTGCGACAAAAAAAAGGCAGATCGAATAAGGCGGCTAGCCTAGTTCCATCCTCTCTAACGAGTGGATCAGCGAGCTCTGGCTCGGAAGAGTCGGCTCAGACTGGGGTTCGGCTGATGTTGCCAAGACAATAGACAGCAGATGCCCCATGATACGCCTAGCTTTTCGCATCCCCTATTAGGTACCGAAAAGAAAAAAAAACGAGGCGAAGAAGGCGAAAGGAGGAAAGCTCTAAAAAAAAAAAACACCCCGTAAATGGACAAAGTGATTCGATAGTATGATAGAGAGGAAGTCGTCATTGCGCGCTGCTTTGGAAAAGTACAACATGGAGCACCCTTGCGGATACCTCGACTCACGGCTTCGACTGAACCATGCGTCGTGCGTCGTGCAAGAACATGATGGACCATGTAAAGCCAGATCCTGTCCACGGTGGGGACGGGCTCAAGATCTGGCGCGCGCGCGTAGACGTCGAGTCGTGAAGGTGAGAAAAAAGTGGCACCGGCCCGTTCGGCGAGGCTGTGGTCGTCCGGCATGCCGGCTTCAGATATCAGATATGTCAAAGTCGCCGGTAAAGCCGCCGTTCAATAGAACACCCGCGAGTCTCAGGCGCTGCTGGGGCATGTCTCTGGCCTGGTACTGCGAGGGATCGATGTCGAGGGCGACGCAGAAGCCGTTGGTAATGGTGTGCACTCCACAGTCATGTGAGTTGGTCTGTCTGGGTGACTCGTAGTTGCGGATCTTCCAGTTGGCCTCGATGTACCGAGGTCCGAGGAACGTCTCGACCCATTTGAGGAGCGTGGCTGCGATCCGGGGGCTCCCGGCGCCTTGCTGCCCGAGCGAGTCCATGTGTGCCACGACGCCCTGCTTCGGCCGAACGATGCCCAGCGTCCAGTGCGAGTTCCCGAGGTTGATTGGGATCAGGAATGTCTCGACGGTGAGGAAGTTTCCTGGGTTGACGCCCAGTCTTCGGAGCCACCGCTGTGTGCTGTTGGGTCCGCGATCGCTGAGGTGCTTCCAGAAGTATGTGTTGAGAAGTACACACTTGACCGCGCTCTTAGTGCCGGTTTTGTCATTAATGTACTTTGCCACGTATGACAGACTCGAGTTGACGATCTCGTCGTTCAGCCAGACGGTGGGTGGGACAACCTGTCGGAAGTCGCGACCAAGAATCTCGGTTCCCTCAGCCGACTTGGCCAACACCATCGTCTCTCTAACCCGGGTACTGTCCGCGATCTTGGAGTGCCACCCCTGTGAGATCTGCTGAACAATGTCGGCATTAGGGAGTCGCAGGCCTCCGGTTCGCTCGAGGCGTTCTTTCTCCGCCTTCTCGAGTCTTTCTGCCTCGGCCTTGCGCCTTTCCTCCTCGGCACGCCTGGCTTGCTCTCTCTCCTCTTCCTCCTCGGCTTCTATACGGAGCTGGACGGCGCAAGCGAGCTCGTCATCCTTGCCCGAGCTGATGGTAAGGGCTGGGAAAGACGGGAAATCAAGATCGTCTTCAGGCTTGGAGGGGACATGTGGGGACGGGGAATGTGACGGTGCCTGCGGCGAATTCGGCTGAGATGCTGCAGAGGACGATGAGTCCGATCGCGGTGGGTGGTGTCGCGGCGAATCATCCGGCGAATGAGCTAGTGAACGGGTAGTAGATGACTGCTCCATCTTGTTGGGGGAGTCCACCTCGTCCTCAGTCTCAATCTCGGGGGCGCGGATGTTGCGTGTATCATCAGCAAAGAAGGCTAGCATCTCTTTGCGGCGCGCTTCTGGCGAAGTTGGTTTGGCCTCCGGGGTTGGCGGCGCCGTAGACTCAGGCGACTCGCCGATGAGTGAGAAGTCATGAGCATCCATACTCTTCTTCCGGGGCGTCACTGTGGCATGTGACGGCGCTCTGAATCTGGACTTTCTTGCCGATGATTGCAGAGCGGAATAGGGTGTGCGTGCGATGAAGTGGTTTCCAGACATATCAACGTCCATGCGGTCTGGCGCTGTAGAGGGGAAACCATCGCGTAGATCGGAAGCAGTGGGGCGTGGCGTGCTGTCCGAGGATGTAGAGGCGCGTGTGTCTGTGTATGTGGCGGCAGGTCCTTCTGCCTGTGCGCCGACACGTTGCGAGGCCGCGAGGCCGGGGCGGAATAGCTTGAGAGGAAGCCGTGACGAGCTACCGGAAACTTGCCTGCTCCTGGCGAGTGCATCCGCGCGCGATGGCTGCGGGGTCTGGAAGCTGTTCCATATCCTTGCTGGAGCTTGCCGCATCGGCGTCTGAGCGAGACGGCTCGAGTCGGACGGCCTCTTTGGGGCACTCATGGTGCTGGTGCTGGAGGGGTCCATGGCGGGCACAGGGATGTCAATCTGCGCCGCCTTCTCTACCTGAGCCGATGTTGATATGATCGGCTGGCGCGTCTCTACTGGGTGCTCGATGCACGACGCGATAGGCTTGATGTCCTTAGGCTGGGCTGGGATGCTGGTAGAGTCGGGAGCGGTGTTTGTGAGAGAAGCAGCGTCCTTGGCGGATTGTGAGATGTCCGCGACGTGCTGGGTGGGGGGTGAGTGGGGTGTGACAGGCCCCGAGCGGCTGGGCTCCTCCTCCTCCTCCTCCTCCTCGTCGCTCGACGACGGCGACGGGCTTGGGACGCTGAAGTGGCCGCGCCAATTGAACTCGGCGGGCAACAGCAGCGGCAGCGGAGCGTGCGCGGGCGATGGCAGAGGCGTGTTCCTGAAAACGACGCAACGGCCGCCGGCGACGACTCCCTCGACGCGCTGCTGGCGGCGCAGCCTTTCCCACCGCAGCGTCGGCGGGTGCTTCAGGATGCCCTTCAGCGGACGCTGTGGGGTCTTTGCTGGCACGCCAGCCGGGACGAGGGCCTGCTGCGGCAGGGGCCGGGACGCGCCTTCCCGGGTGGGTGCCCGCCGGACGTGCAGCTGCCTCAGCTGGGCAACTGCCGGGCGCGGTCCCCAGGAAGCGACGGCGGTGGCGTTGGCGGCGGCGGCGGCAGCACGCACAAGAGCCTCACTCGACTCGGCCGCCCTAGTCGCGACTGGAGCTGGCTGGCCAACTGGCGGTTGAGATACCGGCGCGAACACCGGGCTGCACCTGGGAAACTTCCTGTTCTTCGGGCTGAACCCGCTAGGAAATCTCACCGGCGGCTGTTTCGAGGGAGCACAGGAAAATGTTAGCTTCAATCGGGTCTCGGGCGTGCTGTGGCAGGATTGGTCCTGTTAAAAAGTCCCGAGTGGAGACTCTAGGTTCCTGGTGGGTGGGGCGGGGCTGCTAGCTGGGTGATGGGGGCTGACTGCTGCAGGTGGAGAGGCTGCAGCTGGGGACGGGATTTTGAGCCTCTTCTCAGATGTCACTCACCTTACGCGGCGCCTCCTCACCGCGGTCGAACACGCGGAGCGCCTTGCGGCGCTTCACCCACGTGTCTCCCGACGGGGAGGAGGCACTCGTCTCGACCACCAGTATGGTCTGCGCAGCGCCAGCTGCGGCTACGGGTGCCGAGGCCGCACCAGTGACCAGGCCTGTCCACCCGCCAGTTAGAAGCCAATACAAGATTCGTAGGACGATGGGGCTGGCGTTTGCCTGATACATACCGAAGCCCAGCGCACCGGTCACGGTCTTGTAGACGGACCGTAGTACCGTCTGGGCCCAGCCCCAAAGGCTGGGTCGCTCCTGTATTCATAAACAAGGTCAGAACCCGGGCAGAGGTGGTTGGGTAGAGGGGCCGTTGTAGCCTTGCGAGGATGTCTCGGGCATGCTCTGCCCTGCGTGAGTCGGGCGGGCAAGGCAGAACGCGATGCACCCCGCACGCGAGAGCAGAGCCGACCGAAAGAACGAGAGAAGAGGAAAGGAATGTGTGCAAGGAGAGGATATTGGGATGATCAGATATTGGGATGATCAGGTTACGTACCTCCTGGAGCGCTGCGCGGAGCTCTGCCTCTGAGCTCGAGGCTCTTCTCTTTCTTCCCGTGGTGACGGGCATGATTGCTTTGTTTGTGTTGTGAAGAGAGAGAAAGTGGTGAGGGATCGAGTGGTGGGGAGAATTTTTATATAGGTGCCCGGGTGATTTGTGCGTGGAAGGCGAGTACAGTGCTAGTTTTCACAAGAGACTTTGCTTGTTGTCTTGCTATCACTTTGCTCTCACCTTGCTCTGACCTGGCTGTCACCGGGCTGTCACCGGAGGAGATGGCTGGTTGCGGTATGGGGGCGGGATGGGGTGACCCAGGCCTGGCCAGGAAGGAGTAGCCGAGGCGTCCACCACCCGGAAGAGGACGGAGAGTAAAAGGAATAGTAACCTAGCAGTATAGTCCTTCTGGAGATTCACTTGGTGGAAGCAATGCATAGAGTTGGCGGAAGGTAGAAAAACTTGTTTGCTAGAGGCGGAGTTTTGCTTTGACGACATCCCCCATCCCTTTTGACTTGAAGCCATAACTTGGTGAAAGGAACAATGGACTGCGATTTCCAACTTTCACTGCAACCTTTTGGTTAATGGATGGAGGCTTCTAATGTGATTTGACCTGGAATAAGGACCTGACCAAGCACCGATGCCGTTTGCGGGTGTTCTATACAAAAACAATCGAGACAGAGGGCTTGGAGATGGATGATCGCGCAGCTCTCTTACACCAAAACTCGCCGTTTTGGGAATGCGCTAAGCCCTTTCGGCATTTGGCGACGCATTCTAGTGTAACCAAGATGCCGTGTCGGGTTTGGCTGCGCGCGTCTCCCTGTGGGAATCATCCTCAATCTGGCCAGCATGTGAGACGGTGCATTATGAGTAAATGTAGCTCAAACAATTCGTGATCACGGTCTATATGCCTACAACTCTTCTATGGGACTGAACAGGTAGGGTGGGGGAATAGCAACGGCAAACTTTTGGCATATGAGCCATAGCGTCCGCCTCAATCTCGACGCCTGTAGTTTGGGTTCAACTCAATGACAAGAAAAGTAAACTCTCACAGCAGACACTGAAGCATATGTCCAAATGAAGGTGCAAGTGACTATCGAGTTACGGCGATGCTTACGAGTCGGGAGTGAACAGTGATTGCCCTGCAATGGATGTGCTTTTGATAATGTGCTGCCATGGAAGTGCAGAGGAGCTTTGCACTTGAGCATGTGCTTCAGAGAAAGACAGACAGACAAGAAGCAACAGACTGGAGAGATAGAGGTAGAGATCCAAGAGAAATAAAGCATAGATTATGATGTAAAACCGCTCAGATGACAGTGTATAGTGTAGTATCTATTGTGAATCAAAACGCGCGAATCCAACCAAGCCAGGTGAAACGACGTCCTCCTCGCCTTCTATGCGCTTCATAGTTGTGCTGTGACTTTGCCGCCAAGACTCCTTGTGCAGAACGAGCCAAAGTACTCATTGAGCGCGTCTACGGTGCCGGTTCCTTCAACTAGGCGAGTCGACAGGGCAACGTAGCCGTCTGGCCTGACCACCACCACGCCGCCGCGCTCCTCGTCCAGCCCCAGCTTCTTGTGTGCAGACATGGCGGGCTGGCCCCACTCGATGCTCTCGTAGTTCTGGCGGTCGTCGGCGTACACGTGGCCTCGGTAGCGCGCGAGGATATCGGGGACGTCGCGGCTGATCTCGATGGAGCTCCGAGGGGCTGCAAAAACGGTGCAGAAGGTGAAGAACAGGCTGTGAGGGTTGTGGTGCTCGTGGTACGACACCGTCTCCATGTCTGGCCTCAGGTACGAGGCCAGGAAGGAGCCCTTGCGGAGCATGTATCGTGCAAAGTCGGCGAGTGCAACGCGCGTCAGCGACGGCTTGCCGGCGAAAACAAAAATGCGGAACGAGCCGTTCAGAGGTACCTCCTGCTCTAGGTGGACCACGTTTGCGTCTGCTATGCGGGTCACGTCCGAGTTGCGGAAGAGCCTCCCGGTCCGGAGCTTGTTGCCCTTGGGGTTGATCAGTTCGGACGATGCTGGGTGGCTGGGCGACCAGTTCAGGGCGTTGGGTCCGTAGGCGACCCCGTAGCCGCTCGTGAACTCGCATGCCTCCTTGAAGGTCTTGACAAACTCATTGTCATCACCCCCTTGCTTGCCGTGGTTCTCCGAGGCGGCCCGAATCTCGCTGGCGTCTGGCGGGCGCTGCGAAAACAGCTTGGCATACTTGTTGTCGAAGTCGAGCAGCGTTTCTGCCACAGCCCTGCGCTCCGGCTCGTACGTCTCTAGCAGCGTCCGGTCGGCAAAGCCCTGCTCAACAGCGTGTATTTTCCACGCCAGATTCTGGGCGTCGAGGAAGGCCGTGTTCATTCCCTGACCCGCCTTGGGCTACAAGGTTTGGAAACTGGAGTTAGTCGCTTGCAGCTCTCCACGCTTTCCTGCCAACGTTGGTTTTGCAAGGGGGTGGGACTCACGCTGTGGGTGTGGCAGGCATCACCGCCCAGGAACACACGGTGGTCCAGAGTGTACTTGTCGGCAATACCCTGGCCGATAGGATAGACCGAGTACCACTCCACCCTGTCCCACTCGACCGAAAAGGGCTGGAAAATCTTCTTGGCGGAGGCCTGCACCTCGGCCTCGGTCGCCGTCTTGCGCGGGTTCCAATCCTTGTCGGTGGACGAGGCAATCTGGATGTAGAGACGCACCAGGTTGTTCTCGCGGGGGATGACCATGATTGAGCCGTGTCGGGAGTGAATCGTGCATTTCATCTGGTCCAACCGAGTCAGCCACGCACGCTCAGTGCAGCATTCCGACCGAGGCGCCGGCGCGCGGAAGCCGAGACGGGGCGCTAAAAGACTGCCGATTATGGCAACGGCCCTATAGACGCCAGGAGCTCAGGAGGAACGCATCGCTTGGAGAGCACACATACCTTGATATCGGGAAAGTCGGTTCGGACCACACCGTCCATGACGCCCCAGACGTGCTCGATCGGGTCCTTGTGCCTGATGCCAATGCCCAGCTGCTCGCGGATGAAGGAGCGTGCGCCCTCGCCGCCAAAGAGATATTTGGTGCGGACGGTCTCGCGGGCAGTGCCGTCGACGTGCTGCAGTTGCACCTCGATTGGGTACAGCGGGTCGCTGGCCGGGTCCGAGGTGAAGCCGGCGATGGTCCAGGGTCTCTGGATCTGGACGTTGCTCTTGGCCAGGTCGGAGATGAAGACACGCTCGATGAACCCTTGGTGCAACAGGGTGGTGAAGGGATACCTGGCGTCGATGAAGCTGGGGCAGCTGGCCCAGGTGCCTGTCCTCTCGATGCCCGAGCTGGCTGCGGACGGGTCCCAGAAGGCAACCTCATAGACGCGTGCGGGCTTGTGCTCCATGATTGCCGACTTCAGCCCCATGTTGCGCAGCAGGTCTAGCGAGCGCGGCTGGATGCCATCAGCACGGCCGGTTGGCGTAGGTTCGCTCCTGTTGTCGATGTGCTTGATTTTGTAGCCCCATCGCGCCAGACAGGTCGAGAGCATCAAGCCCACAGGGCCGGCGCCGACGATGACTTTTTTTTTTGGCCACACTGGTTAGCAAAGTCGGCTTTGGGGCTTCTCCACCATATGCGACTCGTGGCGCCCTGTATTTTCTCCTTCTCCTTTCCCTCATGTGCGGTGGCAGTAATTACCAATGTCATAATGAGTCGAGGAGCCTCGAGTCGGCTGCGCTTTCTCAGGCATCACGGTTTGCAAATGGGGGTGTCAAGTGGCAGGGAGTGCCCGTATGTGTTGTTTAGCGGGCGGAGTTGCGGGGAGGAGGACAAAGAATACGGGGACAATGAGATAGATATAGGGGGAGAGAAGAACGACGGTGATTAACGCGTATGCCTGTCGGCGTGACTGGGCAAGGCAGGCTACGGTGACAGAAGCCAGCGAACACGTCGGCGAAGCTAGGTTAGATGGCGACAGAGGCGCGTGGCATTGCTATGGAGGCCACCGCTGGGAATAAATGGTAAAAGAGCATTTACCCCCAGCGCCAGGAGCCACCCAGCCGATGGGGCCATGCAATATCAGGGGCGAATCGAGCATGACAGCGCTCAGGGACCGGTACAGGCGCGCGGCAGTGCCATGGGAGTGGCAGGGGGTCACAGGAGCGCCGGGAAAACCGGCCAGAAGCAGGTGAGAGGGTGCTACAGCCGTGACAGACAGGGTGACAGGCAGGCCCAAGCCGCGGCGGCGGACCGAGGGAGTCTCCGCTGGGAGCTGGAGCAAAAAGCCGAAGCCAAATGTCGAGGCAGGGCGGCCAGGACTAGGGAGGGTGCGAGACCAGGGCCAAGACCAGGACCAGGGGGGTGCGAGGCCCCTGATAGAGCAGCAGCTGCGGCGGTGTTGGCGGTCCCAGAGGGCGGCGGCAGCAGCAACGGCATCAGCAACGGCAGCACAGCGGTTGGCAGGTCGAGGAGGCAACTCGAGTGGGCGACCAGCCGACACGGCGGGAGCGGGGCTCGCTGGGATCGTCAGACATTGGCGGTCCCCCCGGCGACGTGGAGGCACGGGAGTCAAGCACGGTAATTGAGCGCCCGCCTTGGGTGGTGGAGCCGCTGTGGCCCACGGCTGTGCTGGTCGGCAATGGTGCTCAAGCTGTGTGTGCTGAGTACTGAGGCTCCGCACGTGACTCGCCACGGCTCCACTATGGCCCCGCCAAGGGTTTCTCCGCAGACTCCACAACTGGACAAACGTCACAAGTCGTCACTGCTCCGGTTTGGGGAAAGCAGGGGTGGGCTGCATCTGTTTCTGGCAGGGGTCTGTCTGTCTGTCTGTCTTTTCACATAGTCCGGCCCTGCTGCCGGTTGGTCAGCCGGCCGGCCCTGGCGTGCGGCAGATGGCCCGGCTCGACCTGCTACCCCTTATCGGAGTCGGCGTCGGCTGGCGGACAAACAATGATGGGTGCTAGTACTGGAGGCGTCTAGATACGTTCTGATATACCTTTCTTCCTAGCCGGGTGGATGGTGGTGCTGCCAATGGTTGTCTGTGATGGAAGCATACGCGGCTTGTATTTCTGTTCCTTTCTCCTGGTTACATTGCCTCTTTTGCTTCCCTACTCCTCTCCCCAAAGCTGCATTCTGCAACTACCAACCTTTGCCATCGTCTGAGCTAGGCCTAGACTCGAGTAATGGGCCAGGAAGACGTTAGACGACAGTTATTCACGACAGCAGGGGTGCAAAGGCAAGTGCTTTGGCATAAAAGTACAGATGTCGAATCAGGCCAGAAATGCGTGATACAACCATGGAATACGTCCCGATGGAGAAGTTTCCATGCCTTCTTCTATTCTAGCGAGAACTTGAACCTATGATGCTGCCCTGCCCAAGCCTTGGCACTTCTCCTATAATGCTCAGACACACAATCTCCTGCCTCCTCTAAAGGGGCATATGTTCGGGATTGAGGGCCTGCCATGTGCCAACTGGACTTGGGGTATTGCCTGGTTGTGGAAGCTGCGGTTGTTTGGGACGAGGCTTGCTCTGGAAGCATGTTGACTCAGCCCGAGGCTCGCCAGCTGAGCCTCAAGAGAAGATTGAAACGTCTGATACAGACGTTCAGCGAGTTCGGACGGTCTGAAGAGCTTGGGCCACTGTCTAGAGGCAAACAGAGCAAGCAACCCCCACGCAACGCGAGAGCGCCAGACCCCGTGACTGCGCGTTGGTTTAGGCCCTACCCGCGCCTTGTTGAGGAGATTATCTCCCCTCCAACCGCGCTCCCGCCTCTGCCTGCCAGGTCCAGACACTACCCACCCTCCCACCTTCAACTCCCGCCAGCTGATCCGCGACGGGACTGCCAAGCTCTCTTGCTCCGGTATATCCAACTCCAGAGGCTGCATCGTCATGGCTGCCAAAACCCACGGGGCTGCAAAGTATGGCGGGGACATTGCCGGCACGCATCGTTACGGAATGTTCAACACCATGTCGTCTCCTCGCACTCGAGGGCAAGCCTCACCCGTCCAGCCCTTGGCGACCACCTCACGGCCAGACACTCCAACTCCGACGCCGATTCGGGGCGACTTCATCCCGCTATCATCCCCGTCCGTCAACATGCCCTCATCCCCGTCTCGACGTGACCAGTCTCCGGACAACGGCGTCACTCTGCACATGAGCTTTACCGATTCGCAGATGAACCTTCTTGCAGAAGCGTGAGAACATTTATCTTTGTCCCATCTTCGGCCCACGCCACTACCTATATAGCAGCAACATGCACTGACAGTCCAGCAGCATCTCGCGGCCCAACTCCCCAGAGAAGGGCTCTGGACGAGGCAGACCTGCCGGTGCGAGCGCAGCTCCGGCGCACCGTTGCCACTATAGGGCATACAGCGAGGACGCCGCGCTCGCTGCGGCGCCCCAGGCGACCACCTCGTTTCTCTCTCGTCGCCATGCTGCTCCTCTGGTCCCGCCCCCGGGCTCACATGTCTATGCCAAGGCCCGCGGAAAGTCTCCCGCCCGGCCCGCCGGCCCAATCCCTCCGCGGCAGTATCCCGTCAAGCCGATTCCGGTCAGGCCGATGCCTGCAGCCCCCCAACAGCTTCGCGAGCACTCTCCTGTCCGGGACGCCACCAGGCGGGCGCGCTATCCGGCCAACCTGAGCCACGACGGGCATTTTGCAGGGCGAGTGGCACCATCCGAGACTTTCGACGATCGCTACGGGCCCCCGACTATTGCCCAGCGTCGCGGCGGCCCACGCCCGTCTGTCGACACCCTCACGGCGCAGCTGCGCGGGAGCCCATCGCACCGCAAGACCCCCATCGAGATCATGAAGGAGCCGGCCGTTCCTGAGCGGTCCAAGTCTACGATTACCACCAGCGCGGCTCTTTTCGGAGAAACAAGGGGCCGCGCGAACTCTAACCCTTCCCCCTCCATCTACTCAACCGACGAGCGCAGGGCCGGGTACGAGTCCGACTACGAGACCATCGTCCCTACCACCCCTTCGGACTCCAGGGACGAGTCCGAGGCCTTGGAGCGGTCCGGGGCCGTGATGCGGTCCCTCGCTGAGTACGAGCAGCTATACAACACCCACATGTCGGTGCAGGGCGAGATCCTATACGAGGAGCAAGCGACCGCCGCAGACCAGGGCACCAGCTACCCGCGCGTCTACTCGCCGCTCACCCCTTTCATCGAGACCATGGAGGAAAAGCTGCCTAGGCACAAGGTGCTCATCGGCGAGAGGGGCTGGCTGGAGCACACGGGCCGGGCGGCGGGCGGCCGGGGCCCGGCGCCGGCGCCGCCGGC